AAACTTGTAATTCAGGTGTCCATGTCTTACTTCACAGAGCTTAACCATAAACCTGGGAAGAGAGCCTTAGTATCATATTTTAAGGTGATTCTATACACTAGAGTTGAGATATGGCTTAAGAATGATTCCTGCTTGAAAATCTTATTTCTGAATTTTTTAAAAAAGATTTTGTTTTATTTGAGAGAGAGAGCACAAGCAGGGGGGTGGGGAGGTAGGAGAGGAAGAGGGAGAAGCAGACTTCTCGCTGAGCAGGGAGCCCTACGCAGGACTTGATCCCAGGATCCTGAGATCATTACCTGAGCTGAGGGCAGATGTGTAACCGAATGAGCCACTGAGGTGCCCCTCTGAATTTTTAAAAATTATGACCTATATATTGAAATAATTAACATGGTTTTACTTTTTTGTTTTTTTGTGGGGGTTTTTCTCAGTATAATTGTTTAGATCTTTCAAAGTGTGTGCTCATTTATTTCCTTTTTTTTTTTTTTTTTTGCTTTTTTAATTTATTCGTGAGAGACACAGAGAGAAAGAGAGGCAGAGACACAGGCAGAGGGAGAAGCAGGCTCCATGCAGGGAGCCTGAAGTGAGACTTGATCCCAGGTCTCCAGGATCACGCCCTGGGCTGAAGGCGGGGCTAAACCGCTAAGCCACCGGGGCTGCCCTCTTTTTTTTAGATGTTTATTTTTTTTTTATTTTTTTTTAAAGATTTACTTATTTATTTATTCATTCTTAGAGACACACACAGAGAGAGAGGCAAAGACACAGGCAGAGGGAGAAGCAAGCTCCATGCAGGAAGCCCGATGTGGGACTCGATCCCGGGTCTCCAGGATTATGCCCTGGGCTGCAGGCGACGCTAAACCGCTGCACCACCAGGGCTGCCCTAGATGTTTATTTTTAATATGCCCATGCCTTAAGACTTCATAATGTTTTTAAAACTTGGCTTTAGTTCTTCTCTGATGTTAGATGGCAATACTTAATACCCCTTTGCTTTTTTTTTTCAGACCCTATTTTCTGTTGCTTCATTTTGTGCTCTCACTTTCAGATGATTCCTAAATATCCTACCAAATCCCACTTATAAATCATAATTGTGAATAGTAGAAATCTGTTTTTTTACAAGATATTTAGTACATTTTTCCCCTCTTGTAACTCTGTATTTCTCAACCTATAGATGAATATAGTTTATGTAAACATTTGCTAGATTGGAAAATTACTTCTTTATCATCACTGAGGGTTTTCCAGCCTGGTGCACAAATGCTTATTTTAAGTAAATATTCTTAGTACTCCCTATCATTCTTTATATTTGCTCTTCAGTTTCTTAATGCCAGTATGAATTCACTAGGTCATGTGTTTATCAAGAAGATTACTTAATATGTATTTTTTTCCTAAGCCACATGCTTTTTAATGTTTTTCTTCTCTCATTAATATATTTGTTTAGCTCTTTAGTTATTGGGACTTCTGGTTTGGTCAAAACAATACTAATGATCCATGTAATTTACCAAAGATAGATTTGAGAGATAATTATTCCTTGTTGTCTTGCTTTACATTTTCTTACTGAATAATCCAGACCCTGCTACCTCTTTCCTGACCAATAGCTGCAGCCTTTTTTAGGAGCTTGCTCTAGTCTCTTCCTGTTCTAGTCCCTACTGCACATCAGCATTATGCTTTTAAGATGCACATTTGATCATGTCACTGCCTTTCTCTGGGATTCTTTTCATCTCTCCCCCCTTAGATGTAAGATAATAAGAATCACTAGTATTTACTTAAGACACTACTATTTTAGAGTATCAAGTAATTTAATTTTGGCCAGAGTCCTATAAAGCCAGTATTCCTGTTACTCCAGATTTATAGACAAGAAACAGCATAGGGAGGTTAAGCAGCTTATCTAATGAGCTGCTATAGTTAGTAGGTGGCAAAGCCTGAACCCCATTCTGTTGACTGAGCCCCCATGGGGCTCCTGTGTGCATTTTTGCCTTCTTTCTACTCAGCCCTCCTCTCATTTTTCAATCATGGGGGTCCACTTAACTTTCTCCCATTAATGTATTTATGTGTTTTCTCCACTTCAACCTTTATACTTTCACTTTCACTTTTTGCCCATGGAAACCTTGCTTCTCTTTTATGATTCTCTTCAGTTATCAATGTTAAAGTGATATTCCACATTCCTAATTACAGTTTTTTTCCCCTCTTCTAGAATTTTATCTATTTTTCATTTTTGGCATTTCCCTTAGCATGTTATATTTTGTTTGATAAGATCCTGGGGAGGGGAGGGCGGCTTTACTTTACAAAAATCCCTTGCACTTAGAAGACATGCAAAAAAAATGTGGAACTTTAAAAATGAGTTTTATTCATACAAATATATATTTTAAAGATTTTATTTATTTGAGAGAGAGTATGCATGAGCAGGGGGGAGGGGCAGAGGGAGGAGAAGTAAACTCCTACTGAGCAGGGAGCCCAACAAGGGGCTTGTGACCAGATGCTTAACTGACTGAGCCCCAGGTATTCCAGGATGGAATATGGAATCTTTTTTTAATAATACTAAAAAACTGTTGCAACTAATTTATGGAGACTTTTTACTGCTATTAGGTGTTTTCTAATTTGATAATAAAATTTTATAAAATTTTAATTTCAAGCATTAAAATGTAATAAAAATACATTTTTTATTCTATATTTTACTTTTTTTAAAATTTTTATTTATGATAGTCAGAGAGAGAGAGAGAGAGAGAGAGGGAGGCAGAGACATAGGCAGAGGGAGAAGCAGGCTCCATGCATCGGGAGCCCGATGTGGGACTCGATCCCGGGTCTCCAGGATCGCGCCCTGGGCCAAAGGCAGGCGCTAAACCGCTGCGCCATCCAGGGATCCCTATATTTTTTTTTTAATTTTTATTTATTTATGATAGTCACACACAGAGAGAGAGAGAGAGAGGCAGAGACACAGGCAGAGACACAGGCAGAGGGAGAAGCAGGCCCCATGCACCGAGAGCCCGACGTGGGACTCGATCCCGGGTCTCCAGGATCGCGCCCTGGGCCAAAGGCAGGCGCTAAACCGCTGCGCCATCCAGGGATCCCTATATTTTACTTTTTAATTGAAAATTATTATACTGTTAGATGTATCTTTAAAGCATATTATAAAGTTTTGTGTTAAAAAAATAAAGTTTTGTGTTTTTTGTGTTATTAATAACTCAACTGAAAGTAGAATTAATATAAAAAATTCTAAATATTTCTGTATTTTTTCATTATTTATTCAGGTTTAAAAATTCAACTCCAATTTTTTTTATTTTATTTATTTATTTTTTTTCAACTCCAATTTCTAATTAAGTCATTGTTTTCATTTTTTTAATTTAATATTTTTCCAATAAAATTTAGACGTTTATATATATATATATGCATGTGTGTGTATGTGTATATATATATATATATATATATGAATTTTTAATGGAAACATTAAATTCAGAAGATAAGGCTTTTCCACCTAAAACACATGCTATAAGATCCTAGATTCATGTTGGGAGTGGGCCACAAATTTTGCTGTTTTTTCCAGCGGGTAAAAAGAATACATGAGTAAGTAGTTGCATGATCAAATTGTTCATATCATAATACCAACCAGAGAGATTTCTTTTATGAGTCCTCACAAAGAAGGGCTACCATATGAAGTAGGTGAACCATATCCTCAGCAACATCCCTGCAATAAACGCAGTTACAATTTAGTGTGACATACATATCAAGCCATTCAGTGCAGGCCAGTGACATGCTGTATAGTAGTACATTAAAGGATATTCTCTGAGGAACCAATTAAGTCAATGAGGATATACAATTCTGAGATAAAAGAAATTTGAAATACCTACAGCAGTATTTCTCAAGGCACTGGTACTTTAGAAGAAGATGGTCTTGGTTTTGATTTAGAAATTAATTTTGTAAGGCCAGTACTTAAAATTTTCTCTTAAATAACTTTATTAACTGTAAAAACTTTTAGAGCTCACGCCTGCATATTGTAGTCCTTCGTATGCCAATCACCAAAAGTGTCAGCTCTGTAGTCACAAAATGTAGAAGCCTTGAAATAATATATATAGAGCATGTGAACAGATCTGCAAATCTTCTGCTCTGGTCAAAGGTTTTTTAAAAAGAAAGTTACCGGGGCACCTGGGTGATGTAGTCAGTTAAGCATTTGACTCTTGATTTTGGCTCAGGTAATGATCTCAGGGTTCTGGGATTGAGCTCTGTGTCAGGCTCCATGGTTCAGAATCTGATTGAGATTTTTCTCTCCTCTGTCTGCTCCTCCCACTTGTATGCACTTTCTCTCTCTCTCACAAATAAATAAATCTTAATCCAAAACAGTAAAAAGAAAGTTACCATAAAAAATCATGTACTTGTAATTACAGAGAGTAAAAAAAGTATCAGATAAATGCTAGAAGCCCTAGGTGCATTTGTCAAAAATGTTGGAATTGATACTCCTGTGACTATAGTTTGAGAATTACTAATCTTCTAGGAGCATCATTCAGTAGAGTTTTCTGTGATGATGAAAGTGTTCTATATCTGCATAGTCCAAAATAATAGGCAAGTCAGTAGTTAAGGTGGTGATTAGGCACATGAAATGTGGCTAGAGTGACAGAGGAGCTGAACTTTTTATTTCATTTTAATTAATTTTAATTTAAATGTATGTGGCTAGTAGCTTTGGAGGAAGCTCCGTCTAGAGGACAGGAAAGACTGCTTATCTCAGGCTATGTAATATAGAGTAGCAGTTAAGTTCAAGATTATATTCTCCATCAATAACTGAATAAAGAAATCCTATACTTCTAAGAGATACATGCTTTAAGATGATAATTTAAGTTTATTGTTCTATTTTTCAATCTGAAAATTAAGGATACGTGGTTGCTCTTTTAGATATTAATAGAATTGTTAGCAGACAGTTTTAGGCTAAAAACTATGTGTAAAATTCTTTCATAAGATTGAGACATTTACTCAAAAATAGAAGCCTTTGGCTATACTGATAAAGTGCTGTTTTCGTGTAGTTTCCAGAGTGTGGATTCTTTGGCATGTATGACAAAATTCTTCTCTTTCGCCATGACATGAACTCAGAAAATATTTTGCAGCTGATTACCTCAGCAGATGAAATACATGAAGGAGACCTAGTAGAAGTTGTTCTTTCAGGTAAGCAAATAGCTTCTTTTATTTTGTTGCCTTTTGTTTTTGTTTTTGTTTTTTTTCAAAGAACCTTATTTTTGGTACTATAGTTGCTTAACTTCTTTTATCTATAATGATGGTTACCATGTGAGTTTTACTTTCAGGAACATTATATCACAGATAAAAAAGTAGGAAAATAAGCCCTGAATTGTTTATTTGAATGTTACTAAGCTAAGGGAATTATCATTGGAACTGAAAGAGGAATATACTCTTTGAATCAAAGAAATAAAACAATTATACTGAAATTCAATTTCCTTTTCCCCATTTCTGTGAAGAGCATAAAAGAGAATTGGGGTTCAAAAAATAAAATCAGGAAAAAAAGGAGAAATAATAAAGATGTGGAAGAGGAAACTGCAGTACTGATGTTTCCCATGATTTCAATATTGCTTCTTCCCCTGTGTGTTCTCAGTGCACATTTTCTTACCTCCCTCATTTTCCCCCCACCCATTCTTGCCATTTGTTGTTCTTAGCTCCTTCTGTTTCTGATCTCATTCAACAGCAGGATTGTTAGCAAGAAATGTAGAGGAACAAAGAATGTACCTAGTAGGCCTGCAGAACTTCTTGTTTGACAGGAAAGGAGAGAGGGAGAGAGAAAAGAGAGTGAGGGAAAGGACGGAAAGCCAGCTAAGAGTCCGGACTTCTGCCACCATTTTTTCTACTTCTCAAACTCATCTTTGCAGCCTGTTCTTGAGATCCTCTCTACCAACACCTTTCCTTAGTCCTTGATCCTTTCCATTAATCTAGTCCCTACATTAATCATTCATCTGCACTACCACTCCAAGATGTATACATTTCCCAATCCTTGTCTTCCTCTCCACTCCGGAAGAGTTTCACTCCTTGTCCTCCCTGGAGGTAGTACTTATACCCATTCCTCCTGGACCCTTCATCAGGCCGGAGATATCCACTAGTGACTTGCAGGTGGAGGTGAGAGGATATCTACTGGTATATGTATCTACTAGTGTTCAGTTGCTCACAAAGAGGAGGAGTGTCTCTTTTTCTTAACTATCAAGAACAGACAGCTTATGAACTGCAATCCTAAGTTAGAATTCAGAGTGTTTACCATTAAGGTTAAGTTCCTCAGTTTTATGTGGGGTTCTTTGCCTTTTGTTTGTTTGTTTTTAACTTTAGTGTTCTGTTTCCCAGTGTTATAAGTTAAACAGTTTCTAATTGTAGGAATAAACCTACCAACTATTTGTGTTCTTGTCAGTATGTAAATATGCTTTTGGAGGTTGAAATATCGACCTACAGACCTACTTTTGGAGCTCAAATTATTTGGAGTTGATGAACTTCCTAAAATAGTTTGAAAACCACAATATTAAATGCCAAAAACAGTTTATTTTTATGATAAATGAAGTTTTTAGAGAAAAAAAGATTTCGTATACTTTGACATCAACATTCTTAATCTCATTGCAATTATAGATACAGGTTTTATTTTGCTACTTTTCTTTTTAAAAGCTTTGGCCACAGTAGAAGATTTCCAGATTCGTCCACATACTCTATATGTACATTCTTATAAAGCTCCTACTTTTTGTGATTATTGTGGTGAGATGCTCTGGGGATTGGTACGTCAAGGACTGAAATGTGAAGGTATGTGTTCTAAGTTTTTGTATCATTTGAAATAAGATTTTGCATTTGCATTTTCTCATCATTAATGAAGGAATAAGATTATTGGTTGCTGAGTAGGTGATAACCAGAGCTTAGAATTGGACAGATCTAGTTGTTCTGAATTAGAGTTGCTGGGGGTAGGAGTCAGATGCACATTTCTGAGTCCTCTAAGTACTCTAAGATGGAGAGTCAGTGAAGATTTTCTGTATCTTCTGTAAAATATTTACAGAATATTTTAAGTTTTATTGGCTAATAGTCTCTGTCGCAACTACTCAACTGCTCTTGTGCCATGAAAGCTATATAAACAAGCTATAAAATAAATTACGAATACTGAAATTCAGATTTCATATTAATTTTACAAATCATGGGAGGAGTTTGGTAAACAGTGCACAGTTTGCTGAAGTGCTTTGAACTAGTTGTTTTCAAACTTTACCATGTGTCAGAATCACCTCGAGGACTTGTTAAAATATACTTTGCTGGGACCCATCCCCAGATTTTCTGATTCAGTTTGGGGTGGAGCCTAATAATTTGCATTCAGTTTTTTGGCTCCCATTTAGCTTGTCATCCAAGTTCGTAATTAGGATTACTGTTGCTGCCAGAGAAAATAAATAAAAGAAGCATCAATTTTTTATGTAACATGCTTATTATATATTAAAGTTTTTTTAATCTATATTTTTACTTTTAAAATATATTTAGGCTGTGGATTAAATTATCACAAACGATGTGCTTTTAAGATTCCAAATAACTGTAGTGGAGTAAGAAAGAGACGTTTATCAAATGTATCTCTGCCAGGACCTGGCCTCTCATTTCCAAGACTCCTACAGACTGATTATGTACCCCTTCCCACAGAAGAGGTATGTATTTTAAGGCAACAAAAAGGCATTTTACTATTTATTCATTGTATTTCTACAGTATATATGATATCATCCTAGAACATAAGTTATGTACTAAAGACTACTCACATTGCTACACTTAAGAAGCTTAAAATGTATTACTGGAGACAGAGTTTACCTAGTAGTAATGAATTGCATTTTGTATACTTTGGGATCACATTATCACTTGGACCACTGCATTAGCCTCCTAACCGGTATCCAACTTCTGGTTCCCATACTTCACTTCATCTTACACACTACAGTCAGATCGTCTTATTTCACTATAGCTTAATACATAGCTCTGACTATCTCGCTCTCCACTAGGAATCCTTTATATATTCTATGTTTCCAACAGCCCGTTCTTCCTACCCTCCCCCAGCAATCTGTTTTATTCAACATACCCCAAGCACACCATTATTCCATCTACCTTTGCTCTTATTGGTGTCCCTTCTATATGCTGTTTCCAGATTTGGCTCAACAGCTAACTTTCCTGGATTTTCCCTTTACCTAGAAGTTATTTTATTTGCTGAATGGCAAACCACTTCTCAAACATCTCTAATGGTGTGTATAGCATTCTACCTTAATATCATAATGTCCTCCAGAAATTTATGATCTGTTTAGACAGTGCTCATGTCTTTGTGTGCCCTACCATGCCCAGCACAATACCTTGTACTAAGTAGGTGTTCAGTGATGAATGAATGAGTGAACCCATTGCCCCTACAATATTCCAGTGAGATATCTTAGTAGTTCTTTACATAATGAGACAGTTGAGACTCAATAGTGATAACTTGACTCAAGTCACAGAGCAAATTGGTAAGCAATATTAGAATTAAACCCAGATACTATTTTTAAATCAGTGATTTTTTCCCTAATATATTGTACCTCTAAAGAGTAGAACAGTAGATCAGGGAAGAAAGAAATAACTCCTTTGTTCATTTGCTAGTCCTTAAAATGATCTTTGACCATAGATTGCAATCTCATCATTTAGTTGCTTCTGTAACCCCTTTGGTTTTCCATAAATTAATGGCAAAATCAAGCCTTTGGGCTATTGTCTTGATATCGTAGCCACAATATTTTGTTATACTGAGGCATCAGAATAAAAGCTTCTGAAGTTCTTTCACAAGAATCCCATATTTCCATGTTGTTTGTTTAGCCTTAATGTAAGATGTTTAACTTAGAAAAAAAAAAAAAGAGTGCCATTGTATAAGGAACTGCGAGCAAAGAGTTATTATAAGCATATGCAAGAGCTTGGGGAAAGACCGGTAATTGAAAAGTTAGTGCATTTTATAGATGAATTGCACAGGAAACTTAGTTAGGAATGGGGTCCCTGGGATAGATATGTTGTAAGAGTTCTACCAATGATGCTGGGTTGCCAGTTACCCCAGAGGAGTGATACTAGTTTAGGAAATAGGACAGAACAGATAATAAGGTGTCAAGTTTTAAGTCATTAGTTTACATTTTATCCTGAAGATGAAAATTCTTTAGAGAAGTAGAAGAAGTAGAGTGACGTGTTTGAATTGGTTAGATTGTGCAGAGTATTTCAGAACGAGGAGAAATTGTAGAGTGGAACTTACCTCAGAAAGGTTTTTATCAGTCCAAGTAGGCAGTCTCAAAAGGGAAAAAGGCATAGTAAGAGAAGGGCTCATGGAGGAAAATCAGAGGGAAGGGAGAGTGGGAAAAGAGGATACTCTAAAGGAATAGAGGAGACAGCAATGAGGAAATGAGTGCAACCTTGAAAATGAACCAGAGTTAGAGAAGAACTAACTACAAATGGCCACACAGTGAGAGCCTCCTAAGTTTTTCGTGCCAAGCTTCATGCTGGATTCTTTACTTGTCTTTTCTCATGTAATCCTCACCACAGTCCTGGAAGGTATGACAGTTGTTATCCTGATTTCATAGATAAGGAATGAGGAAGAAAAGTTTCTGAGTAGTCAAGATAATTAACCTTTTTTTCCTTGTGACCACTGACCACTGAGATAAGCTTGAAAAAAGGCCAGTTGGGAGAAACTTCTGAATCTGACTCTGAGGTTGTCATCATTTATATGTAAGGAGACAATTTCTGTTATAGGTCTGAAGTCAGTCTGAAGGGAAGCGAGTAAAGAGGGAGGAGCACAAGAAGATAGGCTGTTCACTGAATTTGGTTACAACGGGACCACTGAGGCAGGGGAGACCAGAATTGAATGATGGCTCTTTGGAGATGAGAGAAAGAGGAATGTTCCTAGCAGTACATTTGGGCAAATGCCTGAGGGGCCAGGACAGGACAGAATCAAGGTAAAAAGAAACTGTTGGGCTAAGTGTGTGCATAAAAGTGGAGGTGTTTTTTTCACTGAATAATATTCCAAAGTCAAATATGTGTAATTAGGGAATTGCCCCCTTAAATGCTTTTATTGCCTTTATTATTACATTTAATTGAGTTGGCAACATTGTTAGAAAGTTTTTTGAGCAAATGTTCACTTCAAATATTAGCTGAAACTCATACTGTGAAAATAATTGGATTACTTTTAGAGAACTTCTGGCTACACATTAATAAATAAAAATTTAAGTAGTAGTTTGTAAAGAGGGGCCATTAGAGCAAGGCAGGAGAACTTTCACTCAACTCTAGGTACTCTACTCTATCAGTGTCCCATTTTCACCAAATGCTCCAGGTGATTTTACCAGTATCCTCCTTCTCCAGATTCTGGTTCAGTCTTCCATACCTTTCTTGCCTTCCTCACTTCACAGAGTGATAAACCACAATCACTGATAAGATTGTGTATGCCTAGGTGTGTTTGGATGGGGAAAAGATTAAGAATCACTGGACTTCATGTAGAAGACATAGGGCTAAGTCTTGATTTTGATACTAGCACTTAGTAATATGCATCCTTTTGAGCCTATTTTTTCATATTTAAAATAAATTACTACACAAGTAGGTGTAGTAATTAGGTGGCTGCTCCAACCACAGTCCCCTGCGTAGTTCCTAGCACACATGCTTTGTATCATGTTCCTGATATCCAATCCCAGGAGAACCTGACAAAAGACAGTCAGTCGCTAGCTGGACATTGGCATATGAAGAGATCTGTTATGAAAGGTTTTCCTTTTAGGGGTATCCTATATATTTGATGATGACTTGGCAAATCAGTCTTATTCTGTCTTGTATGTTTTAAACATAAAAGAGACAAACCAAAAGTGGTAGAAGCAGGAGCAAGAGAAGCAGAGTGTTGAGAATAGAGAGCCAGGGATGCACAAAAGCCTACATCTGTTTCTGGTTCTCGTTGGATTCTTTATTAGCTTTGCAGGATCACTGTGGCGTACCTTTTGCTGAAAGTGCTCTGTACCAGGCTGCCTGGCAGGTGGGTCAGCCAGACTAGAGTGAGAGATCTTGGGAAGCTGAAGCAAGCAAGTTTGGTTTGGGTTTAAACATTCTTTATGTACTTTTCTTAAATTAAACTGCTTCATAATTTGCTTTAGAACATTTGTGGAGACACATTAGTGAAAAACCATCCATCAGAAACTATATTTGTGTTTTTTTTTATAATGTTCTCCTCCATTTGTATGCCCTTTTCTTTTTTTTCCTTTCCGTCTTCCTACTTTCTTCCAAAAAGCCTTTTTTTGCTTCTCCCTTCATTCTTTCATATACTTCTCTGTTCCTTGGTTTCCTCTGGCTTCTTTTGCTTTTATTGGTTGAACATCTCAATGTAGAATGATTCAACTTCCCTGGGCTACAGACATTACTAGTTATGGAAGGCTTATGAAAGATCTCAGGATCTCAGTTCTGACACTGAAGATGCAAGCAGCTACAGCAAAATCTGCAACATCCAGATGGGAGTTGGTATTCTGTGCTTTTTTTTTTTTTTTTTAATTTTTTTTTGGTATTCTGTGCTTGAGAACATAGACTATACTCATTTTTGTTTCTGTGATATAAAGTGTAGGGTCTGGTCTATAATATAATCAGTAAAGGTTGAATGAATGTGATGGGCCATATTAAACTGGCCTATAATTTAATTTGATCATTTCCTTTATATATGTAGAAAAGATCACAGTTATAAGTATCTAGTTATCCTTCAGGTTACACAAAAATTTTTAATCAATAACTTTAATTTTCCTTTTTGTTCATCTGGGGGGGAAAAGCCCAAATAAATAGAAAGTACTTAAATCAAGAAACCTCCTAAAGCATAAGTATTGGGGGTAAAGTTGTCTTAATTTGTATCTGCCATTTTTTATATCATCATCATTAGACTTCAGTCTTTAACACATATTTTAGTATTTATAAAAATAACTTTGCAAAACCAGGACATGTTTTAAAATATTTTCAGACATCATGTTCAGTAATTCAACATGAACAATAATAACACTTTCTGAATTTATTTTTCTTGTGAGTAATTTCTTGGTAACGTTTTTCAAGGGATCCAAATGTCACAAATTCATTTTAAGACTTTTATTTGTAAAATGCTATATGTGCCTGACAAATAATAGTTCATCAGTGGATATACATATTGGTTTTTTTAGGTATATTTTTTATTGGAGTTTGATTTGCCAACATATAGTATAACACCCAGTGCTCATCCCATCCAGTGCCCCCCTCAGTGCCTGTCACCCAGTCACCTCATCCACCCACCCACCTCACCTTCCCCTACCCCTTGTTCGTTTCCCAGTTAGGAATCTCTCATGTTCTGTCACCCTCTCCGATTTTTCCCACTCATTTTGTCTCCTTTCCCCTATAATCCCTTTCACTATTTTTTATATTCCTCATATGAGTGAAACCATATTATGATTGTCCTTCTCCTATTGACTTACTTCACTCAGCATAATACCCTCTAGTTTCATCCACGTTGAAGCGAATGGTGGGTATTCATTGTTTCTAATGGCTGAGTAATATTCCATTGTATATACAGACCACATCTTCTTTATCCATTCATCTTTTGATGGACACCGAGGCTCCTTCACAGTTTGGCTATTATGGACATTGCTTCTATATAAACATGGCGGTGCAGGTGTCTTGGCTTTTCACTGCTTCTGTATCTTTGGGGTAAATCCCCAGCAGTGCTGGGTCGTAGGGCAGCTCTATTTTTAACTCTGAGGAGCCTCCACACGGTTTTCCAGAGTGAATGTACCAGTTCACATTCCCACCAACAGTGCAAGAGGGTTCCCCTTTCTCCACATCCTCTCCAAAATTTGGTGTTTCCTGTCACCATTGGTGTGAGGTGGTATCTCATTGTGTTTTTGATTTGTATTTCCCTGATGGCAAGTGATGAGCATTTTCTCCTGTGCTTGTTGGCCACGTGTATGTCTTCCTCTGAAATTTCTGTTCATGTCTTTTGCCCATTTCATGATTGGATTGTTTGTTTCTTTGCTGTTGAGTTTAATAAATTCTTTGTAGATGTTGGATACTAACCTTTTGTCTGATATGTCATTTGCAAATATCTTTTCCCATTCTGTAGGTTGTCTTTTAGTTTTGTTGACTGTTTCTTTTGATGTGCAGAAGCTTTTTATCTTTTATCTTGATTAAGTCCCAATTGTTCATTTTTGCTTTTGTTTCCCTTGCCTTCATAGATGTATCTTGCATGAAGTTCCTGTGGTCAAGTTCAAAAAGGGTGTTGCCTGTGTTCTCCTCTAGGATGCTGGTGGATTCTTGTCTGACATTTAGATCTTTCATCCGTTTTGAGTTTATCTTTGTGTGTGGTGTGAGAGAATGGTCCAGTTTCATTCTTCTGCATGTGGCTGTCCAATTTTCCCAGCACCATTTATTGAAGAGACTGTCCTTTTTCCAGTGGATAGTCTTTCTTGCTTTATCAAATATTAGTTGACCATAGAGTTGAGGGCCCATATCTGGGTTCTGTATTCTGTTCCATTGGTCTATGTGTCTGTTGTGCCACTGTTGTGCCAGTACTACTGTCTTGATGACCACAGCTTTGTAGTACAACTTGAAATACGGCATTGTGATGCCCCCGGCTCTGGTTTTCTTTTTCAGTATTCTCCTGGTATTCAGGGTCTTTTCCGATTCCAAACAAATCTTAAGATTATTTGTTCCAACTCTCTGAAGAAAGTCCATGGTATTTTGATAGGGATTTCATTGAATGTGTAAATGGCCCTGGGTAGCATAGACATTTTCACATATTAATTCTTCCAATCCATGAGTATGGAATATTTTTCCATCTCTTTGTGTCTTCCTCAATTTCTTTCAGAAGTGTTCTGTAGTTTTTAGGGTATAGATCCTTTACCTCTTTGGTTAGGTTTATTCCTAGGTATCTTATGCTTTTGGGTGCAATTCTAAGTGGGATTGACTCCTTAATTTCTCTTTCTTCAGTCTCATTGTTAGTGTATAGAAATGCCACAGATTTCTGGGCATTGATTTTGTATCCTGCCACACTGCCGAATTGCTTTAGGAGTTCTGGTAATTTTGGGGTGGAGTCTTTTGGGTTTTCTACGTACAGTATCCTGTCATCTGCGAAGAGGAAGAGTTTGACTTCTTCATGGGCAATGTGAATGCCTTTTATTTCTTTTTGTTGTCTGATTGCTGAGGCTAGGACTTCTAGTACTATGTTGAATAGCAGTGGTGAGAGTGAACATCCCTGTCATGTTCCTGATCTTAGGGTAAAGGCTCTCAGTTTTTCCCCATTAAGAATGATATTTGCTGTGGGCTTTTGGTAGATGGCTTTTAAGATGCTGAGGAATGTTTCCTCTATCCCTACACTCTGAAGAGTTTTGATCAGGAATGGATGCTGTATTTTGTCAAATGTTTTCTCTGCATCTATTGAGAGGATCATATTGTGAAGATGAAAAAAATTTTTTAGCATAAATAATAGCAAAATATCTGTACTATTCACATTCAAGTGTTGGTAAGTTAAGCTCCCAGAGGAAATTGCTGAGATGTACATTTTTAGATATTTGGCTTCAGTGTTCAAAATAAATGACTTGTGGTTAAGTCTTGCTCTTAATACTTTATTTTTAATATTAACTTATGAAAATCACTTCTGTTTTAGTCACATGTTCACCAAGAACCAAGTAAGAGAATTCCTTCCTGGAGTGGTCGCCCAATCTGGATGGAAAAGATGGTAATGTGCAGAGTAAAAGTTCCACACACATTTGCTGTTCATTCTTACACCCGTCCCACAATATGTCAGTATTGCAAGCGGTTACTGAAAGGCCTCTTTCGCCAAGGAATGCAGTGTAAAGGTAAGATTGGATGTTTTTCTTTTCTTTTCTTTTTTTCTTTCTTTTTTTCTTTCTTTTTTTCTTTCTTTCTTTCTTTCTTTCTTTCTTTCTTTCTTTCTTTCTTTTGTTCTTTCTTTTTTTTTTCATTTTATTTATTTATTCATGAGAGACACAGAGTGGCAGAGATATAGGCAGAAGCAGGAGCACACTCCATGCAGGGAGCCCGATGTGGGACTTGATCCCAGGACCGCAGGATCATGCCCTGAGCCAAAGGCATATGCTCAACCGCTGAGACACCCAGGCGTCCCAAGATTGGATGTTTTTCTTAAGTACAATTCATATGTTAGCAAATTTGGTTCAAAATATTTATATTTCAGAAGTGTTAGGCAAAGAAATTGGTTCCCTAGTTAACTTAAAAAAGATAATACATACAAATATGCATGTACATACTTATTTTTTAACAACTGCTCTTTGCAGAATGTGTACTATGTACCAAGAATTACGCTGTAGGAAAGTTAGAATGTAAAGAGAAAAACTAGAATTTGGATTTATAAGGTATGGTTGCTTAACACGAACCAGTATAGTATGGTTAGTAAGCAGATATTTCAGTTAAGTCTTTCTGATTCAAACCCAGATGCTACCCAAAATATAAAATAATGTTTTCCTCTTTCCATTAAATATTCATACACACAAACATATTACAGAAGTTTTGTTGTTTTCTTTTTTAAGATTGTATTTATTTGAGAGACAGGGCATGAGCAGGGTAGACAAGGCAGAGGGAAAAGCAGACTCAACTTGCTACTGAGCAGGGAGCTCGATGTGAGACTCAGTCCCAAGACCCTGGATCATGACCTGAGCCAAAGGCAGACGCTTAACCTGCTGAGCCACCCAGGCACTCTGAGTTTTATTGTTTTTGTTTTTAATTCTGTAGCTAGGAGAGCTATATTAAAACTGTTACTCCAGAGAAGAATTGTACTAAAGTAGGAAGAATATAGTAGAAGCCCCTGGAATTGTGATAGGGATTATCCATATCTGGATATGAAACACTATTGTATACTAATATTCTAGAAACACCTCTTAATGAACCAGGTTTCTAATAGAGTAGAATATTTTTTCCTATAGTTGTGTAATGATTTTATGCTTTTTAAGATGATTTTATCTTTTTGTCTCATATCTTCTTCACAACCATGCTGTAGTGAAGACGAAAGTAGAGTTTAAAATGTCTTAGTAATTATTGAGCCAGTGTGCTGTATAAATAGCCTGTCTATAATCCTGTGTACTTATTTTTTATGTGATTATTTTAACAATTCTTAATATCCTACTTTTTACAAGTAGATGTAGTTGAGGAATTGAATTACCTATTTTTATCTAAATAAAACATCAAAGTTGAGGTCTTTGCAACTATAAATACAGAACCAAATAATTGTACGTAAATTTAACTTACATATATAGAAAACTTCTCTTGCCCATATATGGCAACATAGGAGAACATCAAATAGAGAATGAGTTGTGCCTTTGTTGCCAGGCATTTAATAACTATCAGGCAGGCATAATTAAATGTTGACATTTTATTTCAGCAGCTTACTTCTGAATATGAATTAATATATAAATTAATACTTTAAAATATCAACACTAAAGTGTATTGGCAAGCAGCCACTAAGGAATGTTTTGGGAAAGAACATTAATAACAGATGTGTAAATTCTAGCCAATAAGATAATCTTAGTAAAGGTTATAAATAGTGCTGCTCTGTTGAACAGAAATATTCTAAAATGATATGCAGAGCAGTACGACATCTTATAGAGGACCTAAAATAAATATGTAGATTAATGAATTTTGAAATAAAGTCAGTTCTGCCACTGGGTTTTTGGTTTAATTTCTTAGAACTCTAAAAGAATAATGTTTGTGTTTATATTGGTTCAGAAATACATTTTTATAGCTAAGCTATTTTAATTATTAGTCAAAAACAATCACTTATTTTAGTGTTTACTCTATTTTTATAATATGAATTAAGATACTTAAAAAGTAGTATTTGGGTGGCTCAATTGCTTCAGTGTTTGCCTTCAGCCTCAGGTCATGATCTTAGGGGTCCTGGGATCAATCCCCATATTGGGCTCCCTGCTCAGCAAGGAGTCTCCCTCTCCCTCCACCCCACCTCTCGTATGTTTTCTCTTAAATAAAATCTTAAAAAAAAAAGTGAAAGTCATTTTCATTCACCTTGTCAAGCTAAAAACGAAAAAAATAATATAGTTAAAACATTTAAACTGAATCATTTGAGGAAAACATAAAGTTCCAAACAGCAGTATTCATTCATTCACCTATTTATTTTCTTCTGTGAAAATTAAAACTCAAGGCAGCTTGAAAGCATATATAAAATACAAGAAAACATAAACAAGTCAATAAAAACATGAGAAGGCAGGAGGGCAGTTGATGTAAGGAGCACTGGGTATTATATGCAACTGACAAAATGCAACTGACAAATCATTAAATTCTACTCCTGAAACTAATCCACTATATGTTAACTAACTTGAATTTAAATAAAATCTTAAAAAAGGGAACAAAACCATTGGTAGGAGTACAGAGAAATAAAAATGCCTGCCATTCGAACATACTTGCTCAGGCAGGCCACAAATCTGGCTATACATTTTCAAAGGGAAAACAAATCTTGTTATTGTCACAATTTGTAAAACCTCATGAGAATAAGAAGTACACCAATTATTTAAGATATATGGGATATATTAATAGTAATATTATATATCAGTTTTTCTAGGGCATTTCACTTAAAAAGACAGTTATTTAATACAAGTTTTGTCACCCGCCAAATTTTTTTTAATTTTTTTTTTAAGATTTATTTATTCATTCATGATAGAGAGAGAGGCGCAGAGACAGGCTCCACGCTGGAAGCCCGATGCGGGACTCGATCCCGGGACTCCAGGATCACCCCTGGGCCAAAGGCAGGCGTCAAACCGCTGAGCCACTCAGGGATCCCCAAATTTTTAATCATGAGACTTTTTCTTATAATGACCTTTACCTTATGCCATTGGTATGATACCCAGAATTTTCTTGAATTATAAGGATTACAAAATCATTCTGAGTCAGGACTTGAAATCATTTTTATCCAAATATTGCTGGTAGATGTATTTCTAAGATGGAAGGTAGTAGTAGACAGTAGTTACAGCAGTGGGTCTCAATTTTGGTGTCACCTAAAAAATACTTACTAAAACACACTCCCAGAGCTGCTGATATAATAGGTTTGGGGTGGGGCAGAAGAGTTTGCATTTCTTTTTTTTTTTAATTTTTATTTATTTATGATAGTCACAGAGAGAGAGAGAGGCGCAGAGACATAGGCAGAGGGAGAAGCAGGCTCCGTGCACCGGGAGCCCAATGTGGGATTCGATCCCGGGTCTCCAGGATCGCGCCCTGGGCCAAAGGCAGGCGCCAAACCGCTGCGCCACCCAGGGATCCCAGAGTTTGCATTTCTAACAAGGTCTTAATAATACTGATGCTGCTGGTCCAGGAACCACAGTTTGAGAACCGCTGATTTACACAGTAGTATTGAACACGTTGCACCTGACACTCATCTGCAGTGCTGTCAACTCTGATGTTCTTGCAGGCTAAAGAAAACTGTGCATAAAGGTGGGAAATCTTGTGCATGAGCAGCTTAGTCCTTCCTTATAAGGCTGTATGGGAAAGCCCTTACTAATTCCTAATTGAAGCTTGTAGAGTCTCAGTCTCTTCCGCATATGCACCAGGCCCTAATAATTAGGGACTGAAAGTAAGTGCTTGACATATGTTGGAAAAGTAGTTAGCCTGAGAAACTCTTAAAGGGAATGTGGAAAGATGAATGTGAGGCTAAGGGAAGGAAACATGGAGCTCTCAGCAACATTTTGACAATGTGTCTATCAAATGAATAGTATTAGCTTCATTATGGAGATAAAGAAACTGACCATTGGTAGAAATGGGGAAGATGGTGGCAGAGTAGGAGGAATCCAGGTTCATTCGTCCCAAGAATACAATTAGATAGCTATCAAAGCATCCTAAATATCCCAGAAATTTACTTGAAGACTGGCAGAACAAACTCCACAATTAAGTGTAGAGAGAGGCCACAATAAAGAAGGCAGGAAGTGCAGGACATTGTTTACAGGAGAAATGGGTCCTGGCTGCTGCAGAGGGGAGGGAGCCATGGTCATAGAGAAGGGCAAGAGAAGAGCACTCAGAGGAATGCACAGGAGAATGTTTCCCCGTCCACTGGCTTGGAAAGCAAGGTGGGCTAAATTTTGTGAGTTCTTGTAGGCAGAGGACTTCATGTCCAAAGTTTTAAGTGTCAGTGGACTGGGCTCCAAGAGTCTAGAGGCATCAAAGAATCTAGAGGCATCGAGTCCGCTCTTGGAGAAAAGGGCAGGCAAACAACCCCAGGGACAGTGTGGAAACAATGATTTGAAGAGTGCCTGGGGCACACAGTGGGGAGATTATTTCCTGTTCTCAGGTCAGTCAGAGAAAGACAAATACCATATGATTTTATGCATGTGGAATTTAAGAAAAAAAAAAACAAGCAAAGGGGACAAAAAAGAGAAACTAAGAAAGACTCTTAACTAAGAGAACAAACTGATGGTTACTAGAGGTAGGTGGGGGGATGGGTGAAATAGGTAATGGGGATTAAGGAGTACACTTTGAGTACCAGGTGTTATATGGAAGTGCTGAATCACTATGTTGCACACTTTTTTAATTTTTTTATTTTATTTTTTTTTTAATTTTTAATTTTTATTTATTTATGATACTTACAGAGGGAGGGAGAGAGGCAGAGACACAGGCAGAGGGAGAAGCAGGCTCCATGCACCGGGAGCCCGATGTGGGATTCGATCCCGGGTCTCCAGGATCGCGCCCTGGGCCAAAGGCAGGCGCCAAACCACTCTGCCACCCAGGGATCCCACTATGTTGCACACTTGAAACTCACATTATACTATGTTAACTAGTTGGAATTTAAATTAAAACTTAAAAAAAAAATAAGAAACTGAGCCCTGAGGAGTTAAATACCTATTAAGAGGTGGCATCAGAATTTGAAACCAGACCTTTATTCCCAAACCTGAGTTCTGAGTAAAGGCAAACTTTAAAAAGTCTCTAACCGTATCTGATACTGCCTGACTTTTTTCATAAATTAATAAACCAAATACTTTATTTCAGATTGTAAATTCAACTGCCATAAACGCTGTGCATCAAAAGTACCAAGGGACTGCCTTGGAGAGGTTACTTTCAATGGAGGTAAAATTCTTTATCTTAATTTCCATAAAGGATTAGAAAAGGTCACAATTCTTTGTGTATTATCTTTGTATAAGGTTATATTTGCATATTGTATTTTGTCTGTTTCTTAACTTTGACTTTTTAAGACTTAATAAACAAAATGCAGACATCAATAATGGTACACTTTTATTAGTCATTATGCCTTCCCCTTTTTCCTTTAACCAGTTACTACTCTGTAGTCTAATATTGCCAGTGGTGCTGCATATTCTCTTCCATCTTAGACATAAAAAGACTTATTTTAACATCCTGCTGTAGTCCCTAAAGGTTTTCGTTGTTCTAGTACTTACTGCCCCTGTATGCCAGGAACTGTTCTTCACTCTTTACATATATTAACATTTATTTATTTATTTCTAAAGATTTTTTTTTTATTTATTCACGAGAGACACAGAGGCACAGGGAGGAGAAGCAAGCTCCATGCAAAGAGCCCGACGTGGGACTCATCCCGGAACTCCGGGATCACGCCCCAAATCAAAGGCAGAGGCTCTACGCTGAGTCACCCAGGAGTCCGGATATATTGACATTTAAACTAAGAACACCCCTTGGAGTTTAAGTACTTAAAGAAGAGTGAACTTGGGCACAAAGACATTAGTTAACTTGCTCAAGAAATGTAGCCAGAAACTTACAGTTGGGATTTGAACCCATGTAGTTGGCTTCTGAGTCCATAGTCTTTAGAACACATTGTACTGCCTCACTGTCTGTCTCCCTTAGTCATTCCCTAGACATTTTCCCATGGGTCCTGTTGGTTTTTTTCCTCTTTTCGAGATTATATTAATTTGAAGTGATTACCTTTTTGGAAGGAAGGAGTAATGATTCTAAGCATAATTTTTCTTTAATATTTACAAGACTGGTAAAAATTGGATGTAATAGTTCTATAGGAGAAAAAGCATAAGGAATGGAAATTAAATTTCTTAAAACTTTTTTCCTTTAATGGCTTGTATTTTATGGTTGCTATTTAACACCACTGACAACGTGATTGGTTTTTTCATTTGGGTTACTTTGAACTAATGCAGTTTTTCTTTAGACCAAAGTCTAAAGATTTCTCTAGATTTATGGTTCATATCTTTTTGTACTTTTCTACTGTTTGATAAATGGTTATCAAATACTCTTTATATTGATTTTAAGGTACATTTGTATACTGAGCTTGACAAATCTTTCAAATGTTGACTGTTTACTTAGGGTTTTTTCCCCTGTAAATTACCTATTTACATGGTTTGTCCATTTTTCTGTTTGCTTATTTGTTATTGATTTGCAGGGAGTTTTGTTCATAATTCTACCTAATAATTCTTTGTCAGTTATACTTGACAAACACCTTCTCTCAGTTATGCTTATCATTTTTTAGAGTAGCTTTATTGAGATAATTTGCATACTTTACACATTTAGTTTATTCACTAAGTTAGGTAGCTGTCAATATAGTCCAGTGGTGGGACATTTTCATCACCCTGAAAAGAGAACTGCATACACTCTCGTAGTCACTCCTCACTTTTCCACACTAGCCCCTGGCAACTGCCAATCAACTTTCTATCTCTACGGGTCTGTCCATTCTAGACATTTCGTATAAATAAAGTCATATAATATGTAGTCTTTTGGGACTGGTATCTCACATAGCTTCATGTTTGCAGGGTTCATCCATGTTAAACATGTATCAATACTACCTTCTGCTTTGTGGATGAGTAACATTCCTCTGCTTGAATATACCACATTTTATTTTCCAGTCAATGGACATCTGAGTTGTATCCACTTTGGGGCTATTATGAATAACACTATGAACATTTGAGTACAGTTTCTGTGGACATAGATTTTCCTTTTGCTTGGGCGGGTATCTAGTTGTGTAAATTGTTGAGTCATATGGTAACTCTGTATTTAACCTACAGAGAACTGCTAAATGTTTTCATTTTGACCGGCAATGTGTGGGGATTCTGATTTCTTTGCATGCTCCTCACCACTTGTTATTGTCTATCATTTTGACTGTTGCCATCCTAGTGAGTATGAGGTGATACCTCATTGTGGTTTTGATTTGCATTTTGCTAATGGCTAATTGACATGTACTTCTTTTCACTATCTGTTTGGTCATTTTTACATTTGCTTTGGGGAATATCTTATTCCTATCCTTTGCCCATTTAACTGTTTATATCAGTTTATTATTGAATCATAAGAGTTCTTTAAATATTTGCAATACAAGTCCCTTATTTGATATTTGTAAATACTTTCCCCTTCTTTTGGGCTTTTTGCTTTCTTGAGGTATCATTTGCAGCACAAAAATTTTTTAAGTCCAATTTATTTTTTCTTTTGTCACTTAGGTTTTTGGTGTTAAGGTTACAAAGATTTATGTTTGAGGAAGAGTTTTCTTCTAAGAGTTTTATAAAATTAGCTCTTATATTTAGACCCGTGATCTACCTTAATTTTCTATTTGGTTTAAGAAAGAGGTCCAGTTTCACCTTTTTGCACGTAGCTATCAGTTGAAATAGCACCAGTTTTTGAGTAGACTATTTATTCTTTTCCCAACGAATTGCCTTGGACCTTTGTGGAAAACCAGTTAATCCAACATACTATAGTGGTGGCTAATTTTTTACTTTGCTTTTAGTATCTTTTGTCATGTGGAAATTTAAATTATAATTAATCAAATTACTTTTCTTCCTTCTGGTATATGGATTTTGTATCTTCCTCAAATACTGCTTTATCCTAAGTCATAAAGATATTTTCCTAGATTTTCATTGAGAGTCTTAAAGCTTTTTTCCCCCACATTTAATATACTTTTTTCTATCTAGATGTATTGATCTCCCATTAATAGAAAACTTTGAATTCATTTAAAACTTTGCCAGAACCTTCCAGTCTGGGAGCAGATACAGATATACCTATGGATATCGACAGCAGTGATATGAACAGTGATGGTAGTCGGGGATTGGATGACACAGAAGAACCATCTCCTCCAGAAGACAAAATGTTCTTCTTGGATCCATCTGATCTTGATGTGGAAAGAGATGAGGAAGCCGTGAAAACAATCAGGTAGTGCATGTACATGTCCCACAGTCTGCTTCCCAAAGCAGGGTCAGTCCAAGGCGCTCCCTTAAGAAAGAGTCTCTTTACATGGAACCTAAATGTAATTTAAAATTTAATTAAATTGTTGCTAATTCTGTTACATGTACCACAGTATTTCTGAAATAAATTATATCACTCCTGCCATCCACTCAAGATGGGAAGGTGTGAGAATCCTTGTTTTCTTGAAGAAAAAAATGCTTTGTATAAGTGTAGCCTAGATGATATCCCACTGTGGAGCAGGCACCACAAGGTGTCAGAATTGAACTATCAGTTAAAGCAACCAGTTTTTTCATGTAGGCAGATTATCGATGTCAGAAACACCAGTACTAATGTATACCTGCAGATGTTGCACACAGATGATGGTGACGAATTTGGGAGCAGTTTTCATATACCACAGTTTATTAGACTATTAGCACTTTGTAAAAATGCTTTTGGCTTATAAAACTTTTAAATATCCTCTTATGTTTATAGGAATTCAGTTTTTCTGTATATACAGCTTTATAGGATATACTACTTTGTGATAAAATTTTAATATTTTGGCAGGTTTTGGTTTTCATTGGCAACCAGGAGGTATTTAGAAAAAATGGATCATTTACCAGTCTCACGTGGCTGAGTGATCATTTATTCATTTTTGCTTATCATTAGATTACAGCTATTAACTATCATTATCATTTTCTTTTTTCACTAAGATTTAATTTCCCTATTTGGCAGAGACAGCACAAACGGGCGGGGGTGGGACAGAGGGAGAGGGAGAATCAGGCTCCCTTCTAAGCAGGGGAGCCTGATGTGAGGCTTGATTCTAGGACCCTGCAACCATGACCTGAGCTGAAGGCAGACACTTAGACAACAGAGCCCCTCAGGCACCCCTATCATTATTCTGAACTAAAACTTAATATTTACTCAGTTTAGAGACTATCAGGAGAACTTCGGTAGCTTCCTAATCATGAATACTGGGATCCCTGAGTGGCGCAGCGGTTTGGCGCCTGCCTTTGGCCCAGGGCGCGATCCTGGAGACCCGGGATCGAATCCCATATCGGGCTCCCGGTGCATGGAGCCTGCTTTTCCCTCTGCCTGTGTCTCTGCCTCTCTCTCTCTCTCTCTCTCTGACTATCATAAATAAATAAATTTAAAAAAACTAATCATGAATACTTTATAATTTAAAAGAAAATATTTAACTGAGACTGAAACTGAAAAACTATATGTTTTTCACACATAGCCCTCAAATTGTTCTTTTCCTCCAGCTGCGTTATTCCTGACCCATGTTTCTGTATTACCTGATTTAACTCAGTACGCTATTTTTTTTTTTTAAGATTTTATTTATTTGTTCATAAGAGACTTAGGCAGAGGGAGAAGCAGGTTTCCTGCAGGGAGCCAGATGTGGGACTCGATCCTAGGACCCAGGGATCACGCCCTGAGCTAAAGGCACTGAGCTGCCCAAGTGTCCCTATTTTTTAAATTTTCTTAATTATTATCTGTAAATCCTTTTCCTTTCAGTGTCTTCTACTAGAAATACTTTTTGTTAACATGAATAATGGAATTGACATTTGAAAAGCAGTTTACTTTTTACCTTGTTATGAATTCACTAATTAATCATGCTGCCTAGGGCAAAAGAAACTTTCTCAACAGAATTCCCAAATGAGACCCTCTACCAGGCTTCAGATCTTCTAATTAGGGAGAATTCTTTCTGCTCTGTGCATTGTTCTGTGTTATCACCCTTCACAAAATATTGATGACAAATAATGAGAACTTGCAGTATTATCTTAGTCTTTTATAAATCAATTGTGTATCATCATAATGGGGTTAATTTATTTTCTTAAACTATTTCTCTTAGATATTTTGAAAAATTTTAGCTCAATTGTCTTAAAAAGGGCTGATGAGTTTATAGTGTTTATATGATTTTTAAAAATTTAAATTATCAATATTTTATCATAAATTCTAAATGTTTTTTAGTCCATCAACAAGCAGTAATATTCCGCTAATGAGGGTTGTACAGTCCATCAAGCACACAAAGAGGAAGAGCAGCACGATGGTGAAGGAAGGGTGGATGGTCCATTACAGCAGCAGGGACACCCTGGTCAGTAAACACAGACATTGTAATATGGTAGTGAAATTTTGTTATGTGCTTTACTTTATGCATTTTTAAAATCAAAGTAAGAATGAAATAAATATTAAGACATTATAGTACACTGGAACTATAGGTAAGTTTGTAAAGAGTTTTCAAAAGGCAGAACTTTGAAATATTTTTATAAACTAGTAGAGCAGTAGAGATTCAGAAAGTGTCTGAGGATACAATACTAAATATCAAATCCATTAAAGAAATAATTGATAAGATGGATTTCATTACAATTAAAAGCTTCTCCTCAGCAAATGACAGTGTCAAGAGAATAAGACAAACACAGATTAGGAGAAGATCTTTGTAAAAGAGACATTGATGGAAGACTATTCTCCAGAATACACAAAGAACTCTTAAAACTCAATAGTAAGAAAACAAACAACCCAATTAAAAGCTGAGTCAAAGACCTTAACATATACCTCCCCAGAGAAGATATACAGATGGCAGATTAGCATATGAAAAGATGTTCTATATCATATATCATCAGGGAAGTGCAATTTAAAACAACAGTACAATATCACTACAGACTGGAGTGGCCAAAATCTGGAACATTGACAACACCAAAGGCTGACAAGGATGTAGAGCAACACATACTTTCATTCATTGCTGGTAGGAATGCAAAATGGTATGGACGCTTTTAAAGATAGTTTGACGGCTGCTTACAAAACTGAACATACTCTTATCATATGATGTAGCAGTTGCACTCCTTGGTTTTTACCCAAAGGATATAAAAACTTATGTTCACACAAAACCTGAATATGGATGATTACAGTAGCTTTATTCATAATTGGCAGAACTTGGAAGCAACAGGATGTCCTTCAGGAAGTGAAGTGACAAATAAACTGTGGTACATCCTTCCTGACAATGGAATATTATTTAGTACTAAACAGCAGTGAGCTATGAAAAGACAGGAAGGAATCTTAAATGCATATTACTAAGACAAGAAGCCAATGTAAAAAGGCTACATACTGTATAATTCCAACTATGTGACATCTGGAAAAAGCAAAACTATGGAGACAGTAAAAAAAGATCAAGGATAGGGGGCAGGTAGAGATGAATAGGCAGAAAGAACACAATTTTTAAGGCAAGGAAAAACTCTAAAGTCCCTTAATGATGGAAACCTGTCATCATACATTTGTCCAAACCCATAGAATGTAGGATACCAAGAGTAACCCATAATGTAAACTCTGGACTTTATGATTATGATGTATCAATATAGGTTCATCAGTTGTAACAAGTGTACCACTCTGAATGAGGATGTAGATAATGGGGAGGCTATGCATATGTGGGGAGCAGGGGGTATATGAGAAGTCTCTGTACCTTCCCTTTAATTATGCTCTGACCAAAAATGGCTAAAGTCTTCATTAAAAAAAATAATAATAATTTAGACATGTGAAAAAAACCACATGTCAAAAAACAAAAAACAAAAAGCAAAGACACATGACAACCTGGAAAAGTATTCTAAAGTCATAATCTAGACAGGGAATAATTTCATTATATGTGAAGGCTGACGACAAATTGATCAGAAAAAGGCCACAACACAAAGAATGGGGAAAGAATATCAACAGAGTTTACAGACAAGGAAATGCAAATGACTCTTAAACATTAGAGCTTTTTCTCGTTTTTTAATAAAAAGTACAATTTAAAACTTCACTGAATTGTCAGCTCTTATTTATCAGTGTAGCCAAGATCAAAAAGTTTAGTAACATAACTACATTAGTGAAGGTTTGAGTAAATAGGTATTCATGTTGCTGATGAAACTATAAATTGAGTCAAATCTTATGTAGAGTGATTGACACTGTCAAGGAAAATTTACATGTGTATATGTCATTTGACCTAGTGAGCCAGAGGAAATGTAGCCTGTAGGTAAATTACCTATCTGCACATGTGTACCACATAGGTATTTGTGTGTACATGCATAAAATTCTTTAAAAGTATTCCCAGAAACCTACTATCATTGGATGGGAGTGGGATGTTAGCGGTGATGGCAATATACTTGTCACTCTATCCTTCCTATGTTTGCAGAATTTTGACTCTCATGAATTTTAAACCTATTCAGAAATACAAACTTATGAATAGTAATGAAAGAAAAAGGAAGATGCAGATACTTTGAAGGAATCATTTTTATACCTGAGTATTATGCCCTTTATTTTATAGAGAAAGAGGCATTACTGGAGACTGGACAGCAAGTGTCTAACATTATTTCAAAATGAATCTGGATCAAAGTACTATAAGGTAAAGATTCCACATTTTAAAAAATACATACATTGAAATATTCTGTATTTTCCAAATATATTCAAGTAATGTTGATTATTGGAGTATACCTATTATGACTGCCTAATATCATTTATAGAAGTCATTGTTAAGTTTCTTGTTGAAATAAGTGTCCCACACTCCTCCATACCCCCCCCCCCCAATAGCCCTGCTACACAAGGTGGTTTGTCGTGTGTTCCTTTGGTTTTGGCCTGCTTCTCAGGTTGTTCCTGATTTCCTTTTGGATGCTATGATTTAGATTGGGAAGTTTAGTAAGTCCCATTATCATAGCCTGTGCGAAGAGGCCAGGTAGTATTTGGTGTTCTCCACCACTCCATTTTATCTTAGGCCCCGATTCCCAAAAGCTGCTGCTTCTTTGTATAGTCTGATTTGCTTTTTTTTTTTAATATTTTTTAAAATTTTTATTTATTTATGATAGTCACAGAGAGAGAGAGAGAGAGAGAGAGAAAGGCAGAGACATAGGCAGAGGGAGAAGCAGGCTCCATGCACCGGGAGCCCGACGTGGGATTCGATCCTGGGTCTCCAGGATCGCGCCCTGGGCCAAAGGCAGGCGCTAAACTGCTGCGCCACCCAGGGATCCCGTATAGTCTTATTTGTATAAGACTTTGTATAGGCGTCTTTGCTTGGCTTGCTCCACACTTTGCCGTGTCACAGACCAACACCAAAAAAAATTGTAGAGTGTAGCAGTTGTATCCCTAAGAGAGAGTATAGAAACTCATGACTTGCTTTGAACTGGTTGGGTTCTTTTAAGTATGTTTTTTTGTGTGTGTTAGGAAGTAAGCTACATGTAAATAATTGTTACAGCTATGGGCAGAACTAGAATAGAATACTTGAACAATCTATACTAACATTCTTTTTTCGCTCTTATTTTTGCTTTGTTCTCTGAGGGCTGTATCTTGCAGATAGCTGCTAGTAGACGAGTAATTGTTGATTTAATGATGATTGGAAAGTGACAGATGTTGGATATAGCGGCAGTCACCCTTCATGGTCCTCCCCTTCCTTGCATTCTAATGACCTGCTGAAGGCCTGGCTTAGTTATAATCTCCTTGCTCTGCCTTTGGCATTGTTGGGCATACAAATCATTCAAGGCAGATATTATCGTAAGATTTAACTATGTTTTCTATGTACCACATACTTGTGTTCATCTTAATGCAAACATTAGAAACACATATCTCTGATTGTTTAGTGTATTTGAAAATAAAAACAAAGATGTATTCATATTTTTTAATGCTTAATTTTTTACTTCAGGAAATTCCACTTTCAGAAATTCTTCGCATATCTTCGCCACAAGATTTCACAAACATTTCACAAGGCAGCAACCCACACTGTTTTGAAATCATCACTGATACTATGGTATACTTTGTTGGGGAGAACAATGGGGACAGCTCCCACAATCCTGTTCTTGCTGCCACTGGAGTTGGAGTTGATGTAGCACAGAGCTGGGAAAAAGCAATTCGCCAAGCTCTCATGCCTGTTACCCCTCAAGCAAGTGTTTGCACTTCTCCGGGGCAAGGGAAAGATCACAGTAAGCAATAAGCTTGTTGATGGCTTTTTTACCCCCTCTGGTTGTTAAGCATTTTGTGGGTGTGGTTGTGTGTCTGTATTTCTAATGCTCATTTTAAGCTTCGTCTTTAGTAACCAGTATTGTTAGTTAATTCCTTTATACGTTAGTTACAATGTATATATACAATCCCCAGAGCTTGGTTCCAGAGTCAGTCTCCCTACATTTAGATCCTGGCTCTGCCAGCATATATGTGATCTTAGGCAAAACTTTACTTCTCTGTAATAGTACATACCTTACAGGGCTGTCAGCATCAAAGGAAAGAGAACCAGTAAAGAATAAAACAGTGTTTGGTATCCATGAACTCTCATTGGATTAAGCAAACTACTAGTATTTTGCTTCATGGTAAGATATAAACAGGTGATGAAGTATTACAGTTCACATTTTGTGAAATCTATGAAGGCAGAAATGCTGTTTTTCTCTTTTTTAAAATATTCATTTGAGAAAGAGAGTGCAAGCAGGAGGAGAGGCAGAGAAAAAGGGAGAAGCAGACTCCCCACTGAGCCCAATGTGGGACTCAATCCCAGGACTGAGATCATGACCTGAGCTGAAGGCAGATGCTTAACCATCTGAGCCACCCAGGCTTCCCTTCTTTTAACTGTATTAAAACATTCAGAAATACTAAAAAATTATTGAAACATGTTCTTTGCACTAACAAAATTTATAAAATAAAACCTAAATTTGGGCAGCCCCGGTGGCTCAGCGGTTTAGCGCCGCCTTTGGCCCAGGGCGTGATCCTGGAGACCCGGGATCGGGTCCCACGTCGGGCTCCCTGCATGGAGTCTGCTTCTCTCTCTGCCTCTCTCTCTCTCTCTCTCTCTCTCTCTCTGTGTCTCGTGAATAAATATATAAAATCTTAAAAAAAATAAAATAAAATAAAACCTAAATTTGATAAAGAATCAAGTGAAAGCCATAATATGTCACTTTTAACGCCTTTGATGTTAAGTTATTTATGGAGAAACGTTCATTAGACAAATATATTTAAATTGAAATAGATATCATTTCCTAAATGTACTTTCAGTTCAGCTGTATTATTTCATATATCTATTCTTGGCATTATGCTAGGTTCTAAGCTAGAATGCAAAAGAAATACAGAAATTAAAGGAGATAGGACTACAAACATAAGTGTTTAGTAGTAGCATAAAGCAGTAGAGCGCAGAAATGAGTAATGCCTTACTTGGGAGATGCAGATATGGATAGGAGTAAGCAGAAACTGTGGCAGAAGAACCTGATTTGGACCTTGACCTTGGATCTCAAGTAGGTTAAGATAGGATAAATTAAAAGAGAAGGGTGGGGGAAGTAGTGAATCTTGTTAATACATTTTTTTTAATTTTTTATTTATTTATGATAGTCACACACAGAGAGAGAGAGAGGCAGAGACACAGGCAGAGGGAGAAGCAGGCTCCATGCACCGGGAGCCCGACGTGGGACTCGATCCCGGGTCTCCAGGATCGCGCCCTGGGCCAAAGGCAGGCGCTAAACTGCTGCGCCACTCAGGGATCCCTGAATCTTGTTAAAGAGAGTTGTGATCAAAGGGATGAAAGTAATGACTGTGAACACGTTTGGTGTTTAATATTGATTCTTAGAGGATGAATTAGATAGGTATTTATAGTGCTTTTTGTTTTGGTGAATTTTAGACAGAACTTTGATATCCTAATTAAGGCCATGGACCTTTTCCCCCAGAAAATAATACAGGTACATAACACAAATTTTATGTATCACTGGATATAGGAACTTTCTCCCTTGAGTTTAGAGTCTCTAAAACCAGAATTGCAGAAGGGTTAAGAGTGAGGATACTAGAGAATTGAAAGCACAGTTGCTGCTTACTGGCTAATGTGATCTTGGTCTCTGCAGTCTCTAAAGTGGGAATAATAATAAATGCATATAATGCACTGAGCACAGTTCCTGACACATTAGTAATATTATTACTTGGCTGTTGGCTGCTGCTGCTTTTTCTCGGGGAGAGTTCTGGGAAGCAATAGAAAGTAAAAATAGATGGAGCTAGACAGCAGAGTCCTTTGAAACAAAATCATTTTTGCCTTACACTAGGAAACTCGAATGACTGAAAAGCAGAACTTTTGAGGCTTTAATATCATTGATGCTGTGCCTTTTTTGTCTGTTCATTAATATTTAATATTTGAATTCAAAATATTTTCAGAATGACTTCATATCTTTATTTTTAATTTTGTTTTTTTTAAGATTTTACCTATTTATTCATGAGAGACACACACACACACACAGAGAGAGAGAGGCAGGGACACAGGCAGAGAGAGAAGCAGGCCCCATGCAGGAAGCCTGATGTGAGACTCAATCCTGGGTCTCCAGGATCAGGCCCTGGGCTGAAGGCGGTGCTAAACTGCTGAGCCACCCGGGCTGCCCAACTTCATAGTTTTAAATGCAGTTTTTGACAGTCATGTTACTTATATTTGACATATAAGTCATATTTGTTTTAAATTTTTATATTTTGGATCATAAAGGAAATTTCACATCTTGTCTCTGAGTTGTCTCCGAGATTCTAGATGTTTGAGACCTTGTCTCTTACTCACTTCACCTGTGTCAGTTATACTTCCTTTGCTTACCAAAGTAATACAGACATTTAAACTTAACAGTAATATGGAATATATCCCTGGGTGGCTCAGTGGTTTAGCGCCTGCCTTTGGCCCAGGGCGCGATCCTGAAGTCCCGGGTTCAAGTCCCGCGTCGGGCTCCTGGCATGGAGCCTGCTTCTCCCTCCTCCTGTGTCTCTGCCCCTCTCTCTCTCTCTCTCTCTCTCTCTCTCTCTGTCTATCATAAATAATAAATAAATAAATATTTTTAAAAAATTAAAAAAAATAAAATGAGAAAGTCCTTCTAGTACCCTTGTAACACACTCCCTTGTTGCTGTTCCTGTATCTCCCCCCTCAGAAAAGCATTATTAACCATTTAGTGTATATTTCTTGGTTTAGGGAGAAGGGAAGTTGATTCTCTCTGTACTGTATTGTTATAGTTTTACAAAAAATGTGGTCATACTTCATTCTTTTTGCAACTTGCTTTTATGCACTATTTAATTAATATGTATCAGATATAGTTCAATGTCAGTATATAGACTTAACTGATTTTTAATTTTTTTTATTAAGTAATGCATGCTTTTTATGTTTTAGAAAATGGAGGCAGCATAGAAGTGTATAAAGACTAAATAAAGTCTTTGTTCCCCAACCCTATGCTCTCTCACTCACCAGAAGTATCATAGTTTCTTTGTTTGTAATTCAAATGCTGCTGCCTTACAACTTGCCTTTCTGACTTAATATGCCATGGATAGCTTTCCAACTCAGTATGTATAGCTCTACACCATTAAGTGTTTAGATAGTATTTCTTTGTGTGGATGTATCATATTTTATTTAACCACTTTCTTGTTGACGGGTTAGTATTGTGTGTGTGGATAATTTTTTTTAAAGAACATAATTATATTAACTGTATGTTAGCTAGTTTTTTAAGATTTAATATATTGTGGACATTCACATGTCAGCAAATGTTAATATTAAGCCATATAAGTTTTGTTCGTTTTCTCATACATCATCCTTCTGTTTCTACAGAAGATTTGTCTACTAGTATCTCTGTATCTAATTGTCAGATCCAAGAAAATGTGGTAAGTAAACATTAGTGAAAATATGCAAATTGGGTAATTAAAATAGGTAAAATAAGATGTGAAAATCTTATTAGAAAATAAGCTCAAGAGACAAAAAAACCAAACTCTTAAATACAAACTGGTGGTTGCCAGAGGGGAGTTGGGTGGGGGATAGGTAAAATAGATAAAGGAAATTAAGGATACATTGATCTTGATGAGCACTGAGAAACCTTTAGAATTGTAAATCACTATATTGTTCACCTGAAACTAATAGAGCAATATATGTTAATTATACTTGAATTAAAAAAAATGTTTATAGGCCAAAGTAATGAGCAATTGGCCTAAAGACACTCACTAGATTTTGTGGCTAATTACTTCTCTAAGGAGTTCTGCTTTATGAAGGAAACTAAGGCAGGTTTTTTTTAAACTGTGAAAATAAAGATAACTTTTTCTCAAGTGATAGTAGAATGTTACATAGTGATAGACTAGTTCAAAGAGAACGGAGGGATTACTTCACACTGGGTCAGGAGGGTAAGCTTCCTAAAGGAAGTGAAACCTGAGCAGTACCACAAGGAGGGACAGGAATTTCAGATGAGGGTGGGGAACAGTAGTAGTTTGTGCAAGTGCAGGGACCTGGATGGGCAAATAGAAGGAAGCAGGACATACAAGACTTTTAAGGAATAGTGAATAGCATGTTGGGGATTATAACAGGAGTCAGCATAATTTCTATGAAGAAATAGATAGTAAATATTTTAGGCTTTGGAGACCATACCCAATTACTTGATTCTGCCATGGTAGTGAGAAGGCGTTCATAGGCAGTACATGAAAGAATGAGCATGACTGTGCCCCAATATAACTTTATTTGTGGACACTTGAATTTGAATTTTACATCATTTTCACATGTCAGAAAATACTATTATTTTCCCCTTTGTAACCATTTAAAATGTAAAGTTTGTTCTTATATATCAGGAGCCTGTACAGAAAGCCAGCAGGCTGGATTTTTGGCCTACAAACTAATTTACCAACCCTGGATTAGAAAGAAAAAAGGCTAGAAAAAGAAGTCATAAAATAGTTCATTGGCTATATATAAATTTCTCTGATAAAAATCTCTTGCCATCTTCAACTTGGGGCATCCAGCTACAGCGCTGTAGCATATAGATGTTGGCTTTTCTAAGATTGCAGTGAAAACTGGATATCCAGTAGTGGATATCCAGGAAATAGAGGGTTTCAAGGAGATGTAATCTGTATATCTCTTGTTGTAGTGGTAGGTAGAACAGATACCAGATTCTTGGGGAGGGAAAGAGGAATAATACAAACACGAGATCACTAACTTTGAAGGATCTCCCAGGAACTTGAGGGACATGCCCATTCATTGCCGAGAACAGAAAAGGTTCAGAGCTGGTCTTTGTGAGAAAACTTTTCTATCAGTTTTTATATGAATAGTGGATGTTCCCTCATCTATTCTGATTAGAACCAAAATTTGGTTGGTTAAACAAAAAGCTGATTAAAGTTGGGAAGCATATAAAAATGATTCTTATAAACCTTAAAATTTTTCATTATACCTTAAAACATGCATATATGCACATTGATTGATTTGCTTTTGTCACAGAGCTGAGATTTTTTTCTTTAAGTATGGGTCTGCTAAGTAGAGTTCCACTTGGTCTATCTTGCATCAACCACATCGTATGTAGTAATACAGTTCTGATGCTAATCACCCTGATTTTGTGCAGACTCCACAGGTTAAGGGCACAGTTCCTAACAAGGCTGCCTTTATTTGAGACACCAGCCACAAGTACAGAGGTCCAGAGTTCACCCGTACTTCTGACCAATTGGCTACAGATTCAGAGGATTCCCATGAACCCACACTGAGGTTCAGTAATTCATTAGAATGACTCAGAACCTAGGGAAAGTGCTGGACTTAGGATTACAGCTTTATTTAAAAAGGATAAAATTCCAGACCAGCCAACCAAAGACACATAGGATGCAGTCTGGGAGAGTTCTGAATGTAGAGCTTCTGCATTCTCTCCCTGAAATCAGGACATGCAAATCTACCAGCACATTGATGTGTCACTAGCCTGGAAAATTATCTGGCCTTAGTGTCCAAAGTTTTTATTAGAGTTTCATTAAGGAGGCATGATTGACTGAATCTTTGGCCACATGATTGAACTCATTCTCCTACTCCCCTCTGCCTCCCTTGAGTTTGGACTGGTTCGAAGCCCCAACACTCTTGGTTGATCTTTCTGGTGACCCTACCCCATCCTGAATCATCTTGTTAGCATACTTCAGGTGTGATCCAAAGGGCTCACGAATGACATAATGTAAGAAACTCCTATGAATTGGGAAATTCCAAGGATTTAGGGTCTCTTTTAGGAACCAGGGACAAAGGCCAGTCAAATTCTTATTATACAACAATGCCCGTAATGCATTCTCTATAATTTCCAATTTTTGTTTCTTTAAAGTAGAACCAGGGATACTTGTGAATTATTCTGGAAACAGAATTCTCACTCCCCCAATCTTTATTTTGCTCACAAATAAATTGACAGCAGTTGGTTTGGTATCTCATCTTTATGGAGTTTCTTTTTTTCTTTTTTAAGAGTTATTTATTTAGAAAGAGAGAATATAAACAGGAGGGAGAGAGGGAGAGAGAATCTCAAGCAGACCCTACACTGAACACGGAGCCCCACACCAGGCTCAGTCTCACTGCCCTGAGATCATGACCTGAGCAGAAACCAAGAGTTGGATGCTTAACTGACTGAGCCACCCAGACACCCCTTTATGGAGTTTCTAAAACTACCTAGTTTTCATAGTAATCTCTCATGTTTCATTGACTTAAAAAGTATATATATTTAAATTTTTGCAGTAATTAAACTCTGTGATCTGTAACAAGTACATTTGGAATAATGGGTTTGGGAACATGTTCAGTTTAAAGAGTCACTCTTTGGGACACCACCCCCAGTTTGTTAGGCTACTGTAGACATCAGTCAGTGTGTGCTCTTCAGAGGGAATGGGGAGAGTACAGGTTGTTCTGGTGAATGAGTAAAGAACAGGTGTTAGGAGAGCTTCTACAAATATGTAGTACTTATTTGACCCTGGTATGTCCTCAATTATTTACCTTTTTAATAGATTTTACTGTTTCTCTAATACATTATAAGCCTCTTACCTAGGTCTGTTTTACAAATTAGCTGCCTTTTACAGAGTCCTCTATACAGTTAGGGCTCAATAAATGTTGATGACAATCATAAAATCACAGGCATTTTTTAAATTAGGAGGAATCCTAGAGATGTAGAATACTTTTATACAGATGAGAAAGCCAAGTCCCAGGGAAGTCAACAATTTAGGATTACCTAATTTCAACAGAAATTAGGAAATCAGATTTATGGAATTACTGATTTTTATATGCTGGGCACTGGACTTGACACTTGATATATATCTTTCATTTAATTTACTTAAAAATCCAGTGAATTAGATGTTATGTATCACCTTTACCAGTGAGAAATTGAGGTCTGTGCAATTCTGTTTATTCAGTTGAGTTACTGCCATGAAACAGGCACTTGGAGGGGAGTGTAACACCCTCCATGCCGACTGTGGCACATACCCAGACAGAGACTCCTGACTGAAGCACCAGGGAGAGGACTGGAGAGCGCCCTCCAAAGATATTCCCACAGCAACAGCCAGCACCAAGAAGGAAGGGAGGGAGGGGAGAAGATTGAAGAGGGATCTAAGTTACAGACTTTCTCACACATAACCCTTTCCATCAGGCTTTCAAAATGAGCTTAATCTCAGTAATATGAACCTTCTGAGTTTTTCTCTCAAATCAAAGATAGCAAATCTCCTTAATGGTGAAATAGGGAAAATTTTGTTCTTAATTTTTTTTTGTTAACTTTTTATGGGGCATTACTTAATAAATACAAGATTTTCTTTTATTCAAAACTTTTTCCCCTCAAAGGCCTTCTTACAGAATAGATTATACTTGTATGTCAAGAGCCATAGTATTAAAATTGGGCTTTTCTAGGACATGGGAAGTCTGTTCATAAAATATTTGTTAGGAAATTTAGCTGCCTCTCAGAAACAAAAATATCTTAAAGTATTTTGAAAAGAGAGATGTTGACAGTGTTAAATAGAGGGAAATAATGCTGCTTACCCTTTCCTAAATAGGACATTAGCACTGTTTACCAGATCTTTGCCGACGAGGTGCTTGGTTCAGGCCAGTTTGGTATCGTCTATGGAGGTAAGTGACTGCAGGCCCATTTGTCTGCTGTTCGCATGAATGTTGTATCAGATCCAAAGACCTGCAATATCATGTGGCTCATGATATTGGCAGAGTCATTTAAGCTCACTGTGCCTAGTATCTTCATCTGTTTAATGGAGCTTACAAAACTTGACCTGCATTGTTCACAAGGTTGTTAATTAAGCCTGATACACGTAAAAGTACTTTTATAAGCTATAATCCAAGGTATAAAAGAAAAGTAATATTAAATCCTAGTCCTCCCTTGCTGCCTTAAGTGGCCTTTCTGCCTCAACACTTGCTCTCACATGTGGTTAAATAACTGTGCTGACTCAGTGAGTCTAGAATAAAATTAGTTCACTGATACAATGTTTCTATCTTGACAGTATCTGAAGACTAAGAGTAGTTAACTATCATTTATTTAATAAGGTAGACTATTTTTCAGCAAAAAAGTTGATTCAAATTTCCTGGCATTTCAGGTATGCCTTTATTAGGGGCAACTATTATTAAGGGAAAATAATAATTTACTTCTTAAAGAGTAAAGGAGAAGGAACAAAATCAGCCAAAAAAAGAAATCTAAGAGTAAATAAATACATATCAGTTTCAGTCTTTGGACAATGTCCCAATAAAGCTTTTATATTGTATATGAGCTGTCAATTTGCTTTTTTCTATACCTTTTTGTTTTTTAATAGGAAAACATAGAAAAACTGGAAGGGATGTGGCTATTAAAGTAATTGATAAGATGAGGTTCCCCACAAAACAGGAAAGTCAACTCCGTAATGAAGTGGCTATTTTACAGGTAAAAAAAAACCCAAGTTGCTTTGTATTGGTTTTAATTTTTGATTTGTGGATTTTTAAATGCAAGTCTTTTTAGAGCTGATAAGAAAAAAAGCTTGTTTTTTCTTCTGCTTTCATCTTATGACCTTTGGGCTCAGTGAGAGGCTGGTGGGCATCTACATTAAATCCTTATGTCTTTTTTTTTTTTTTAAAGGGAAAAATTAAATTACAGTCCTCTAGGAGTTATAAGAATTGCCATTATGATAGTTTGTTTAGAACACATTTTCATAAGTAAAATCTTAATAACAACAAAGTAAGAATTTATTCTTAATTCATCACTCCAGAAGCTCAAAATACTTGGATACTTCTGTTACCACATTTGGCTTAGGAGGTCAGTGCTGTACCCATGCAGTGCTCACAGATGATGGTGCTTGGTTGACATAGCAATTGCTGTAAAAATAAATGCTTAAAAATTGTGTGCCTTTTCACAGTAGCATTTGTTATTTTATTAATTTAAAACTCTAAAGACTTAATTTTATAATACCATTAAGGTATATTTTTAAATATATATTAGTAATGACCTAACTTTCATTAAATAAATTACCATTTTCATTTAACATTTTTACCTCTTTTGGGGGTCATCAAGAAGACTTAAATTTAGTTTTATCTTTATTTGTATGAATATCATATAAATTATAATATGCAAACGTCTATTCATTGTGTAGCTTTTGCATAATATTTAAGAAATCATGGTAATATAATAGTTAATGCTGTCAGAACCCCATTTGCTTGTGAGTGAAGTTCAAGAAGACAAAACCTACTGAACTTAAGGCTTCCTTGAAGAAGCAGGTAAGAAACTTACAAACACACGATTCATTTTACATGTATTACATTATTGGTTACCAGCAATGACATTTGCCTCCTGTGTTTTTCAGAGGAGTGATAATCAAAAGATTGTGGTCTACAAGCTACTTATGGTCCCTTCAAGGTCACTTCCTCCTGTACAACTGTCTTCATATAGAATATTAATAGCATTCGGACTGTATTAGAATGTGAATATTGTTAGTGATCTTTTTTCATATCTAATTCTGGAATCTTGTTCATTGTCCCACTAATATAACAAAAATAAATAAATATTAAGGATATATTATAAGGCTTGATTCATCCTTGCCACTCTGATCACAGACAAATCTCTGAACTAAACACTAAAGTTTTTTTGGCCATGTTTTATCAACTGTGGCTCATAATGTTTAAATTTAGGGAATTCTGGGTAATGCACAGGGCAACAATGGTAGTATAGCCTTCTGTAGCAATTTTTATTAGTTTAAAACTCCTAAGATTTAATTTTATAATACTTCTTTTTCATTGGTACTACCATACAGGGAATATGGTTAAGTAATTGTAGAATGTCTCCAAATATACTATTTTCATCTTAAATTTAATACCATGCTTTTCGTTGTAGATTCTCTTCAAAGTGTTTATATACAAATTTACATTTTTATATTTAGTTAATGACTTACTTTGTGCCAGAAACTGTACTTATTAATAAGTACTTTTTCTTAACATCACCCAAGGAAGAGGACAGGTTTAGAGTTTGTTTGGTTTTTTTTTTTAAGATTTTATTTATTTATTCATGAGAGTCACACAGAGAAAGAGGCAGAGATACAGGCAGAGGGAGAAGCGGGCTCCATGCAGGGAGCCCGATGTGGGACTCGATCCCGGGTCTCCAGGATCATACCCTGGGCGAAGGCTGCACTAAACCGCTGAGCCACCTGGGCTGCCCAGGTTTAGAGTTTCAATCTGTCTACAAACCACATGCTGTTTCTACTCTACCACACTGGACCTGCTGTGTGTGTATGTGTGCGCACGTGTGCGCACATATGTAAAATCGTGACTTTATTTCCTTTGCAATGTATAAATTCAACAAATTCTTCTATATATAAAGATCAGCTTTAGTCTACTTTGTGTTTGAATTACAATTCTCTTAGAACAATCTGAATGTGGTAAAAACATTCTTTAAAGGAAATTTTTTTCCAAATAGCAACTCATTTGCTGAAATTCATTACACAGGATTTAGTCATATGGGCATTTCAGCTAGACTGTTGCATATGGGTTGAAAGGAACTTACTACACTTATATACTCCACCCTTTGGTTCCCCCCTCCCCTCCCAGCTGTGTCATCCTTACTTTCCAGTCTTTGCCCCTGATTCTTCTTGTATGTAGTCCTCATTAAACAAACCTAAAAGGCTGGCTAATGCCAGCCTGATAGTTGATTCTGGTACTGTAAGTTACCTGCAGCTCCACTGACTTCCACAGTTTTTCTTCCCTATGTCCTCACCTTTATAAAGAAAGGCTATAGCACAAAGACTAAGCATACTACTGAGACTACAGTTTTGGCCTTTCCAGTGGCAGGGAGAATCAATTACAGAATCAGTGATTAAGGAATGATCTTATAGTTAACCCAGAAACATCCAGCCTCGCTCTTGAGTGCTTGGTGATAAACTCTGTATTTCTATCAATTTAAAAGAAAGGAGGACATGGGGTGCCTGGGTAGCTCAGTCAGTTGGGCGCCTGCTTTTGGCTCAGGTGGTGATCCCGGGTCCTGGGATCAAGTCTTGGATTGGGCTCCCTGCTCCATGGGGAGCCTGCCCTCTGTCTCTGCTTCCCTCCCTCTCTTTCTGTCTCATGAATAAATAGAATCTTCAAAAAAAAAAAAAAAAAAAGAAAAGAAGACATGACATTTTTGAACATCTGCAGATACTGTTAGGCTGAACCAAAATCTCTTGGAAAAGGTCCCAGTGTAGACACTACTTTCAAGAAACTGAGTCTCTTTTCTGAATGATGGCCCCACTGACTGTCTCCCTATTCCTTAAACATGTCAGATATGGTCCTGTCTCAAGGACTTTGCTTTAGCTATTCCCTCTGTCTGGAATGCCGTGTGTCATTTGCTAATGAGGCCCATGCATTCTGTTCAGCATTACACCCATCCACCCCTACCTCCTTACTTTTTCTTCTCTCCATAGCATTTACCACCTTCATACTGGGTAGTTTACTAGTTTATCACCTATTATCTATCCCACCTTGCTAGAATAAGCTTCACAAGATGAGAGGTACTTGTCAGTTTTGTTTACTCTTGAATCCAGACTACCTACATAGTACCAAGAGCATAGCAAATACTCACTTAACATTTATTGAATAAATATGTTTATATGGAGCATTACCTATAACATATTGTTAAATTTTTTAAATAGAAATGTGGACTGGTTCCATTTGTATAGTTTCTTAGGGTAATGTGTAATTTGCACATATGTACATCAGTTATGTAAAGAAAAGGATCCATACCTACATAAACTGTCAACATGGCTACATCTGGCTGAGGAGTATATTGTGAGGCAGGAAAGAAAGGAAGGCTTTTTACTTGTGTTTCATAGGGATATGGTAATATATCTTTTGCTCTTGCCTGAAAAGGGTTGGTTATAGAGTAGTAATGGGAGAAAATGTGTGGTGCTCTCATGACTGCCTATGAAAATGAGAAAAATGTTATGAGAAATTTCAAAGAGAAATTTCTGGTTTTAACACTGTGGTGTATAAATTCACCATTTTTCCCCTTCTCAGAAGTCACCTAAAAGCTACAAGAAAAATAATAGAGAAAAAAATTTAAAACTTATAAAAATAGAAGAAAGCTCAGACCTATAAAATAGGTAGAGGAGTTTTTCCAGAAACACTGGAAATGGAGCCAGGGGTGCATGCAGGAAGAGGCACCACATTAAGTGCTGTTTTTGCTGGCACTTTCTGATATCTGCAATTGTGATATCCTCTCTAGCTGCCTCCTCAAATAGAAGAAAGCCAAGGGGGTCATGATCTTATCAGATTTAATTCAAGGGAAGACACAGTAAGTGAAGGGAAGAAGGGCACTTTAGTAGTGGAAGAGAGCAGATTACACCAAATAGCGGCATTATAAAGGAAAACTAGAGAGGCGGCAGGGAGAAACTGAAAAGCACATTAGGAGTCTTGGCAGATGAAGTAGCCAAAGCTAACAACATGGAAGGCCTAAACAGTATAAGGTAATCTAACCACTTTATACTAAAGTCTGTACCCTAAAAATCAAAGAACAGAGAGTACCCCATTCATTCAAAACAGCAGGATGAATAGTATCCTTTGATCCTAATGCAATAAAACTAGAAATAAATGACAAAATTGGAGAACAGAAAGCTCCCACCACCTGACAAAAAAAAATTTTTTTAATAACTTAAAGAGCAAAATGAAGATTTCAGAGTATTTAAAAAATAATCATGAAAATACTGTATATCAGTTTTTGGACAATTGCTCAAAAAATTTATAACCTCAAATATTTACACAAGAATGAATGAAAATAAATGAATTAAGAATCAAACTCAAGAGGTTAAAGAATGAACAATAAAGGAAAGCAAAAATAAGAAAGAACATCTTGGGGAGATGACCACAACTACTGAAAAAAAAAACCTAAAGGCATTTTACGATGCTGCCTTGTCCAGTTCTATCAGATAAATTTGAAAACCTGGAGAAAATGATTCTCAAAGTATAATTTACCAAAAGACTCCAGAGGAAATGGGACATTTAAATAAACAGAGAAAGTTAAGAGACAATGTTACAGAATACTTCTTTCTATCTTTGTGTGTGTATACCATTTACCAGCAGGTAGGAGGAAAGAAACTTACAACTATAGCATGGGGACAGCCAACCACACTTCCAACTCTAGGTTTTTTTGTTTTTGTTTTTGTTTTCCAACTCTAGGTTGATCAAAGTTGTAATATTCTGAATCTTTCCCTGCTCACTGCTATTTTCACTGTAGAAATGTGTCACTTTTAATTTAGCTGCTTGGAATACCATCTCATTACATTGTTTTAAATGGATTAGTAAACAATATTTATTTTGCACTTGCTAGTCATTTTTTAAAGCACCATGATTCAGACATTGAGCTAAAATGACTAAGTCTCTGCTGTCAGGGAACTTACTGGCTACAAAGTAAGATACATACACTTGGCACAGTACCATGGGATAAGTACTGCTGCATGTATATATAGTATTAGATGGAAACTACTGCAATCGTCCTAGAAAGAGGTAATGTGAGCTGAAATTAAAGCAGCTACAGTGAGAATTGAGAGATGATGGCAGATTCAAAAAACATTTTAGAGATGGTGCTCAATTTCACATAAGCCAAAAAGTTATGTCTTAGCATAATTAGTACCTATAATAAGGATAAAAGCATAAAAAATACATTTCTAATAATAAAGAGTAAAAGCTTAAACACTTAGGCCAATAGAGCATATTAAAATTGAAATGAAGCCATATTATTGAAGATAGGAAGGGGTAAGCAGAGGAATAGATTTGTGTTCAGGAATAAAAAGCTGTTGAATATTTTTGAGCATTGCTGACGTATCATGATAATCTGCTTCTGAGGAAAGTTTTTTGTTCTTGTTGTTGTTGTTGTTAACCAATAAGGTAGATTGCTTTTTTATTAGCAGAAACAGGAGATGATGGAGGTAGAGATCTTGAGCCCAAAAGAAGGAAAAGCAAATGGAAGTAAGATTGAAAATCCAGACTTAGATAAATAACTACCTAAAAATTGGAACCAGCTCTTGAGCACAGACCTCCACAGACACAGCCCCAGAGAGCCAAAGTTCTGTGTAATTGGCTAAATTTGACTGGCAATTGGTGTCTATTTATGGACAGTATAAAATTAGCATTGTGTCAGGAGACTAAAAAGATGAGAAAGAAGAAAATGTAGTAATGGACAAGGGCACTTAGGTAATCAATTGGGAAGACAGCCTTTCCCCTCAGTGCATCCACTCCAGTACAGATCTTGGAAAATCCAAATCCAGGATCCTGTTTGTTTGCTTTTACTGCTTATTTTTCTATGCTGTTTTTCTTTCTGTGCCATGTACTCCATACAATTAATTGTAGTACAGTTAGATATTTGCATAGTAAAACTATTTCTCTACTTAAGTTGGTTATATAAATATCCTTGCAACTCTTCAGAATTTGCACCATCCTGGGATTGTAAACCTGGAATGTATGTTTGAAACTCCAGAACGAGTTTTTGTGGTAATGGAAAAGCTACATGGAGATATGTTGGAAATGATTCTATCCAGTGAGAAAAGTCGACTTCCAGAACGAATTACCAAATTCATGGTCACACAGGTATTTTAACCCTCCCCCCCTTTTTTTTTTGAAACGAGAATACTTGAAAACAGAAAATTAAATAGCAGTGCTTTTTACATATAAGGATATTGTGGGAATTAACCTTGAAGAACAGATTAACACTTCAGTTAAAACTTGATGAACTGTCGTGGCCTTTACAAATTACCATACCATTTAAGAGGTCAGATGGGGATTCAGCTATGATTTTTACCAGGCACTGAAAAAATTCTGTTTTCTTCAATAACAGATCCTTGTTGCCTTGAGGAATCTCCATTTTAAGAATATTGTACACTGTGATTTAAAGCCAGAAAATGTGCTGCTTGCATCAGCAGAGCCATTTCCTCAGGTAAGATACTTTCTAGAACCTTGTTAAGTACCTGACATTACAGAGCACCCGTGTAATGAAAGGAAGTGCTATAGGTTCAGATATATCACTATCTTAACAGAAGTAATTAGCCTGTAACCACCAGTGAGGATTAGTACTTGAATAATTTGAACTCAGATCTTACTCATTGTTTATTTTCATTAAGACTTTTTAGACTTAACTGAACCTCAAGGTATAACGTTTTGCACATAGTGCAGTTCACTCTCCCTGTGCATTGGGAATGAAGGGAGGGATATCAATCTTGACTGGTGCCTGGTGCTCAGAACAAATTCCCCATAAAATAAAACAGGGTATAACTGTCAGTGGAGGACACTAGATTTTTTTTGGGGGGGGGCGGGGAGGAACTAGATTTTGAGGCAGGCTGCCCACTCCCCTTCCTCTTTATGGTATTTTATTTCAAACATTTTCACTAAAACCAATATAAGAATTATATTTCCTGTCCCTGCCATCACTCACACATGTATATCCCCTGTTTGTGTGTGTCCATAACTTATGTGTAATGCATGGATTTTTTTTACTTGGTTAATAAATTTCATTTCACTAAAGTGTTGACCTTGATCCAAATTTCATAACCTAGAAAATGGTTCATAAACCCAAAGTTTGAAACATTCTTCCTGAGGAATATGTTGGTAGTAGTACCCATAAATATTTTTCATGCTTATCATTGGTAAATTCTCCAATCAACTAGAATATCTTTTGCCAAACTGTTGTTTATATACATTTGAAAAATTCACAGTTAAACACTAAGATAGACTAAGACAGACTAAGGACAACTGACTTTTACTTGAATTAAATACAACTCAAACTGTCTTTTAAGAAGAAGATATACTGTTAAAAATTATTCAGCTCTTACAAGGAAATAATCCTGTTCTTTTATAATGCCTATATGGCTTAAAACGGATTCCCTGTCATTGTGAGGTAAAAAGGGTTCCCTCATAGTCGGTGTGATATTTTAAATAAGAGTGTTTCCACACATTATCATCTCATTTGGTTTTCAGAATTGTTGGGCAAAGGTTGCATACCCCTACAGTGAGACTAAAACTCCATCTTTCTGACCTCTGTTTTGAACAAAGGGAAAATAACGTCATTTACTTGTCATTCCTTCTTGCTCAAATGCTAGCCATGACCACACTTCCTTATTCAGTTGCCTACTGCCAAGGCATCTTTTATCAGGATGTTAGGGCATTTAACCAAAAAGAAGTTCACATGTCTTCATGGTCAATAATCCTGTTCCTCCAGTACTTAATCAGAAGGGAGCCACATTCGGTAATGACATAGAACACTATCATAAAAACATGCATGAGGCTCCATGTCCTAGAAATAGCAAGAAGCATTTGAATGAATGCACCTTCATCTTTGCTCTCCAGGCAATTTATACCATTAGTTTTTAGAAGCCAAATCCTCCCCCCCCCCTTTTTTTTTCAATTTATCATAATGCTTTTTGTGAAGACATTTGTGAGTCAGGGCATTTCCGCATTTCCTCTGTAAAGTACTTGGCATTTGCTTGTTCACAAATGTGACCTTACTCTCCAAAACCCAAACTTCTAGAAGATGTGCAGCAAGGTAAGTGTTTTGAGCTCTGCCAAGCTCATTACACTTCCAGAACGCTGTTCCCAAAAGGATATTGTAGTGATTGTGGCTACCTTCAGACAAAATTGTTGTCAAATCCAATATCTCACCAGCAATTGTTTGTTGCATAGTCATAGAAGACACCTTCGCTCTTGATCTTTCAAGCAATCTCTAGCATTGCTCTTCTATGGGCTACATTAATTCTATTTACTACACCTCAAGTTATTTGCCAACAGAGAGTAATCCTCGAGAATATAGATTCTAGGATTAAGGAAAATAAAGGGTCAGTTTTTAAATACCAACTTATTTTTCATTCGGCAAACATTTACTGAGTACCTTTGTGTTTCCAGGCACTGTGAGGTCACTGAGGATTCAAAAATGAAACACATAATTCTTGCTCACAGATAGAAAAGCAGCTCCTTAAAAGCCAAATGCTAAAAAATCAGCACTCTCCCATATCATCAAAAAACTTTGAGCACTTACACCACCAGTCTGGTTTTTGGCATTCTGGAAGCTAGAATTTATAAAGGTGTTTTTGTTTTTTTTTTTTTTAAAAGAAAGTATGAACGGCTTTCCTAGTGCTTATGTCAGTAATAGATCACAAGGTTATAAATGTATCTGCTTTTTTGGAAAAGGGTACTTTACAATTGCCCCATCTGCATTCATTTTTGTTCATAATCAGTAGTTGGCAGGTATGTTGAAATGATTCAGTATCATACTTAGGGGACAGGTGTATAGAGAGAGATAGATGAAAATGCAAAAATAACATCATCTTTTTATTGCCAGGTGAAGCTGTGTGACTTTGGTTTTGCACGCATCATTGGTGAAAAGTCATTCAGGAGATCTGTGGTAGGAACTCCAGCATACTTAGCCCCTGAAGTTCTCAGGAGCAAAGGTTACAACCGTTCTCTAGATATGTGGTCAGTGGGAGTTATCGTCTATGTGAGCCTCAGTGGCACATTTCCTTTTAATGAAGATGAAGATATAAATGACCAAATCCAAAATGCTGCATTTATGTACCCACCAAATCCGTGGAGAGAAATTTCTGGTGAAGGTAAAAAAAAAAAAAAAAAGCTTTAGCTCTGTGCCGTTTAGTCTAAAAATCTTTGTGATCCCAAATCAGCATGTCTCTCCTGTCTCATCAATTTCTCATATTCATCTTTCAATTCAGCCAATTTTTGAGCAGTCCTCCTTTTGCATGGTCTCTTCTCTAACTTCTGTCTAGTACCCAGGCATAGGGCTAATCCCATAGGACTATCTTAATGGTCCTGTCCACTAGATTCTTTCTTGGTCCTTCCCAGTCACTACTGCTGCCAAATCTGTGTTCAGGAAACATTACTTTTGTCTTTTTCTGCCCCAGACATCTTGGCCTCCCTTTAACCACGTTGCAGCTGTAGATCTGAGACAGCCTGAATTTACCTTCCATCCTCCCCTCCCTTGCCCCCCCTACAGAAAACCTGTCTACTCTTGCCAACTACTTTCTACATTTTGCTTGGGCCTTTCACCTGCCTACAGTCCCTCTGCCTCGCAGCTGAAATCCATGCAGTCACTCAAGGGCCCTTAACTCGTGGCTCATCTGTGAAGTCTTCCCTGAGCCCTTTCTCTAAACTTTGTAAGATAAATTTAGGCTACTAGCAGGAGAGATTTCTCCTTAAGTATTCTTTCTTTTCATAATTATTTTCAGAACCAGATTGTAAGCTAGTTACCTAGAATGAACTGTATAGACATTCACCAGTTTGTTTGCAGCCCTCCTGTGGCCCAGTCCTAGGAAGCAGGATACACACTGGTTTTCCCTGCCCAGTAAAGGTTTTTGAGCCTGCAAGCCTGGGTTCTATACCTATCAAGAATGCCTTGGCTATGCCTCTTTAGTTTGATACTACCAGGAAGGGCACACAATGTACTAAATGGTCCCATACTGAATAGAACCCTATTAGAGAATATCCCCACCTGGATTTAGCCAACCTTTGGAACAGGGGTCTTTTTGATTTTCCAAAAGTAGCAGGCCTAATCCTAGGAATTAACAGCCCATTAAACTGGTAAAGTTTGAGGAACAACATGTGAAGACAGTAACTAGCTTACTTGGTAATGAACAACTAATTGAAGTATATATGAGGGTTTCTCTTAGAGTTCCTGGGGGCAGTGTGGTGTGCAGACCCTCTCATATCGGAATCAATTAGTGAGTGTACGAAGACAAAAATGCCTGGCTATATCCCAGAGATTCCACTTCACCAGTGAGAAGGACACCAGGAATGCATTTTAGCAAATACCCCCCAAATAATTCTGATGCACATGGTGGATAACCACTTAAGGAACAGCGGATCAAAATGGGAAGTATTTGGAACACAGAGGAGTTCATAAAATACCTGTGGTATGCAGAAGAGAAACAGAACCGGTTATAATGTAAATCTTTCACTTGACTCATCCCTGGGTCCAGGCTTTTGTATCAGTATTTCAAATGTACCGTCACATAGGGCCGTAGTCAGTATGCAGTATGGTTTTGGTTTTGCAGCTGCTCCATTTCTTCAAGTAACTGGATAAAATAAGTATGCCAAGATCTCACCACATACACCGAACACCATGAAGGTGTTTGTGTAAAATCTTTTGAGTGTGAACTTGTGGTAATAAGTTACCATGTCAGTCTAGCCCTATCTACAGAGGCAAGGCAATAGCTTTGGCTCCTTTGCAGACCAAGCCAGGGACTAGGGAATGATGTCATTGGAAGGAAACAACAAATCAGTCTATAATCAGTTTTTTTTATTAATTTTAAAATAATAATAGCTAATGCTAAGCATGATTCTAAGCCCTTTACGTGTATTATTTCATCTTCTCAACAACCTCAGTTTACAGATGAGGAAACGGACAAATGGCAGCATGTAATAACTGACCCTCTGCCACATGCAATAAGTGGCTGCAAAGTTGACGCTTGAACCTGTGCTCTGTCCTGCCACCTTAACAAACAAACACCCTTCCTAAGATAGGTACTCTGTACGTTCAGTAGACATTTATGGATCACTGACCAGTCAAGGCTATGGCCTTGAGAAGCAAAACCCCTCAACTCTGTATTTCTGTGGATTGAATAGCCTTCCAGGCAGACTCCCAAGTTTGGTGTGCCCCATTACACCCAAATCCATGTGTCTGATTTTGTCTTTTCTCTTAGCAATTGATTTGATAAACAACCTACTTCAAGTGAAGATGAGAAAACGATACAGTGTGGATAAATCTCTTAGTCATCCCTGGCTGCAGGTAAAAAATATCTTTGGTGTGATCCTCATTTGAGCCACTCCTTGTAATTTGTCTTACCTAATGAAACTACTCTAAGACCAACAGATTCTCCTCATCTTAGAATACTATTAAGTGTTCTTCAGTGATTAATTTGTACTGTGGCTGCCTCTCTGGAAGTTGCAGTATATCACTGAAATGCAGAACTGATAGGTAATTAAACTCCCATGAACTGAAGCAGTGCTTTAGCTTTCTTATAGGACTGTATGTTTCATTTCGCCTTTTTGTAAGATAAGCATATTATTTTGTCAAATATATTTTACTTTTAAAACATCCACTAAAAGATTAATATTTGCACTGATGAGTTCAGAAAGGCCATTTAAAATGTTTGGCTTCATCCCCCAGAAGCTAGATTTGCCAAACAATACCCCCAAACTTCAGAGTAAAGAGAAGCTTCAAAACTATTTTAAAGGGAGTAGGGGTTAGAATTAACTTCACAACAAATGCAATCATAATTAGTCTCCATGATTATCAAATTATCCTGGTGATAGATTTTAAGTACTGTCCCCTCTTTTGAGAACTAAGGTGTGGGTGTAAGGTCAGAGTATAGAACAGAATGTTTTAATGATTATTATTAACCATTTCAGAAGCCTCAGGCAATTTTTTTTAATCGTAGAAACTAGTTACTTTATTAGAGAGTCTAAATTTGAAAAAGCATTTAACATTACTAATTTAAAATACTACAAATGGAACTTACTGTATAGCAAGTACTTGGCGTTGTCAATTTTGTGACTAGGATGCTAAGAAAAAAAAGTTCACAGTATTTTGTTTCCTTTATAGTGTGTAATCACTTCATTTTTCTTCTAGGACTATCAGACTTGGCTTGACCTTAGAGAGTTTGAAACTCGCATCGGCGAACGTTACATTACACATGAAAGTGATGATGCCCGCTGGGAAGTACATGCATACACCCACAATCTTGTGTACCCAAAGCACTTCATTATGGCTCCCAATCCAGATGACATGGAGGAAGATCCTTAATTATCAGTGAGCCTGACTACAGTAAGGAAGGATTTCATTTTATGGACTGATACTCCTACTTTGCTGCGCGACTGTTGTTCTTTGTAGGTGGTCATCTGCAAGGGTGCAAAGACATGGGGAAATCTAATAAGGAATTGGTGATTCCTGTCCTGTAGTTCATCGTGAGTAGGTGCAAGAGGGGAAACTGAGTAATAAATACAATGGAACCAAGATGAAGCTTTTCATAATTTTTATGGCATAAACAATGACTGGTTTTTTTGTATTTTTTCCTAATCCTTCACTTTAGTACTATAGTGGCATTTAATTTATCTTCCCTTTCCTGTTCTTACATTATTTTTTAAAAAGGAGAAAAAGGAAAGCTTAGAGTCCAACCATTGCATGTCTTGATCAAATCATGTTAAGTTTTAAGGTTGAAAAGGAGAAAAAGGAAAGCTTAGAGTCCAGCCATTGCATGTCTTGATCAAATCATGTTAAGTTTTAAGGTTGATTACTAACCAGGTTTGCATTTAATATATAACTGAGGAGGAGCCCCCAGCATGTGATTTCCTTTGAGGGCTCTAAACATTTGTTTAACCAGAGGCACACGGGGTTTTTCCTAGGCACCTAGAAATGTTTCCTAGATCCTAGGCTGTTTTACTTTTTTTTTTTTTAAGGTCAGTCAAAATTCCAAAACCATGATCCCCAACCTTTGATGCTAAATTCTTAATAGGTTCTCTACAACATAAAAATTAAGTTGTCACCTTTTGTGAGTTTGTTGTAACAGCCTCTAAGATAGTTTTGAACAATTGGTGTCACGGGACCAGGAGGAAGGCCTGCTGGTCTCTCTCTTCCTCACTCAGCTCCTCCACTTGCTGTGTACTCCTGTTCCCACTGACACCACTGTAATGCCACAACTGGTTTCCAACATTCAATGGCTATATATCCAAACCTTAATTACACAATTTATCTTTATGGAGTTGAATACTTTGAGGAAGAAAATTACTAAAAGGCCAGTGCAGGATCAGTTAATGCTACAGAGAAGAACAGCTAAGAGTGTATCCTTTTTTTTTCTTCCCTTAGCTTACTGGAAAGCTTTCCAGTATCTAGAATGTTTTTAAATCATTTTAAGCAGGTTGGGGGGGAGTGGATGGGGTGAAGCATCAAACACCCATTTTATTCTTTCATTTGCTCTGCTGATACTGTAGCCCTACTTTTACAGTTTGTTTTTTTTTAACATGTTAGTACCAGCAGCCAGCTAAAGTTTTTCTACTCAGATAAAATGTTGTTTAAGAGGTTAGACTTTTTTTAAAACTATGAAAAAGTTACTGTTTTCTCCTCCAAAAAAGTTTAAGATCTGGGACCACCCACTTATTAAAAAAAAAAAAAAAAACTAGTGGCTTTTTGTGTCTTCATTCCACAGTAATCACTGTAAACTTTTCTTATTCTCCTCAAAAAGAGCTAAAGATTTGGAGTCAGAAAATCCAGTATTAAGTCTTAGCTTCAATCTGTCTGAGCCTCAAGATCGTCAGTCTATAAAATGAACATCATAATTCTGGCCTATACTATCCTCACAGTGTTGTTGTGAAGATGGGCTAGTATGAAGATACTCAGTCAATAAACTAAAAAACTAAAGCGTTAACTGTCATTGCCCCACTGGATCTGAGGTAGCAAAGGAAAAGAATGTCCCTGTGTACAATCTAAGCCAGAGAGGGCCTTTGGGGGAGCCCTAAGCTACTGCCAAGGGAGTAGCCAACCTGCAGTCTGTGTTCTGAGATCTTTACGAATTTTTACCTACCCTCAAAAAAGCCACAAAGTGAGTGCATTATGGACTTCATCTCACAGATAGGAAACTGAGGCATAGGAAGATTAAGTAACCAGCTACTGAGGGTCACAGCATGTGAATGTGAACCCCGGCAGTGTGGCCCAGCCCCTCTGACCCCTGTGAATCACTGTGCTGCATTGCCTACCCATAAACCTATACAGGAAACAGTCTACAAGGTCTCTCAGTATTTCATTCCCCTATAGGAGTTTAAAACATGTAACCAAATTTTGCAAAACCTTTTAGAAATGTATTTTCTCTGTGATAAAGGAGGACTTCCCCAAATTTGTCCCAAGTAAATCTGTTAATATCAATGTGCTAAAATGGAGTAATTTTGAATCCCTAGGCATCCTTTTGTGGTTTTACTGCATAAGGTGAAAATTAACTGGAATGATGATGTTTGCTCTACTTATATAATCAAACTTTACAAGCCATGAAACTAATTGCACTCTTTTTTTGTTTATGTTGTTGAATGCCTAAGAAATTTTCTAAACAAAATTTGTAAAGGCACTGTCAGATATTTTGGAGTTGAGTCATTTACTCCAGATACTGTATAACCTGCATAGCCATTTTTGTCTTGAAGTTGTTTTTGTATAAGAAATAATTGTTAGAAACATTTGATAATGTACAAAGTAGTCTATAATGACACTGTTTAGTACATTTTTTATTTTTGTTACATCCCAATTTTTGTAAATATCCTCAAAGAAGCTTGATAATAAAATGTATTTCCATATCACCATACTTTTCCATGTGAAAACCTGAGCCTATCTCTAGTAGAGGTATCCAAAGAAAATTTTATTTGGTTTGTTATTTTCCCAGGCCTTGATAAAAGAACTATTTTGAAAATAGTGTTTGTAAATTGAATTAATGCTATATTTAAAACACTTTTTTTTTGACTACCTAAAATAAAAAACAATTCATTATTTTAATTTTATATGAAATTTGAGGTAATTATCTGGAGGTCTTATTTCTTGGCATGAAAGTTTAGAATAATTATGACTACAAATTTTTCAGGAGCTACCATCAAGTATTCAATTACTGTACCTGCTACAAGACTTACGTAAGCCAGATGCCATTCAAAGTGAACTTTCTAGGTTTTAAGATATACAAGGAATTGCCTGATTCCTTGGGCAATTGGGATTAATGGGATTAATGGGCAATTAATGGGATTGCCTCCCATTAATTATAAAACCTTAAAATAATCGAGAGGTGCCAATGTTGGGGACTTTCACCGTCCAGAAATTCTCCAACTCTTTGAAAAAAGAAAACATGGAAAAAAAAATAAGGGTGACTATAAATGGCCCAAGGCGAGGCAGCATATGAAAAATAAGCCCTCTATCTTCCTACTTTAGAGTGAGACACAGAATGCTGGTCCTGTTCTGAGTTAAAGCAAACAAGCAATAGAAAGCCAAGAGTTGACCACTCTGCCAGTAAACTTCCAAAAGAGTTACGCTATAAGTTCAAAACATATGGCTGATATTCTGGCTGATATTGTTTTCCTTTAATTTCATTTTAAGCTTATGTTGCCAATATAACAATTCTTCAGAAAGTCTATACTGGTATTAATATAAAGTTCTGTGAACCAAAAAAAGGGAACAGAACAAAAAACTTGACAGTTACCTGAAAATGACGGAGAATTAGCTCAAATCAAAAAATTATTCCTCCTATGTAGTCTACATTAACTCATATTTCAGGTACATGTTAGGTTTACTAGTTAGTTTTTTAAGATTTTATTTTGAAAGAACAGGAGTATAAGCAAGGGGAGAGGGAGAATCCTGAGTAGATGCTGCACTAAGTGCAGAGCCTGACATGGGGCTGGAGATCCCACAACTCCCAAAATCGTGACCTGAGCTAAAATCAAGAGTCAGACACTCCTCAGACTGAGTCACCCAGGCACCCCTAAATTTTTTAAATCTAATTGTTTTTCATTATAAGATTCACAGAAGCAGAGGGTAAAAAAATTACCACAAGGAACAAATCTCAACTCCTCCAACCCACTTCCACATTGGGATATTTAGTAGTGATTAATGGGCATCCTTTCCTTACTTTTTATATATAAGTAACTATCACAGAAAACAACCAGTCTACACTAATATATTAATTTCTATGAAATTACTTACAAGCATTTCTTTAAATGTAGCTTTTCCCCCAACAAAAATGGAATCATAACTATAAAACATTCTCCACTGTACCTTTTTTACTTTCACAGTCTTAGAGTTGGTTCAGAACATACTGCTCTACCTCATTTTTTTTTTTTAAATAATAAATGGATAGTTCTATTTAATCCATTCCCTGTGAAAGGCCGGTTAGGTTCTAGTTTTTGCTAATCAGTGTTCATATTTACTTTTAAAAATAAAAATACAGCAACTAGACTTACTACTTAAAGGACACTCAGTTTCACAATAACTTGTTTCATTAAGCTGAAAGCACACAACTGTGCCAGAAGCCAGAAACAACCTTAAAAGATCAATATTTATTTGTACTGTATAAGTTATTTTTATTGGCTATAAAGACATAAAATATTTATTTTACCTGTAATATATGAGACGTGTTCCCTTTATCTTAGTCAGACATAGGAGTAAAATGTCCACACAGGTCACCGCCAGGCAAGTTCACCAAACCCAGCTACAGGTGACACAGAGGGTTTTGACTGACATGTATTCATCGGATGGCTTCTACCATGAAGTCTCTGATGGGGTAGCAAGGCAAAAAAGTTAAATCTTTCTCCCATCTTCTTAGGATTCATTAACATATCATACCCCTGAAGTAACTGTTGCCTGGCTGGCTCATCTGATTTGTCTAAAAGAACCTGAAAAGAAAAAAACTTCTTAGTAAAAATAACCAGGAGGATTCCTAGTTACATGCAGCATTACTAATGGCCATTGGCTGCTCAATAAAGAGTGCTTCAGCTGGAATTTCTGATCACCTGCCTCAGAATCATGGGGTGCTTATTAAAACACAGATTGCTAAGAAGCAAACCTGTGGATTTGTATGTTTAACATTCCTAGGTGGTTTGATCTACACTGAAGGGTTAAGCTGTTTTCAGGACACTTCTGAAATTCATACCCATAAGCACAGTCCAGTTTTCTTAATCAATCTGAACACTATTCGAAGTCAGCCTCATGTGGAGTGTGGGATGAGTCCGAAGCAGCCCCACCCCCAGAGCAGTCTGGTTGCACTACACCCTACACTTCTGGAAAGACTACCCAAAATGTGCTAAACGAGAAGAGCACTGAGGCCAGGTGAACTTACTATTTTACATGTTTTTTTTTTTAAATACTACAAAATTAGAATATTTAATGATCACAAAATAAATCATTACCTTCAGTCGGACATCAATGCCCATATTTTTTAAAAATGTCTGTTGTTTTATTGGCCCCAGAGAAGCTACTTGTCCCTCTGCCATTCTGCGCAGGTAACTGAAGTCCACATCAGCTGTGAGATCTGCTGTTCCTGGGGCAGTCAGGACATCATGAAGCTTGTGGCCACAAAACCCCTTGAACATAATTTTTTAAATGATGAGTTTTTATTCCTTTATGGTTATCATTATCAAGATTAAAGACATGCTATCATTTGGCACATTTTACATAACTGAAAAAGAAAAACATAGCCTATGTGGTTTACAAACTCTTAATATGGTAGCACCTCTTCCGCAAATGAGATGCTATGTGGAAAATCCAATGGGAAGTGCAGCACTGAGTGCCTTGAGATGCTACCTTTCACGTTTCATTACTGCCTGTGGTGATGAAGTAGAGATCCCATCAGAGGTCCCATCAGAACTGAGTGCTGATCACCAGACTCTAGATGGCATTTGACAAAGCATATCCATCAACCACATGCATCAGAATCTCCTGAGAACGTGTTACTGCTCTTTGCCTAGGCCTAGTAAATCAGAATCCTGGAGGTAAGGCTAAGGAATCAGCATTTAAAAAAAAACAAAACAAAACACACACTCCAGAGTTTTTGGTTTTTTTGTTTTTTTGGTACAGTAAAATTCAAAATTGAGAACCACAGATCTAGAAAATGACTAACAGTATCTAGTTAAGTGTATCTCAATTCAGGTATACAGAACAGAATTGAAAAGGATGCTTAGGAAAAATAAAAATATATCTAGAAAGGAAAAAAGATTGAAAATATGATAGGAAAAGTCTGATTATAGTAACTATACCAAACCTGCAAAGTAGTATTTACGTTTTTTTTTAATGGAGGGGGAGAAATTCTTAAGAACTTGAAAATCTTCCCATTTGCATTATTTGGGTGCTAAGAAGGATCTATGTAGAACTAGGTTATGCAGCTTAAGGAAGAATGTACATGATTCACGCCCTGTTCCAAAGCCAGTCTGCACGATGAGATCCTACAGTTTGGGCAATTAAAATAGTATGAATTAAAATTCATAACAAATAATATAATATTACAAGGCTACACACCATAAAAACAAAAGGTAAAAATCTTCAATGAGCTGCAAACCTAACAACCTAGATCATACCAATTAACTTATGGTCAGTCATGTTCCTGAATCATACATACTCTGAAGGTATCGGTCTTCGTTCCATCATGACCATAGTCGGCAATCAGAGCAGCACCTCCAGTTAATGCAATGCGCTGAGAAAGCTCCTGAATAATAACGCCGGCCTCAGGACACACTTCCACGTGGTCTCTTATTTCATCACGCTAGTAAGAGAAGAGTTGAATCAAAATCCATCACTGAAAAGAATGGTTTCCTTAGGGTTTTCCTACAATGAGGATTTCTTAGTTACACTAAAAATAAATTCCTTCCCTATCCATTATGTTGTCTACACTCAACCTTTCACAGGACATCCTTTTTATTATACAGAACTCCCCAGTGCTGTGTTGCTGCCCACTAAGTTTATATTTTAATTCTAATCCTTTTTATTTTTTTTTAAGCAATTTTATTTGAGAGACTGAGAAAGAGAGAGAGAGAGCACAGTGGGAGAGGGAGAGGCAGACAACCCCTGAACGGAGAGGCTGATGCAGGACTCAATTCCAGGACCCCAAGATCATGACTTGAGTTGAAGGCAGACACCTAACCAACTGAGCCACCCAGGGAAACCTCTAATCCCTTTTATAAAAAGGCATATGTTCTCCCAAACTCCTAGATGGCCAATTCATTATCATTTTGTTTATAGTGATATTACTCTCATAATCATATTTCCCTGGGTTGAATGCATGGGAAAGGAGTTTTGTCTGCCTAGAACGGACACTCAACAATTTGTGCTGAAAGAACAAATGATATACACCTAATATAATAGGGACGCCTTGGTGGCTCAGTGGTTGGGCCTCTGCCTTCAGCTCAGGGCATGATCCTGGATTCTGGGATCGAGTCTTGCATGGGGCTCCCTGCGGGGAGCCTGCTTCTCACTCTGCCTATTCTCTGGCTCTCTCTCCATATCTGTCTCTCATGAATAAATAAAGTCTTTAAAAATAAATAAATAAATAAACCCAATATAATAAAATAGACCCTAGTAAGCAAGTATATTATGATGCCTTCTGCTGGGGCAAAAAGTATTCCAATGATACACCCTCTATTTAGAAACTTCAGCTTAGGGATCCCTGGGTGGCGCAGTGGTTTAGCGCCTGCCTTTGGCCCAGGGCGCGATCCTGGAGACCCGGGATTGAATCCCACGTCGGGCTCCCGGTGCATGGAGCCTGCTTCTCCCTCTGCCTATGTCTCTGCCTCTTTCTCTCTCTCTGTGTGACTATCATAAATAAATAAAAATTTTAAAAAAATTAAAAAAAAAGAAACTTCAGCTTATAAACTTGTCAATGTACCTGAGACCCTAATTTCCCGAGATGTTCAACTATTTACTGAAAGTGTCCTCAATATGTGCCTATTAATCTAAAAAGTGAAATGACAATATTGTAACTTGTCAACTTGACTAGTATATATGAAATTTCACTAATTTCTGAGAAAATAGTAAAAAACTCTTTTCTTCATTATAAAAACATACAATAACTTTTGCTCCTTCCTAACACCCCATTAAAAATGAAGTACTGGGGCACCTGGGTGGCTCACTCAGTTAGCTGGCCAACTCTTGGTTCCAAATTAGGTCACGATCTTGGGGTCCTGGGATCGAGCCCTGTGTCAGGCTCCTCACTCAGCAGAGTCTGCTTGAGGATTCCCTCTCTCCCTCTCCCTCTACTCCCTTTGCCCCACTCATGCTCTCTAAAATAAATCTTAAAAAAAAAAAAACAATAGGGACACGCGGGTGCCTCAGTTGGTTGAGTGTCTGCCTTTGGCTCGGGTCTTGATCCTGAGGTCCTGGGATTGAGTCCTACATCAGGCTCCCCAAGGGAAGCCTGCTTCTCCTCTGCCTATATCTTTGCCTCTCTCTGTGTGTCTCTCATGAATAAATAAAACCTTAAAAAAAAAAAAAAGTACTAACCTGCCCTGATCTTGTCTATAATGGCACAGAACTAATAGGTATGGAGTAACACACTTAGCTCTTGAGTCTCTGCTCTTCCTACTGCTTACTAGAAACAAGTTAAACTTTCAGAGTATTTCCTCATTATGTATATAATAGGCTTATTGTGAGGATTAAATCAAGCAATAAACTCCTTAGTCCCCAGTTCTATTAAATAAATTATTGTCGTTGAACTGTAAAACCTATGAGGTTAGCCAGTTTGGGCATAAGCTGACACACCTCAGCATACTGTGCTGACATTCTTACTATCTCAGACCACTCTTGAAGATGGCAGATTCTGTTACCATTTGCCCCATTAAAATGAGAGGGATTTTAAAAATTAAAAAAAAAAAAAAAAAAAAAGAGAGAGAGAGAGAGGTAAAGGGCAGCCCCGGTGACTCAGCGGTCTAGCGCCGCCTTCAGCCCAGGGTGTGATCCTGGAGACCAGGGATCGAGTCCCATGTTGGGACTGCTTCTCCCTCTGCCTCTGTGTGTGTGTCTCTTTCTCTGTGTCTCCCATGAATAAATAAATAAAATCTTAAAAAAAAAAAAATGAGAGGGAAAAATCATCACTTCCCGTGTCATAAGTGACTACTACTAAAGTCACACTGAAAACAATCACATCTCCCAGGGCCAAGGGGTCAGCTCCTGGTAGCTATGAATTTGCTTCTCACTCAGGTAAAACTGGGTAGCCAGAGTATGAAAAAATAGAATTGTTCACAAGCACTCAGGCTGTTATTTTAACTTATTTATGCTCTGCAAAAAACAAAACGAAAACAAAAAAACTTAATTGATAGGCTTGTGTTTAAAAGCTCCTGTACTTCTGAAGCAAGTAACTTCTGAGGAAGGAGTTCTTAGTTATGGTCCAGAAAGTAGACCTTTTTAAAAACAGGCAATCCATTCTGTTCAGATGACCCTTCATTGAATTATGTTCCTGTAGGTCTTACAGAGTTGTTATTTGGTTCCAGTAAGATTCTTGCAGGTAGAATGTTAAAACATAAGAAGCATGGGGATTTTGTATAATGAGAAGTAACGGGAAAAAAGTGAATTAGACTTTTACTACTGTAATTAAAGCTTAGTAAAAAAAAATTAAAAATAAAAATAACTTACAAGAAAATGAATGTTTTTTTCTTTTTGAGAGAGAGAGAGAATGTGGGGTGGGAGGCACGGAGGCAGAGGAGAGAGAATATCAAGGAAGCTCCATGCCCAGCACAGAGCCAGACACAGGGCTCAATCTCACAACCCTGAGATCATGACCTGAGCCAAAATCAAGAGTTAGAAGCTTAAGCAACTGAGCCACCTAAAGAAGTTTCTAAAATCTGTAAAATGCCCTTTATCATTATAGTCAGTGTATATCTTACAAGAAGTGATCTTTTAAGAGAAATTAAGCATGTTTTACATAGTTGATATATTTTTTAAAAAGAGAGGATGGATTGCTCATCCAGAATGAAACCACACACATATATATGCACATGCTCGTGTGTGTGTGTGTATACACACTCACATGCTCTAACTTAGAGTAAAATGTAGATTCTGAGAAAGGTTTCATGTATTTCACTTTTTTGTTAAAAGGCCAGTCTATCAACAAAGTCCCCAAATATATATATTTAGAAAAATAATGCCATGATTGAATTTCAGCAAGAATAATCTTATTTTACCTATTTACAACTAAAATATTTTTGTTTAGTTCAAAAACTGTATTAAAGTTATATTTTTAGGTTATGAGACAAGGCTTTCATAACTACTTGAACTCTTAAAGTAAGAATGTTTTAATATAGGTAATAGACACTTTATTATTTTTTAAGATTTCATTTGAAAGAGGAGAGAACACAAGCAAAAGGAGGGGCCGAAGTAGAAGGAGAAACAGACTTTCTGCAGGGAGCTCAACTCCATCCCAAGACTCTGGGATCATATCCTGAGCCAAAGACAGATGCTTAACCAACTGAGCCATCCAGGCGACCTTAATACATGCAATAGTCACTTTAGATGAAAAATTAGCTCAGCTTCCGTTTTTTCTTCATTATTACTTAAAGCTGCTAGGTTATTTAGTTGCAGAGATGATTTTTGTTTATCTAGAGGTACGTATTTTGCTATATGGATATTTATGGTCTATAACTGTATTTACATGTTTAAACTTGATGCTGTAGTTATAAACTCCTAAAAATTAAAAAATAAATAAAACAGGCAATCTAAAGCCCAAACATTCCTGACAAGTATAGGATTTTTTGAATCCTTACACAACGACCCCAAGATAGAAAGGCTTTTATGATTATTCCGGAGGTCAATAGTAAGCAGCAGTAAATGTACCATTCTGGCAGTCTAGAATCAAAATTATTTAATCAAACTAATAAGAAAGTTGCTTTGAGAATTAAATGAGAAAATATGGAGTAATATATACAAACTGCTGAATAAATAGTTGTTTTCACAGACCTCAAGCTCTTCTGGTCAGGCAGACAATACTAAGACCATGTCATAGGAAACTGAGGGAAAGGGAGAAGGTAAAGGACTTGCCTGAGTGAATGCTTACTAGCTTCCTTCTCACATTACAGTCACATCATGCCGCCCAGAAATGATCCCAACCAGGCTCCTAACTCGAGATTCTCTGCACTTTCCACTATTAATAAAAAGCACCAAGGCAACCAAGGGTGGCTCAGTGGTGGAGCATCTGCCTTTGGCTCAGTCACGTTCCCTGGGTCCTGGGATCGAGTCCTGCATCAGGCTCCCCACGGGGAGTCTGCTTCTCCCTCTGCCTCTGTCTCTACCTCTCTGTGTCTCTCATGAATAAATAAAATCTTAAAAAAAAAAAAAAAAAAAGCACCTCACATGTTACGGCAACCCTCCCCTTGTCCCTGTCAAGGAACGCTAAAACAGGAACTCAGAAGATTAGACTATCAAGATTTGGTTGGCAATAAACTAAGAAGAAACATCTTCCTACTTGTATGAAGACTTCTGCTGGCGTGACACAAGGCGCCAAAACAAACCGCAGCTTATCAGAAACTTGTGGATCAATATCAATGAATACTTCTCGCCATCCTTGTGGTGTTTTCTAAACACAAAATAATGCATAAAAAACAATTTTTACCAGTTTTTTTCTTAGAATTGGTTCTACTAAAAACAACTATTATCTTTCTCCTACTACTACATATAAAACAGATGTCTAACATTTATTTACAGAGTACTTTACCACTTAAAATTATTTAAAGGCAATACTTCATTTCCTTTGAACATTAAGAGGTGACTGGCAGACATCAACTACTGGTTGGTTGGATAAGAGGCGGAGCCACAGAAAATAAAATGACCAGCATGGCAAGTGCCCCCTTCAATGGAAAACAGGCTCTGAAGGATGAATCAGAAGCTTCTGCTAACAAATCAATACATGCTCTTGGCCCTAGACATTACCAGTGCACATTCATTACCACCAATCTTAACTCCACTCACTTCAACTTTAATGAAGAAACATTTTAATCTTTGGATATTAACACTTTGCTAAAATGTAACCCTTGCTTGTACTATAGCCATTTACTGTCTTATATTGGCGTATGTCTTTACCCCTGGAGAAAAAAGCATTCTTCCTAGTTATCCTAAGAAAATGAAGGTTCCATTTAATAGTCCACTTTTGGACTATTTTCAATGATTTATATTTTTCAGAATTCCAAATAAAGTTAACGTCAAAAATAATCAATTACCATAAGTGTTTGCTTACAACATAAGGCCCTTTGTTACTCGTTTATAAACAGGACTTTATCTCATGTATACCTGAAACTTATGGACAGGAAGAACGTCAAAAAATTCATGTGCAAGATAAAAGCTGTACCCTATTTAAAAACAGAAGAAAAAACCTGTTTCAGCATTTTTAAGGTAATACTTCATTTTTTTGAACATTAACAAAAAGAAATGCCTAGGAACTTGTGGTGCTTCCACAACCATCACTACCAGAGAATCCCCCCACCTCATTCACTTCTTCACCTTACTCTGCAGAGCATACAGAAGAACAACTACTGCTGTCCTCATTTTCTACATATCAGGATCAGACAGCCAAAATATCTCAATTATCAATGTAAATTTTTATTCATCACTAGGCATGAAAGAAATGAGAACTCAAATTTGTTAGCTAAAAGAGGCTTTGAACGTTCTAAAATCATCTGAAACAGCTGAGCCCAGGACTGGCTGAGGTGGCCTGCCCAAGATCAGATAGCCACTTTAGGTGTGAGCAGGGATTCACCAACATAGGACTCTGGCCCGGGGCAGGGATTTTCCCTCCCCCCTAAAGATGAGCAAGAGCATTCAAAAGATGAAAGTTAAACTAAACCCATTTAACGCTGCTTCCATCAGGCCCCACCACCTTGGGCTGCTTCAGCACTAGTGCTACCTTAGGGATCCAGGAAAAACTAAAAAAAAAGTAAAACAGCAATCTACACTTTTTTATTTTGCAAAACCACATGAAATTCATTGCTCCTTATTGTTAGTCGTGTTATTTTTAAACACAATGCTCTTTTAGAGAAAAGAATTCACTATTCTCAATGAGTGAGGGATCTGGGAGCACTAACTCAATCTATTAGAGTGCCCTGCATGGCTACGGTCATCTATTATTGCTGTGATGGGATGTGATAAAAACTATTTCATTTTTGAAATAAAAATGAAACAGAGTAAAATAATTACCTTTTGGAACATCGTGCAGATGTTCATTTTTGAAATAAAAATGAAACAGAGTAAAATAATTACCTTTTGGAACATCGTGCAGATCTCGGTACCATGAAATGGGAATCCCAGATTTCGTAACTCCTTTCATATATACAGAGGATCCAGCATTTCGCTCCAGCGGGATCTTCTCTTCAGTCAGGGTTAATGCCTGAATCTCACTCAATTTTTCACTCACCTCTACCATATGTATTGAAATGTCACAGGTTTTCAGCACAGATCCAAGCTGGCTGAACACCTAAAGACAAAAAGAAGGAAAAAGTGCGAAATATAATGTGTTAAGTAGATTTTGGGTTTTCTAACCATTTACTTCAATAATTCACTCCTGTCACACAAGCCACTTTCCAGCAGTCTATGAGAATCATAACCTAGGGTGCCTGGGTGGCTCAGCAGTTTGGTGCTTGCCTTTGGCCCAGAGCATGATCCTGGAGTCCCAGGATCAAGTCCCATGTTGAGCTCCCTGCATGGAGCCTGCTTCTCCCTCTGCCTGTGTCTCTGCCTCTCTCTGTGTCTCTCATGAATAAATAAATAAAATCTTAAAAAAAAATCATAACCTATCTGTTATTAAACAGTGCCTACACGGGCAGCCCGGGTGGCTCAGTGGTTTGGCGCCACCTTCAGCCCGGGGCGTGGTCCTGGAAACCCGGGATTGAGTCAGAGTCCCACGTTGGGTTCCCTGCATGGGGCCTGCTTCTCCTTCTTCCTGTGTCTCTGCCCCCTCTCTCTCTGTGTCTCTCATGAATAAATAAATAAATCTTTAAAAAACAAAAACAAAAATACTGTCTACATAAGAAATAATACACAATTTTATTTGCTAACAATAAAAATTAGACTGATTAAAAAATGAAAATTAAAGATTTAGCATCTAATAAATAATCAGACTAGGGAATCTACAAAGATAACAAGAAAATAAATTGTATATATACCCTGGATTTTATAAAGCTGCTATGAAATAATCTCATCTTTGAGATGTTTAAACTGTATCTTCAGGAGATAAAATTTGAATGGCACTAAAATGGCACACTTTTTATTTTTTCTTAGCTACATGCATTTTTATGACTGTTGTAAACATGAAGAAAAATTGTTAATACTTTATCAATATTTTAATGCTAAATATTCGATGCCAAAGCATAAAGTGTGTCATTTTTCATCTGAATTTAGTTTTCATTGGTGATTTGATTCCTACTTTTGAGATCTAAATGTGTAGGTAAGCGCTGAGAATAAGGACAAGATGATTTTTCCAAGTTTCATTTTGAAATGAAATTACAAATAGAAAAAAACTTCCCAAAAGAAAAATCCTTCATGAATTATGTTCAAGAAATGAAAACAAGTCTATAAATATGTTTTTGTCTATTTTCTTAACATTCCTTTAAATTCTTTGGCTATTTAAGGTTGTTAGGACTTGATCTGGGAAAGTATCCTTTATACATTTTAAGAGCTGTGGGCTTGATTTTTAAAGTACTGAAACAAGACAGTATCATTTGAGAACTGTATTAGATATTTTATATTCAAATGACTTTGCCAATTCAAAGAGCTATAAAATAGAGCCCTGGAAACCTAAACCAGTGGTTGGTTTCTTTACTCCCCAAATAGGATATAATCAGGATTATTTGCCTGATGTTATAAATTTTTTAAAAGCCTTTGACTCCTAATTTCAAGCAAAAATCATACAGCATCAAAACATTTAAATGTATACTGAATATGCGTCTTGTTTTTTTTAGACTGAATTGCCAGATACAGGAGATAAACTAAAAAAAAGACTAACAGATTCCAGAATGGTGTAACTATGAAAGCTTAACAAATGCAAACACTTATCCTGTACAATATTCCTCCTTTTCAATGTTTATAAAATATTAGGTAGAATGGTAGAAAGAATAATACATGGAAAAATGGAAAAATATTGACCATCTGTGACAAAAGAAAGTGACCTGACCCTTCCCTTTGAAGCCCCCATGTCCTCCCTTACTGTTAGAGGTCATCAAGGTTCTCTATCTGAAGCTTAGCACTCCCTGCTTTTTCTTTATAAATGTTACTGAACACGTTTGTATCACCAAACGCGTATTGTTTAATGTTGACGATTTGGGGATTTTATATAATTCAATCATATAATTCAATCATATGATACAAATTCTTTTTTGTTTAATGTTGACTATTTGGGGATTTTATATAATTCAATCATATAATTCAATCATATGATACGAATTCTTGTACAAATTGCTATTTTCATTCAACAAGACACTGAGTTCCATCTGAATATTGTGCATTCTGCTGTGATTTCATCCATTTGCATAATCCTTGGCATTCACTGTATGACTGTACCACACTTTTATTTTTAGGATTTCATTTGTTTCTTTGAGAGAGAGCATTGTGTACAAACATGGTGTGGAGGTGGAGAGGGAGAAGCACTCATTCCCCACTGAGCAGAGAGCCTGACTCAGGCCTTGATCCCAGGACCCTGAGATCATGACCTGAGTCCAAGGCAGACACTTAACCAACTGAGCCACCCAGGTGCCCCAACTCTACTACAATTTATTGATCTATTTTCCCACTGATAGTCGTTTGGGTGGTTTCCAGTTTTTTTGCCATTCTATTTTTTTTTTAAGATTTTATTTATTTATTCATGGGAGACACAGAGAGACAGAGGCAGAGACACAGGCAGAGGGAGAAGCAGGCTCCATACAGGGAGCCTGACATGGGACTCGATCCCAAGTCCTCAGGATCACGCCCTGGGGCCCAAGGCCACGCTAAACCGCTGTGCCACCGGGGCTGCCCCTTTTGTTTTCTTTTTTTAATTTTTTTTGCCATTCTAAACAATGCGGCTGTCTTCTTGTCCTTGTATCCTGGTACATATATGCACTAGCTCCCATAGGGCATACACCTAGTAGTAAAACCACTAAGAATTTTGAGGTTTGCAGATGATGCCCAATAAGCACTTCTCAAAGTGCTCGTACCAAATTACACTCGTACAAACAGTATATGAGAGTCCTTACTGCTCCACATCTCCCCATCCTCACCAACCCTTGGTGCTGCCACACCTTCTCGTTTTGCGGGTACAATGGTATCTCACTGTGATTTTCACTTTCATTTCCCTGACTCCCAATTGGTTTGAGCATCTTTTTGTTTTTCCTGGCCACATGGATTTCCTTTTCCATGATGTTCTGTTCACACCTTTAGCCTGATTTTTCTGTCACCATCTTAATGGAAAGGAATTCTTTATGTATTCTAACTACCACTTCTTTAATTAGTTATATCTGTTGCAAATAACTCCTCCCACTTTGTGGCTTGTCTTACCCCTCTCTTTACAGTGTCTTTGAAGAAGAGAAGCTCCCAATTTCCTTAAAGAACAAAAAATTCTTTTTTATTTATTTATTTATTTGTTTGTTTGTTTATGATAGTCACACAGAGAGAGAGAGGCAGAGACACAGGCAGAGGGAAAAGCAGGCTCCATGCCGGGAGCCCGACGTGGGATTCGATCCCGGGTCTCCAGGATCGCGCCCTAGGCCAAAGGCAGGTGCTAAACCGCTGCGCCACCCAGGGATCCCCAAGAACAAAAAATTCTTTAATGTAGTTGCAATTATCCTTCTATTTATCTTTTCCTTTATGGCTTCTGCTTTATATAATTATAATTTTATATAAATTATAATTTTCATATAATTCAAAACTCTTTACCTATAAGACAAACATATTCTCCCATAATGTCTTCTAAAGGTTTTAAACTTTTACCTTTCACATTCGTCTCCACCCTCATTTTTTGGATTACAGACAACAGACAGTAAGTTATGATTTATTATGTCATTCTGATGTTGTAACTTGGCTGAGAAACAGGAGGTTAAGAAGGCAAGACTGAAAGCCAGGAAACAAGCTTGCAAACAGGTCAAAAGAACAAAGATTCAGGTAAGTACACAAGGCTCTACAGAATTTCTTTTATTACCTACCCTCAAAATATCTCCCGCGAGGGTACCCTTGCCTGGGCCCAGTTCCACCAGTTGGAAAGCTGCATTTTTTCCAGTGGCCATCCATTCGCTAATGAACCATATACCTAGAAGCTGTGACAAGGAAAAAACTACACTGAAGTATCATAAAATATAAAAGTATCCTGCAATATAAAACTCCACATAAATGCATACTTTATGCCAGGAAGCAAAATGTTTGCAAACAACCACATGTATGCTATTTAATATGTACATCTATGTATGCACATCTAGAAACTTCACAGAGACTACATTACAAAAGACACCACTTGGAAAGCTTAGTAACAGGAGAAAACAGGTAAAAGGCAGTCTGCCCTGGAAGAGGTCTCATAACACAGGTCTCATAATTACAGGAAGGTACCAGTCTTTGAAAGCAAATAAACACATGAAATAAGATTATGCCATATTTTTCATATTCATATGATCTCAATAATTCTTTCTTTTGTACACTATTTCCTATATCTAAATATATCAAGGGGGTTGGAAATGTAGAAATCAATGAACTAGAATTCCTGAGAAGAATTCAAAATTTCTTTACAGGGGGACTTTTGCTGTAACTATGGTGCAATCATGGGTAGGGGCTTTCGAATGTGCTTCTCTCCACTAACTCCTTAGTGTCTTGCATCTTTTCTCTCTTTCTTCACTTATCTTTCTCTTGTCACTTATCTTTCTCTCTCTCTCTCTCTCTCCTATTGTTCTCTATTCCTTCAGCATATAGGTGATTAAAAATGAAAACTAAAAAAAAAAAGAAAAAAGAAAATTTGATGAATCACAAAAACAAAGCTATAAAATGCTATATTATTATGGAAGAATACAACTTGATCTGCTTTGAATGCTTGTTGATATTCATTTCTTTTACAGGGTTTTTTTTTCTTTTTTTTTTCTTTTACAGTTTACATTGGATATTACCTCCCCAAAGATCTGACTTATTTCCGGTGAAGTGATAAAATCTCCTTTTTCTCCAAGCATGTCACGATGCACATAATATCCCTGAGTAAAAAGAGAAAGTAGAGAAAACAAATTAACTTTCAAATACACTTTTTAAACCCCTCCAAAATCTTCTATGATGTATACAATGACATAAACATTTGGTAAGAAAGTTCTCTCCTCTAAATAAATAAGATAAACACAGTAACTTAACTTAAACTTTACAAAGTGTCAGTCATGTTGCAGAATAGGTGAAAACATGACAATTACTTGACCATAAAGGCAAAAGCTACACCATGTCCACCTTCACATCTAACACCCTCCCCACACACTTCCCATCCCTGCTCCCACAAACCATTAGAATAAGACCCTGCCTGCCCCTCCCCTCCAGCCTCTTCTCCCAAATTCTCACTGTTTCAACTTAGCCCTGCCTACTGGTGATGTTGTTGCTTGACCTGGTTGCTCGTTAGGTGGGAGCTCTCACTTTGTGAGAATTCATCAAGCTATGTACCTGTGATTTATGCATTTTTCTATATGAATGTTTATATCTCCATAAAAAGTTTAGAGTTTTTTTTTTTTTTTTTTAATTAGCTCTGCTTGTCCATACATCCATGCCATTACAAATGCTCTCCTTTTCCCCCTCTCATTTCTCCCTGGCAATCTTATCCTCAATAAAACTGAATCTGCCCAAACACCACCTCCCCTAAACTCCCCCCACCACCCCAGACCTCCAATCTCTGACTAAATGCAGTGCCTCCCTTTATGTTTATTTATTTATATGTCTGTATTCCTCACCTAGAGGCATAGTTATTTGGGACAGAGGACTATCATATTTACCCCCCCCCCTTTTTTTTTAAAGATTTATTGGATCACGACCGGAGCTGAAGGCAGGCATCCAACCGCTGAGCCACCCAGGTGTCCCTTTATTTACCCAAGTTTTAGCATACCAAGTCTTAGCATACATCTAAAGGTCAAGATATATTCAGTAGTTCTTTGTTAAAAAAAAATTCCCTATGCTCAAGTCCCTTCTTCCACCACCTTACTCTTAGGTAACATGGGCTCCTGCACATATAGGGAAGTAAAGAATGCTATAAAATAGGATTTACTTCCTGACCCCATCTGGCCTCCATCTGTTCCCATGCATTCCTCAGAACTCAAGATGAAATGCCTTTATCTTCCACTCTTATCCAAACCCAATCCTGCCACCTGTGCTCTGGATCATCACCTCTCATCATGGCTTTCATGGGCCAGGATCTTGTTATCCCTCCTTCTCAGACAACTTTCAAAAAACTTTCAAATAAACTTTTTATGGAATCTGCCCAAACACTACCTCCCCTAACCTCCCCCTACAACCCCCAATCTCAGACTAAATGAGATTTAGAGATTTCTGCTCTCAGCAGCAGAAATATACTTGAGTCATTCCCATTTTAAAAAAATTGTTTTCACTTCATACAGCATCCCCTCTGTAACTTTTCTCTTTCCCTTCATAAGTGAGCATTTCGGAGGTGTTTTTATGGCACATTATGAACCACTCTGGTAGCCTGATGAAGACTATGGATCCCTTCATATATATGAATGTTTTTAAATGAAGAATTTAAAACACACAGGATTGCAAAAAAATAAGTAAACCAAAAAATAAAAAAATACTCATCCAATATTTAAAAAATAAATTTATGATATAGTAACAATATGCATCTTTATAAGTGTATTAATAAACAAAGCCAAGCCTAAGGTCTAATAAGTACCAAAGTTTTGAAGTACAGAAGAGTACAATGAATGGTATTTTGAGATATCTACAATCACTGTTGGGATATGATGTAAAATCACTGATATTAGTGATGCCACTGGTTATTTCCTATGTTCATAATAAGAGAAATGCTAGATTTCAGTTAGAAGCTAATGAGGGAAATGCATGTTAAAACCATGAGATATCACCTTATGCCTATTAGAAAGGCCACGATAAAAACACAAGAGATAACAATTGTTGGTGTAGAACCTCTTCTACACAAGGCCATTACTTTCAAGACCAGAAGATGTAGCTGATTTACCTAATAGATATAAACAGAAATTAAAATGAGGGGACAGAGGACTATGTCCCAAATGAAAGAATAAAGACAAAATCACAGAAAAAAAGCACTAAATAAAACTGAAATAAGCAATATGCCTGATAGAGTTCAAAGTAATGGTCATAAAGCTACTCCTCAGACTTGAGAAAAGAGTGAATGAATGCAAAGAGAACTTCACAAAGAGCCAGAAAATATTCAAAAGAACTAGTCAGAGCTGAAGAATAACTAAAATGAAAAATACACTAAAGGGAATCAACAGATTAGAAGATGCAGACAGATTAGCAATCTGAAAGGGTAATTGGAACGAAAGAAGCTGAACAGTAAAAACAAAAAAAGAATTTAAAAAAGGAGAGTAAGTTAAAGGACCTTTGCAACATCTTCAAGCATAAGTGCATTCATATTATTAGGGATCCCAGAAGGCTAAGAGAGAAGGGGAGGCAAAAAACTGATTTAAAAAAGTAAGAGGGGGATCCCTGGCTGGCTCAGTGGTTTAGTGTCTGCCTTTGGCCCAGGGCATGGTCCTGGAGTCCTGGGATCAAGTCCCACATTGGGCTCCCTGCATGGAGCTGCTTCTCCCTCTGCCTGTGTCTCTGCCTCTCTTTCTGTGTCTCTCATGAATAAAAAATAAAATCTTAAAAAAAAAAAAAAGTAATAGTTGAAAACTTCCCTAATCTGGGGAACAAAGTAGACATCCAGATCCAGGAAGCACAGAGAACCTCTAACAAGACAAACCAATGGGCAGCCTGGGTGGCTCAGTGGTTTAGTGCCATCCTCAGCCCAGGGTATGATCCTGGAGCCTGCTTCTCCCTGTGCCTATGTCTCTGCCTCTCTCCCGCTCTCCCTCTCTCTCTCCCTCTCTCTCTCTGTGTCTCATGAATAAAATCTTAAAAAAAAAAAAAAGACAAACCCAGGAAGGTTCACAAGATGCAAAATAATTAAAATGGCAAAAAGTAATGATAAAGAGACAATTTTAAAACGAACAAGAGAAAACAAGTTACAAACAAGTTCCCTACAAGGGAAGTCCCATACGGTTATAAGCTGATTTTTCAGCAGAAACGTTGCAGGCCAGAAAGGAGTGGTGATAAAGCATTGATATTAAAAGCACTGAAAGAAAAAAAAACTCAACCAAGAATATTCTACCCAAGCAAGATTATTATTCAGAATAGAAGGAGAGTTTACAAAACAAGTTGAAGGAGTTCAGGAAACTATGAAAGGAAAATACTTCACAGCAAAACCAAACATATAGGGAAAATAATAGATTCATTACTTACAAAGATAGGACGGAGGTTAAAACACAATAGGAGCAAAATCAATTATATGTTCAAAAAAATCAGTCAAAGGGTACACAAAATAAAGATGTAAATATGACATCATATACATAAAATGTGGAGGAGGGATTAAAAATTTAGTGCTTTTAGAATGTGCTCAAACTTAAGCCACCATTAACTTAATATAAGCTGCTATACACATAGGATGTTATATATGAACACAATGGTAACCACAAATCAAAACCTGTAATAGGTAAGAGTTTGAGCATAATGCTAAGGAACGTCATCAAAGCACAAAGAGAGAGCAAAAGAAGAAAGGAACAGAGAATAACTACAAAAACAAACAGATGAACAAAATGGCAATAAGTATATATCTATCTATCTATCAGTAATTACTGTAAGTGGAGTGTTCTAATCAAAAAATGTAGGGTGAATGGATTAAAAAAAACAAGACTTTTGTATATGCTACATACAAAAGATTCACTTCAGACCTAAAGTGAAGAAATCAAGAAAATATCCCATGCAAATGGGAGCAGGCAAAAAAAAAAAAAAAAGAGTAGCAATCCTTTTATCAAACAAAACAGACTTTAAAACAAAGACTGCAGCAAAAATCAAAGGCCACTACATAATGAAAAAGGGATCAATTCAATAAAAGGATATAACAATTGTAAAAATATATGCACCCAACACAGGAGCATCTAAAGCTCCTGGGAATATAAAGCAAATATTAACAGACAGAAGGAAAAACAGTAATATAATAACAGTAAGATATTTCAACGCCCCACTCTTACACCAATGAATAGATGATCCAAATGGAAATTCAACAAGGAAACAATGGCTTCAAAAGACATAGTGGGGGTAGCCCGAGTGGCTCGGCGGTTTAGAGCCGCCTTCAGTCCAGGACGTGACCCCAGAGACCCGGGATAGAGTCCCACATCGGGCTCCATGCATGAAGCCTGCTTCTCCCTCTGCCTCTCTCTCTGTGTCTCATGAATAAATAAAAATTTTAAAAAATCTTTAAAAACAAAAAAGAATACTATATTGGGGAGCCTGGGTGGCTCAGTCAGTTAAGCATCCAACTCTTGATTTTAATGATCTCAGGGTCATGAGACTGAGTCCCATGTCGAGTTCCACACTGGACATGGAGCCTGCTTATAAGATTCTCCTCTCTGCCCCACTCTCCTCCACTGCTCTCATACTGTACACACTGTACCCATGCCTTCTTAAAAAAATAAATAAAAAAGGCAGAGGAACTAAATAGATATTTTTCCAAAGATATTCAGATGCCCAACAGACACATGAAAAGATGCTCAACATCACTAATCATCAGGGAAATGCAAATCAAAACAACAGTATCACCTCACACCAGTCAAAATGATTAATATAAAAAAGATAATAACACGTACTGACAAGGATGTGGAGCGAAGGACACCTTTATGTACTGTTCATGGGAATATAAATGGTACAACTATGAAAAACAGTATGTAAGTTTCTCAAAAATTTAAATAGAACTACCCTATGGTCCGGTAATTCCACCACTGGATATTTACCCAAAGAAAATAAAAACGCCAATTCATAAAGATACATGCAACCCTATGTTTACTGCAGCATTACTTACAATAGCCAAGATATAGAATCAACTTAAGTGTCCAGCAATACACAGGTGGATAAAGATGTGTTATACACACACATACACACACACACAATGGAGTATTACTCCTAAAATCTTACCATTTATGACAACATGGATAGATCTAAAGGCTATTATGCTAAGTGAAATAAGTCAGATGGAATAAAACACTGTATGATTCACTTACATGTGTATGCTAAAGGGGAGAGGGATAGGGGGGCAGGTAGGCAAAACAAGTAACGGGATTTTAAGAAGAACAAACTTCCAGTTACAAAATAAATAAGTCACAGAGATGAAAAGTACAGCATAGGAATCACAGTCAGTAATATCGTAATAATATTGTATGGTGTGAGATGGTGACTACAACTTAACTGTGGTGAGCACTGAGTAATGTACAGAATTGTCAAATCACTATGTTGTACACCTGAAACTAATATAACATTGTATGTCAACTACACTTCAGTAATTTTTTTAAAATGAGGGAAAAAATCATGGAATATTATTCAAGCATAAGAAAAGGAAATCTAAAAAAAAAAAAAAGAAAGAAAAGGAAATCTACCATTTGTGACAACATGGATGAACCTTTAAGGCCTTATGCTATGTGAAATAAGAGAAAGACAAATACTCTAGCATTCACTTATGTGTGAAATCTTAAAAAAAAAAAAAAAAAAAAAAACAAAAACACCTCATAGAAAAAGAGATCAGACTTTTATTTACCAGATGTGGAGGGTAGAGGGAGAATTGGAGGAAGGTGGGCAAAAGGTACAAACTTCCAGTTATATAATAACTAGTATAGATGTGATGTACAACAGGATGACTACAGCTAACACAGCTGTATGATATACATAAAAAGTTAAGAATGTGGGCTGCCTGGGTGGCTCAGCGGTTGAGCATCTGCCTTTGACCCAGGGCGTGATTCCAGAGTTCTGGGATGGAGTGCCGCATCGGGCTCCCTTCAAGGAGCCTGCCTATGTCTCTGCCTTCCCTCTGTGTCTCTCGTGAATAAATAAATAAAAACTTAAAAAAAAAAAAGTTAAAGCAAATCATAAGAGCTCTCATCACAAGAAAATGTTTTCCCTTTTTCTTTTTATTGTACCTATATGAAAAGATGGATGTTAACTGAACCCACTGTGGTAATCATCTCACAACATATGCAAATCAAACCATCATGCCCTAAGCCTTAAACTTAAACAGTGATGTATGTCAATCCTTCTTTAATAAAAATGGCGGGGGAAAAAAAGAAGTTAATGCAAATAAAGGTGTAATTTTTCTTCCCATCAAAGTTCACAGCCCCCTGCTCTCTAGTTAAGGATCCCTAGGTTAAGAAACCCTACTCTCAAACGGTAGCTACATTTGTGGTAAATATAGCCTAAGGTATAGTTGTCAAAACCACTATGTTGCACAACTGAAAACAATGTAACATTGTATCAACTATATTTTAATTTTTAAAAAGGTTAAACTAAAATAAGTAAATAAATAAAATACAAATAAGGCTGATTTTAAAAGGAAAAAAAAAGCCTCTAAATTGAAGAGTTCTTGAAGGCTTAATCCTGGGTAACCTTCTCCTCTCTAAATATACTCTCCCTGATTCCTTGGGTTTAAACACCATCTGTATACTGATATGAACAAATTTCTGTCTTTCTGCATTCCCTTTCCCCGGAGAAATGACCCCATCATCTACCATCAGCCCAGGTAGGTAAGACACCCTGGTCCTCATCTCCTAGATTCAATCGGCTACACTGCCTCCTAAACACCTCTGGATTTGTTCTCCACTGACCTGATCGATCCCTAATCACCTGACAGAAACTGATCCACCTCTGGGTCCTCCGGGGAAGGCACCGCACTGCCGGCGCGGAGGACCCCCGGGCGGGCCTGGTCCTCCGGCTCCCCGACCCGTACCTTGGCGGGGTTGGTCAAGACCTCCTTCATGTACTCAGCCACAGTGATGGGGCCAGTTGCCTTGATTTTATATACAAGATGCCGCAGCATTGGCGTCACTTGGTTTTCTGCCGGCTCTCTCCCAGAGCTGAAGCATTTCCCGCTCCAAAGACAAGGAATGACTACAATTAAAAACAATTAAATGGGACGATGAAAAAAAAATCTTAGTATTTGCAAGTGCAAGCAGCCTGAGTGCCTTCGAGGCGGCTGTGTTGCTCTTCACCTCGCCGCAGCACGGACAGCGGCCTCCGGACCGCAGCACGCCCCGGGGCCCGCAGGCAGGCAGGCAGGCAGGCAGTGCCCGCGGCCACACGGCCATTCCGGGTCTGAGGCTGGACGTCTGCAGCCCGGAGCGCCTCAGGAGCCCCCGACTGAGGAAGGCGCCCCAGGTCTCTGCCCCCCGCAAGCGGAGCCCGGGCGCGGCGAACGCTTACCCTCGCGAGCCGCCGCACACAGCCGCCCGGAGCCGCCCCTCACGAGGACGCTCATGCCGTACTCCGCACGCCGCAGAACGCTGCCCCAGGGTGGGGAGCGAAGCCATTTCCGGGAGAAGACACGCCCCGCAGGAAGTACGTCACTCGGCCAAACGGAAGGAAGCTGTGGGCCGTCTGCGCGTGTTTTGCTGATAATGGCGGCCGCCAAGAAGCCTTTGGAGTTCCATGCCAAGCGGCCGTGGTGCGGAGAGGAGGCGGTGGAAGATCCCGACGAGGACGACGAGGAGGATAACGATGAAGCCGAGGATGGGTTCTCTCTGGAAGAAGTATTACGGCTTGGAGGCACCAAGGTAATGGCCTCGGACTCTCGGACGCGGGGACAGAGGCGCGTGCAGTGGTCTCCCGAGTGCGGGGCGAGTGACCCGGTTGCCCCCGAGCGGGAGCGGGAGCGGGAGCCGGAGTGGGCGTCCTGCGCCCAGATCCCAGCTTGGAAATGTGCGCTGTGCGCTTCCCGCACTTTTCCGCTGCTTTTTACAAGAGAAGAGACTTTTGGAATCGAACGTTTTTACGATGTGGTCTCTCTTAGGATGTAGGTGATCCTTTTATTTCACTGATCTATAACGGGCACTCCATCTGATCGGTGATGACTGAACTTTTTGAAAGGTCCTGACGTGGCTTCTGCGTTCTGAACTTCAGGGTTGTTAGAATGTTAACTTTTGTACAGAGTTGACGCACCTGTTTACGCTTTAGAAGCCCTCTGCTGTCTTGGAATTTACATCCCCATTAAGAGAAAGAAACAGTAACCAAACTTTTGAGAACATGGTTCATATGCAGAGTAGTGCCATGGAGAAAAACTTTTCAAGATGATGAGTGGGAAGGGCCTAACAGTTTTAAATAAGGTGATCGGGGGACTCCTCCCTGAGATGTTTGAGAAGAAAACTAGTGAAGAACGGAGTGAGCCATGCTGTTCCGGGAGCAACAAAACTGTCAGCGTAGCTGAGGAAGAATGAGTTAAGAGGAGAGTAATAAGTGAAGTCGGGGAGGAAGATTGTAGGCCTTTCTCTGAGTTTGATGCAAGACTTTAGAAGATTTGGGGGAAATACGTCACAGAGTTGGCTTATTTTTTAGTAAGTTTTGAGATTGTTAGTGGGGAGAGAGGTGTGGGTCCGGAGAAATGCAATTTACAGGGGCAGATTCACAGTTTGCCCTGTACTTGGATTGTATTTAATTTTTGAATAGGTTATATTTCACGTGCTACAAAAAAATTCTTTTAAAAAGGAGGCGTGCAGGGGCACCTGGGTGGCTCAGTGGTTGAGCGTCTGCCTTTGATTCAGGTGGTGATCCCTGGGTCCTGGGATCCAGTCCCGCATTGGGCTCCCAGGAGGGAGCCTACTTCTCCCTCTGCCTATATCTCTGCCTCTCTCTGTGTTTCTCATGAATAAAGTAATAAAATCTTAAAAAGTATATGGTGAAAAGTCTTTTTTCCCACTTTTACCTCTAGCCATGCAATTTCCCTTCCAGAAAGCAAGTATTTTTATGTCTTTTATAGCTTCCAAACAAACACGCACATTATTTTTACACAAAAGGTACCATACTGTATCTTAAATATTTTGCGTATATTTTTTTCTTGCTGTCTTAAAAAGTGCTTCCGTATCCGTAAGGTTGTGTGATTGGTTTTGTAATGCCTGCATAAATCATTGTTTTAATTTCTCTAACTGGCCATTTATTGTGGGTGTTTAGGTTGTCAATCTTGCTATTTTAAATAATGCTTCAGGGCAGCTGAGATGGCTCAGGGGTTTAGCACCGCCTTGCCCCAGGGCCTGATCCTGGAGATCTGCAATTGCGGAGGGCTCCCTGCATGGAGCCTGCTTGTGTCTCTGCCTCTCTCTCTCTCTCTCTCTCTCTTTCTCGTTAATAAATAAATAAATCTTTTAAAAATAATGCTTCAGTAAATAACCTTTAAGGTATATCTTTTCCCACATTTGTAAGTATATATGTAATCTAAATTGATAGAAATGGAACTGCTGGATCAAAGGATGTGTGTCTTGTATTTTGATTTGAAGGTAGCAAGTTGTCCTCCATAGAGGTTATTATGCTAGTTTACATTTCCATCAGCCATGTAGAAAAGTGTCTTTTCCTCCCATCCTCTCCGCAGTACCACCTGTCATAATTTTATCTTTGTTCATCTCACAGATTAGAAAATGGATGTATCATGGTGGTATTAATTTGGATTTTTCCTAATGTCAGTGAAGTTGAACATCTTTTCACATTTTTAAAAAACCAATTTCCCTTAATGAACCATTTGTTTATATCCTTTGCAGATCTTTCTTTTCAGCTGTCACTGCCTTAACTAATGTGTAGGAACTTTCATACTAAATATTAAACCCCATTACTTTGATGTCAGTTGCCAGTATTTTTTTTTCAAACTTACTGTCTTTTGACTTTTGTATGTTTTCTGTCTCTGAGAATGACAATTTTACCCATCTTTGCCTTTAAAAGCCTGCATTTTATGTCAGATTTAGAAAGATTTTCTCTACTCTGAAATTATTTTAATTATGGTGTGCAAAAAAAAAAATATGGTGTGCAATCTCCTATTATTTTATAGCTTTATTTTCACATTTAAATATTTGTTTCATCAAGTATTTATTTGGTTGTAGGATGGGAGCCCAGGCAATACCATGATAATTGAATTTAATTGATTTTATTTTATTTTATTTTTTTTAATTTTTTTAATTTTTTTTTAATTTATTTATGATAGAGAGAGAGAGAGAGAATGAGAGAGGCAGAGACACAGGCAGAGGGAGAAGCAGGCTCCATGCACCGGGAGCCCGACGTGGGATTCGATCCCGGATCTCCAGGATCGCGCCCTGGGCCAAAGGCAGGCGCCAAACCGCTGCGCCACCCAGGGATCCCTTTAATTGATTTTAAAGTGCAGATTTCAAATTAACTTCTAAAGTTTATGTAAACTGTTGGATTGGTAATTTATTTTTAACTTTCTTATGTTTTAATGTAGCAAGATTACCTTATGCTGGCTACCTTGGATGAAAATGAGGAAGTGGTGGATGGAGGAAAAAAAGGAGCAATTGATGACCTTCAACAAGGTGAATTGGAAGCATTTATTCAGAATCTTAGTTTGGCCAAGTATGCAAAAGCTTTCTTAGTTGAAGAAGATGAACCAGCAAAAAAGAAAAAGCCAGCAAAAAAGAAGCCATATCTAAAGTAGATAATAAAAAGCAAAATGTAGCAGAAAGTGAAAGAACATCACTTGATAAGGTAAAAAATAAGAAGAGGCCAGAACAACATTCTGATAACAGTGCCACACCAAAAGTTAAGAAAGATAAACAACAGGACATCTTTGAATTTTTTGAGAGACAGACATTGTTACTCAAACCTGGAGGCAAATGGTATGATCTGGAGTACAGCAATGAATATTCTTTGGAACCCCAGCCTCAGGATGTTGTGTCCAAGTACAAAACCTTGGCTCAGAAATTATATGAGCATGAAATCAACTTATTCAAAAACAAGACAAATAATCAAAAGGGAGCTTCAGCTACCTGGATGAAGACAATTGTGTCATCAGGGACACTAGGTGACAGGATGGCAGCCATGATTCTTCTTATTCAGGATGATGCTATTCACACACTCCAGTTTGTAGAAACTCTTGTGAACCTTGTTAAAAAGAAAGGTAGCAAACAGCAGTGCCTCATGGCTTTGGATACTTTCAAAGAGTTACTGATTACAGACCTTTTGCCAGACAGTCGGAAGCTACGGATTTTCAGCCAGCATCCTTTCAGCAAACTAGAGCAGTTGTCCAGTGGCAACAAGGACTCAAGAGATAGAAGGCTGATATTATGGTATTTTGAACACCAGCTGAAACACCTTGTGGCTGAATTTGTCCAGGTCTTAGAAACTTTAAGTCATGATTCTTTAGTAGCCACTAAAACTCGAGCTCTTGTGGTAGCTCATGAGCTTCTTTGTAACAAACCTGAGGAAGAAAAGGCTCTTCTTGTGCAGGTAGTAAATAAACTGGGCGATCCTCAGAACAGAATAGCCACAAAAGCCTCCCATCTGTTAGAGACATTGCTTTGTAAACATCCCAATATGAAAGGAGTTGTATGTGGTGAAGTAGAAAGGCTACTCTTTCGCTCAAATATCAGCCCCAAAGCACAATATTATGCAATTTGCTTTTTAAACCAAATGGTCCTTTCCCATGAAGAAAGTGAATTAGCTAATAAGTTAATTACTCTTTATTTTTGTTTTTTTCGGACTTGTATCAAGAAAAAAGATATTGAATCAAAAATGCTTAGTGCCCTTTTAACAGGAGTAAATAGGGCATACCCTTATGCCCAGACTGGTGATGACAAAGTGAAGGAGCAGGTCGACACACTCTTTAAAGTGTTGCATGTTGTGAATTTTAATACCAGTGTACAGGCTTTAATGTTGCTTTTCCAAGTAATGAATTCTCAGCAGACGATATCAGATCGATACTATGCAGCATTATATAGGTAAGTACCACCATTCCAGTAGGTGAATGTAAGAATAACATTTAATAATAATGTCCCTCCTGTGTGGAACAAGAGACTTAGAAAACTGGATTTTAGGCCCTCCTCAGCAACTTGCTAATCACCAACATTTAATCTTTGTTTTCCCATTGGAAAACTATTCAATGTTTTGCTCTAAGTCTTTTAAATATTAAAAAATTAGAACTGCAGATATAATTGAAGTTTCCTTCACTTCCTTCCCTCTCACTCTCATTCTCAGTCCTGTATTTCTTCCCCTTGTCCTTCCCACAACCATGTAGTGTAATTCATTGAACAGGAATTTTTTGAGTGCCATCTATATACTGGACACTTCCAGGTGCTCTGGATATAGCACTGAACAAATTCCCACCTCTTGAGGCACTTAAATTCATATTGAGGAAGACAGATGGTAAACAGGAAAGTCAGAGTTAGGGTTGCATTTTTGCAATTTTTTTTTTTAATTACTGGGATTAAAGTTTTGTTCACTGAATTTTGCAATTATCCTGACACCTATTGAGGGATGGTATTTTGAACAGTGTGTAAATACTTCGGAACTGTTTAAATATACCAACAAGCTCTATATTCCTTTCTAATACATTTTAATAATTTTATATCCATATATCTTATGAGAAATAGAAGGTACTGATTAATATCTTGAACTTAAGCCACAGTGCCTGGCTGTGATAATGTAACTTTGGACAAATTACTTAATCTTCTTTAGAGCCCTATTGGTAATAAATAAATGAATCAATCAATCAATCCCTATTGGTAAACATGATTGATTCCATTTTACTGTGGCCCAGTTTGTCCATAAAATGAAGAGGAGTGCACTTATCCTATAGGGTTATTGTTACAATATAAAACCTCCCAAGGTCACATAGCTAAAAAATGACAGAACTGGGACTGTACTGAGTTCATGTAATTTTCATATTTATGTTAAGTGTCTAATGGTGCCTCGTGTACAGTAAGTGCTCTGCAGGTGTTGGCTGCTGCTGTTAATAGTATTATTCAGATGAATTTCTTAAGTTTGTTCCTCAAAACAGTTCTCCAGTCTGTGAGGTACAGTAATTTGTGCAAAATCACACAGACATGACAATGCCAAGTTAAGTGGTAAATCCAGGTCTGCAGGCTTTGGGCGTTCATGATGTTTCATGGTGCTGATGCACTGGTACACTACAGAAAATCTCAGAGTCCTTTCCATAACTCTTAAGAGCCTACGATTTTCTTTTTCTTTTTTTTTTTTTTAAGTAGTTAATACTTCTTTGGTTTGCAGAGTTCCAGGGCTGCAAGTGTAGAGACTTAGGGATTTTAGGGGTCTTTTGTAACTTTTGATGGTCATAAGAACTTTTTGAATAATGTTTGGAATCTTTTGTAAATTATTTTTCTAATATCCATTTAATATCTCAGTGTTTAACGCAAGTCTATCTGAGGAGTACATTTTTTTTTTCAAGATTTTGTTTATTCATTTGAGAGAGCAAGAGCAGCAGACTCCCCACTGAGCAGGGAGCCTGTTGCAGGGCCTGATCTCAGGACTTAGGGATCATGACCTGAGCCGAAGGCAGGTGCTGCTTAACCATCTGAGCCACCCAGGTGCCCCTGAGGAGTACATTCTTAAATTCGTTAAGTTATTGCTTGCCAAGAGCTCTCACAGATTTCCTCTAAGGACTTACAAACCTCATAGTATTTTTCTTAATCTTATTAAGAATCTTTTTTTTTTTAAGATTTTATTTATTCATGAGAGAGAGAAAGAGAGGGGCAGAAACATAGGCAGAGGGAGAAGCAGGCTCCCCAAAAGGAGTCTGATGTGGGACTTGATCCCGGGACTCCATGATCACACCCTGAGCTGAAGGCAGACGTTTAACCACTGAGCCACCCAGGTGTCGCTTAAGAATCATTTTAAACAAAATTTCCCTAATATTACTTGAAAGATAAAGAAAACCGATTTGGTTTACAAAAATATGATTTATCAAAAACTCTAAGAACATGTTCTCTGTCAATGAGTTGCAAAGTGGATTGAAATGTTGAAAGTTTTAAATGTGAACAGAAAATTGAGTATCAAAGATTGAATAATACAGGATATCTCAGTATCACTAGAATTAATGGAACTGACAAATGGGGGAAACTGGGTATGCCCAGAATATGAAAATGCTTCACAGGGTCAAATATTTACATTTCTAATATTAATGAAAAAGTTAATAGAAATGTTTAGAATAATAAGTAATATTTCACATGAGCATATACTGAGGTTTGTGTTAATTCTAGATATCCTAATGTCTGGAGGGCAAGAGCAACCCTAGGATTCAGCAACTAGGATAAAGATAAAATTTTTAAATTATGATATTCAGCTTTCTACTATTACCTTTGTGCTCATTAGAATCATGTGGAAGCTGCCTCTGGTCTCCTAGCTAGAAGAAAGAGATAATTTTCCTATTATCCTAGAGAATGGATAACCACATGGAAAAGAAAAAAGAAACCATAAAAAAATGTCCTTCTCCTTAATATTCCCACCTTTCCCAAGATAATTTTTTCTGTTTTGGTCATTGACTTCCATTTTACATCTTAGGTGTCTTCTAAAACAAACAGGAAGGTTATCCCTAACTAAGATGAGGTTAGCAGTTGCTTCTACTGCTGGTTGTAGAGATATTTTATGAATAAGCATTTGATCTTGTTTTTTTTTTTTAATAGGAAGATGTTGGATCCAGGATTGATGATGTGCTCTAAGCAAGCCCTGTTTCTTAATCTTGTCTACAAATCTCTGAAAGCTGACATCGTGCTGCGCAGGGTGAAGGCTTTTGTGAAGCGGTTACTCCAAGTTACTTGTGAACAGATGCCTCCATTCATATGTGGAGCTTTATATCTTGTGTCTGAGATCCTTAAAGCAAAACCAAGTTTAAGAAGTCAGCTAGACGATCATCCGGTATATTTTACAACTGTTTTTTAATCGAGTGGGTTCTGAAATATATTGTATTTTTCATCTTTGCTTCAATGACAGTAACTTGCTTAGTTCTCTGAAGCATGAACAGGTGTGAGTCCTGGAGTTGGACAGATCTGGATTTTAGTCCCAGGTGTACAGTTACTAGGTGGGCATGTTGCTTGACCCCTTTACTCATAATAAACTGTACTACACTAAACTGTAATTGTATGAGCTAGTTACAGATAGTTATAGAGCCAGTATATCTCTTAAACCTGTTTCTTCAGTTGTGAAATGGATATAGTAGCACCTACCTTGTAGGGTTATTTATAACATGTTAGAAATTTGAGGACTGAATGTTTTCATGTAAACAAAAAAAAAAAAAAGTCCCAAAGTCTGAGGGAATTGTGGCTCAAAACTTATTCTCTTACATTTTCAAAAAAATATGGTGCCTCTCATAAATTTGATTGATGGAACTTTGTTTCACCACTATTCCTAAGTGGATCTCTTCAAAACTCCCTTATATAACTGAATATAGACTTCCAGTTGATGCAGATTTATTAAACCATTGTTTTAGGAGTCTGATGAAGAGAATTTTATTGACATAGGAGATGATGAAGACACAGAAAAATTCAATGCAGATAAAGAAACTGATAAAGTAAAAAAAACTGAGACAGAAGAAACTGTGTCTGACAGTCCCAGTCCTATGGAAACAAAAAAATCAGAGTCTGCTTCTTGGGTGCACTTTGATAATTTAAAAGGTGAGTTTATTAAATCTTTAAATTGTTCTCTTGAATTTTTAAGTGGGAATTGGCTTCTCCTTTGATCTTTTTTTTTTTTTTTTAAGGTTTAGGTTTTTTTAAGTGATCTATATCCAACATGGGGTTGAACTCATAACCCTGAGATTAAGAGGTTGCATGCTCTACCCACCAAGCCAGCCAGGCACCCCCTCTTTGATCTCAATAGAAATTAATATTAAACCATTTTAGAAGTCCTGTGTATTTTTTTTTTAGAGTAGAGCTTTTATAACTAGGTATATTCAGGAATTTAGTAAATTTTTAATATAGTGAATCACTTCATTATTAATAATATAGATTATATCACATTTTAAAGTAATTTAGGTCTTGGAAATTAAAGCAAATACCCTTTGGAAATGCAGGCTTTTCATTTGAGGCTATAAAGAAAAGCACACTAAACCCTGAGTATCAAGAAATGTGCTAAATCCACTTCTTCAAACCTATTATGGGAAACATGGTCAACTTTTTTCATCTCCCCAAACTTCAGTTTGCCTGTATAAAAGAGAAGTATGGTAGCAACCAGAAAAGGTTTTTGTTTTTTTTTTTAAGATTTTATTTATTCATGAGAATCATGGGGAGGGGGGCAGAGACACAGGCAGAGGGAGAAACAGGCTCCATGCAGGGAGCCTGACGTAGGACTCGATCCCGGGTCTCCAGGATCACACCCTGGGCCGAAGGCAGCACTAAACCACCGAGCTACCCGGGCTGCCCAACAACCAGAAAAGTTTTTAAAAGAATCCATCAGTTTCCCTGAAGGGTAAACTGAGAATAACCCTTTAGAAGGATGATGAGCATATGCATTGTGAAATAGTTTGTTATAACGTGTTCTAAAAGTTCTTTGTTTTAAATTTTTTAATACTGAATTTTTGAAAACAGGAAGAAGTTAATGTAAAACTTGTTCCAAGAGACAATTATTCCTGGACAATTTAATAACAAATATTCAGTGCATTTAAAGTTCCAAAAGAATTTAGACCCATTTCACCTTCAGGCTAGTTGCCATTTTAGCATTTGTAACGTATTTGATCCAGATTTGGGCAACTTTTGATGCCAGTTTATTGAATAGCACATGATATCCTGGGTACTGTATCTAATTTTCGTTGGGGCTTGGAATTTTTAACCTAGGTAGGATGCCTGGCTAACTAAGAATGTTGAAAATTATAGTCCTATTACATATATATATGTATGTTATTGATGACAACATTAGTGATGGTTTTAATGAACTCTTGGGCTAGGAATAAAGCATTTGAGAAATAGTATTTTTTTTTTTGTTCTCAGGTGGCAAACGGTTAAACACATATGATCCATTCAGTAGAAACCCTTTGTTTTGTGGAGCTGAAAATACAAGTCTTTGGGAACTCAAAAAGGTAATTATAAATTGTCTTTTAATTCATTAGTCCTTTGTATTTGCTTTCATGGATTTAACTCCTTGAAGTTTCCATTTTTCTTATAAATGATTCATAGTTTAGTTAAACAGCTAATTGGCATAATGAAGCAATTTGAAGCGTATCATCCACCTGTAATCCTTTATAACCTGTTTTTCTGTAGCCTCTGATAAACATTAAATTTATACATTTCTACATTCACATGTAACATCTTAAATAATATGTATGCAAAATAAGGATGTTATACATAGCTATAAATAAATTTTGCTTTTTTAGGTAAATTATTGCATATAATGGCTCTGTAAAATGGGTAAATTCTGCTTTATGCATCAGATGTCCCTGAAAAGTTTTGTGATAGAATTGTTTGCAAATAAAGTTACCTTTTAAATGCATTAGAGGAACTTATATTTTCAATAAACTTTCTGTGATGCCTTTGGTAAAGCAAGCGTCTTAACACATAGATTCCTATGGGTCCTTGACATCTTTTCAATGAGTCTGCAAGGTCACAGCTATTTTCATAGTGATACCAGGGCACATTATTTGCCTTTGTCACTGTGTTTACAGTGGCACTGATGGATAAAACTGCTAGTGCCTTACCTCAGATAATGACAGTGGCCATTGTATTTTTTACTGCCATGTACCTTGAGAGGGAAGAGGGGGGAAGACAGTATCACATAAGACTGATGAAAGGAAAAATTAGTGATTATCTTGACCCTAAAGTACATGTCTTTTTCATAATCTGTGTTCATATACAGCAAGAATCCATAACATACTTATGCATACCTAAGTATGAGTTTGTCTCATGTCTTAGAAAAAGTACCTATATAGTTTGTTGTAAACTCAACTAGCTGCTTTTTTTAATAAAAGACTGGTTGACCGAGAGACTGGTTTTTCAGATTTGGGTATTCAGGAGACATTTTCTTGAAAGTGAATCTGTTATTTCAAGCAAAACCGCTGACAGTATTTGTTGTCAGTGATAAAATTCAAGCTTTTAAGCAAAAAAAAAGTCTAGAAATCTGGTAACCACCACTTTGAACTTGACACTTCCTCAATATATAAAACTTTTCTGATAAAATCAGTGGTGATACTAACAAAGTGATTTTTGTGATAACGTTACCAACGTGTGGAAGAACTGCATAACTCACTGAATCAGTATTTTCCAAATGACTAATGCATGGTGTTACAAAAAGTCTTAGTTAAAAGATCTAGTCAAAGTAGACCAATTAATTTTAAGTACCAAAAGCTGTTTAATAATAGTTTCAGATTCCAAATTGCAGCTAATCTTCAGTTTTGGGAGTAGTATCAAAGAAGAAAATCCACAATTATGTGAAAGACTATAAGTTAATCTTCCTATTTCCAATTCTATATACCTGTCAGGCAAGATTGTCATCATAATTCAATTAAACAATAACATGGAATACAGAAGCACATGAGAATCCACTGTCTTCTATTAATTCAAACATTAAGTAGATTTATAAAACAAATAATTTTACTCTTCTCACTAATGCTTATTTGTTCTGAAAAACTTAGTTTTCATAAGACATTGTAATTTCTAATAAGGTAAATAAGGTAAATATCAATAGGTATATCCCCCTGAAACTAAGGAAGCTCTTGCGGTCCTTGACTTTAACTATATAAAGCACTCCTGAGACCAAAATTTTGAGAATCACTCTAATATATTGGCTTAAGTTTCAGTTCTTTGGATTTACAGTTGTAGTAAGAGTTGAGTTTCCTCACAATTTTTTTTTTTTTTAAAGCTGTCTGAGCATTTTCATCCTTCTGTGGCCCTTTTTGCAAAGACTATCCTTCAGGTAAGTCTAAAATATTTTAAAGTCAAGAAAAAAGAAAACTAATCCAGTTTTCGATAATCAGTAATTGGCCATACAGTATTTTCTATCTACCACATAGACTCATAAACATTTTCTGCTGTGGAAAAGGATCAGTGACTTAATACAGTGCAGCAGACAATTCTTCCCACTGTGTGGTGAATAGCAATACAGGATACTAGATTATTGCAACAGTTACTACATTCTGGCTTTTCTCCTGAAGAAAGACTGTCCTCCCCTTTCCCATTTGCTGTGTTTGCTTCCTGGTTAATAGATGACCTACAGTGTTAATATTGTTTATCCGTAAATTCAATAGCACATCATAAAATATTTGTGTGTGTGTTTAATTCTTCAAGTAAAGAGGGATGAGATGGATATTTGAAGGGTCATGTAAGGCATATTTGTGCCTTTAATGCATTGTAATAGATGGTGTTTTTCCTTTATTTTCTTATTTGGATGCATATATATGATTTAAGTTCCTAATCCTCCCCCCCCTCCACCTTTCAGGGAAATTATATTCAATATTCAGGAGACCCACTCCAAGATTTCACATTAATGAGATTCTTAGATCGATTTGTATACCGAAATCCAAAGCCACATAAAGGCAAAGGTATGCTTCTATTTAATTATTTGGTTTTCACTATTGATACTTATTAAAATAAGCATACAATTAGATTTTACACTACATTGCCTTGATTTTTGCATTTCAGAAAACACAGATAGTGTTGTGATGCAGCCAAAAAGAAAAAATTTTATGAAGGATATTCGTAGTCTTGCTGGTAAGTATAAAGCCTGAATGGTTGAAACTGACAAGATAGGACAAGTCTAACACATAAATTGTGTTACTCTTTGCTCCATTTTATCAGAATAAACCTAAGCACTAGAGACATTATCCATCTTTTGTTCCCAAAAATGTATATACGTTCTTTAGTTTATTGTGTGTGTCTGGGACTTTTTTTTTTTTTTTTAACTTTATTACAGATTTCAAACAGATCCAAAATACACAGTATAATGAAGTCCCCTGTAACTGTCACACAACTTCAATAATTAGCCATTTTTATATCATTTATAGCATTATTTGTGACCCCCCCACACACACACATACATAACTATCTTTTACAGTTAAAGACCATTTTTATTTATTTGAAAAAGAAGAGTAAATGAGCAGGGGGGAGGGGCAGAGGAAGAGAGAATCTCAAGCAGACTCCCTGCTGATCACAGAGCTTGACAAAGGGGCTTGATTCTACAACCCTAAGATCACAATCTGAGCTGAAACCAGTAGTCCAGTGTTCAACCAACTGAGCCACCCAGGCACTCCCTACAGTTAAAAGCCATTTTAAGAAGCTTTCTAATATGGGTTCAGCAGAAAACTCAATTGGTTTTGTCACCGCATCATTTTAAATTGGTTGATAACCTTCTGTGGGTACTGGGTACCCATCTTGTGGATCTGACTCTTTTCTGCATTCAAGCAAACATCTTTTTATATAATAAATCACAGTTGCTTTCTGTTCAGAGACTAGGGTTAATTTGTACCTTATAAACCATTTAATTTCCAACTGGTTTATTTTACAGCGATCCAGAGACTCAACCAAAGTTAATAGAATTTAGAAGCCAAATCCACTTTTAATCAAGATGAGTTAGAAATTTTTATTGTGAAGAGAGAAAACTAATATTCCTGTAGTTCCTTGTTCTTGTTCCTTAGTTTTCATCAGCATTAAGTAAAATTATAGACAATTCTGTTTACCTTTACTTCCGATTCTGGAGTAGCAGGCATTACTGTTTTTTTTCCTGAGATAAAGATGATAAGTTTAAAACTGATTATTAAGAGAACTCTTTAATTTTATTTCTCTTAAAATTGGGATCATGGACGCAGTTGGAGGACAGTGAGAGAACCATGTTCTTTCACTGTGATACACTGACGGCTACATATGTCCTTGCAGCCAACAGTTTTAAATGTTGGGTCTCCTGCACTCAGACTTCTCCAGAGACTGTCCTTTGCACTAGAAGATCCCCCCCTTATGTCTACCTTCCTTACATTTTGAGACTTTAGAATTGTAGATACGCTGTGTGTAGTCTTAAGAACTTAAATAACATAAAAAGGACTACTTTAATAAAATCTTTATCTTAATCTATTTTCCTAGTGAACAGTAAGGAGTTCCTTGCAAAAGAAGAAAGCCAAATACCAGTGGATGAACTATTTTTCTACAGGTAATATACTTAATGCAGTTTCATTTGGGGAACTATTAAAATGTAAATTTTTAAGGAAAAGTGTTTTTAGATACTATAAAATGCTTCATTAACATAGATCTGTCTTGAAAAGATCTAAAGATATGTCAGTTAAGGTGCCGGGTAGCACAGGTCATGATCTCAGGGTCCTGGGATCAAGCCCCACATTGGGCTCCCTGTTCAGTGGAAGTCTGCTGCTTCTCCCTCTACCTCCCAGCTCATGCTCACTTGCTGTCTCTCTAATACATAAATAAAATCTTTCTTTAGGGGAGGGGGGGGTTGTTTCTTTTTTTTTTTTTTTTTTGATAGAAGGAATTTATAAATCATTTGGTTTGATAATTTTAAGATATCTAAGTGGAACTTAAAACTAGTCAATTTGTGTTTTTAATAATGTAGGTTAAGTTTTATTTTGTGACGCTTTGTGAAGCTGAATCTTACTTTTTTTTAAATAGTAATTGTCTTACAGGCAATAAATCTGATAAAATTATGTGATTAGATGTTATCTAGAGCCACATTTTGGTCTTATTTTTAACACTTAGATCATTAGTGTTGACACTAAAACAATCTTTTACTATGTCATTTAATTGAGTTGAAGTGTTTTTATGAAGAATTAAATCCTAAATCTTTGAAACTTATACTTCCCATTCAGAAGTTGCTATTTTAATTCAAAACTTTTGTTTATAATAAAGATTTTAGTTACTAATATCCAACTGTGCTAACAGTTTTTACACTTGCCCATGTCACTGGTCATAGGTGCTTTGATTACAGTAAAATAGGCCCTTTAATACAGTTATCAAATAGGGGGCACCTGGGTGGCTCAGTCAGTTGAGTGTCTGACTCTTGGTTTCATCACCAACTTCTGATCTTGGTGTTGTGAGATTGAGTCCTACATCAGGTTCCATGCTTGACAAGGAGTCTGCTGGAGATTCTCTCTTCCTCCTCTTCTGCCCCCCTGCCCCAGCGTATGTGCGTGCTCTCTTTCTTTTTAAATATAAGTAAGGTAAAATCTTAAAATTTTTAAAAGAAATATCCAATATATAACATGCATTTTGTTTTAGGTATTATAAAAAAGTTGCTACTGTTAAAGAGAAACAAAAACGAAATGCAGATGAAGAAAGTATAGAAGATGTGGATGATGAGGAGTTTGAAAAGATGATTGGTAATTTGTTTTTATTGACTGTTCAGTGTGTAAAATAATCTATTTCTGTTTACTTATAGGACCATGGAATATTAGTGGTAGGAGTGATGTTAGTTTTAGAAAATCATTTAGCTAAGAATACCATGCAGATGATGCTGGAGGATTAAAAACTATTTTGGTGGCATATAGTAGTTCACCCACAGTTGATCAAGAAAGATTTATGATTGTGTGTGGACAGTTCATGGTAAAAATAAATTTGTATTTACGTGGTATATATTCATTATTAAGGCCTAATCTCTGAAAGAAGAGAAACCATTTTTGCTGTTCCTAATTTCCTTACACTGTTGGTAACAGTAGTCTGCTATTTCATCTGTTTTATCTTTATGATCCACAGAGTTAAAATGTTAATCTATATTTAGACCAAAACAAAAAAACATGAAATTAGAAATTGAGTTTGATTTTTTGCAATTGTATTATATTTACTAAAAATAAGCGCTTAAAAGGACTGCAGTTGCTAAATACCATTTTGATATTTACCCTCTTTCCATAAAAGTGTTGTAGAAAGAAGCTGAAATTAACTGGAATCCATTTTAGTTTGAGGATTTAATTACGGTCAGTATATTCACAGATTTATGTAGATTAATAAAACACAGCAGTAGTCAGATTTATATCATTTTGGTGTAAATGGAATCATGACTGTTAATTGATTCATAAAGAATATATGTCAATTTCATTGTTACTTGGTATATCTGACAAATTGTATATTATCCTCTGACAGACACATTTGAAGATGATAATTGCTTTACCTCTGGAACAGATGACCTTGATTTTGCTAGGTAAAATGCTTTTCTTCAATCTTGTTTTTAAGAAACTATTTTCTCAGTATTTCCCAAAGTGCTTTCCTCAGAACAGCAGAATACAGGACTCTGATGTGTAGGAGAAATTTCTTGAAAAAAGCTTGGGAAATGGGTATAGTACTTTCATTTTAGACCTTTATAATGCATGATAATATATCAGAGGTTCTGGGCTGTCTATTAACTCTGTTATAGCCTAGTATCCTGCTGATCACCAAAAACGAAAAAGCACTTTAGAAAACAATGTTCTCTACTACAAGTTGTTGTTTTTCTTCAGCAACATGAAAAAGAAAAAAAAAGGTGCTAAGGAAGACCCAGAAGATGAAGATTTAGAAGGCAGTGATGATGACCTTGATAATTTGGATGATGATGAAGTTTCTTTAGGAAGTATGAATGAAGAATTTACTGAAATTGGTGAAGATGGAGGAACATTCATGGATGTGTTGGATGATGAAAGTGAGGGCATTCCAAGTAAGCATTTTTTTTTTCCAAGTTAAAGCATTTTTGAAATACAAAGCTAAAGTATATTTCCTTTTCCTCAGGGTAGGCTAGCTTTTCTGTTGTAGCATTTTTTAAAATATTACTTTGTATTCAAATTAATAATCAGATTGGCCAGAAATTTATATAGGACTTTTTCCTCCTCTTATTTGAATCCAAAAGAGATTGAGTTTTGAATTTGGTTTTTTTTTTCTTTAAGATTTTATTTATTTATTCACGAGAGACACAGAGAGAGGCAGAGACACAGGCAGAGGGAGAAGCCCGATGTGGGACTCAATCCTGGCACTCCCTCATCACGCCCTGAGACTCTCAACCACTGAGCCACCCAGGCATCCCGAGTTTTGAGCTTTTATCATAATCAACAATTAGACTCTGTACAATACCTGTTGAGCTGTTACCCTTTTTTTGTTAGAATAGTGATTATTTCTAAAAGTTAAAGTTTCATCATTCCATCTTAGTTCTATGGCTGTTCTTTTGTTTTTGAAGTTGCTTAGTAGCATGGGTTTCATTTTGTTTTTTGGAATAGAACTTGATGATGAAGTCAGCTCCAAAATCAGTACAAAGAGAAACAAGAGGAAAGGTACAAATGATTTTGACTTTGCTGGATCATTTCAAGGTAAGAAAATGCATCTAGTCTCTCTTAAACTTAGGTAGTGGCTATGTGAAAGTTGCTGATCATTATCATTTTGGGAAATTTTCTAAATTGGGGAGTATAATTTCATGTTTGCTTTTATAATAGATAAGAACAGTTTCCTCTATTTTTAACATGTGAAAGTTTGTGTGGTATCCATGCAAATACTTTACATGATTGTGCATAGCAGCACTATTATTATTAATAGCCAAAAAGTGGGAATAACCCAAATGTCTGTTGACTGATGGATAATGAAATATTATACACCAATAAAATGTAATGAGGTACTGATATCCTATAATATGGAGGAGCTTCAGAAATGTTATGCTAAGTGAAAGAAGCCAGATAAAGACGACCACCTATCATATGATTCCACTTACATGAACTAGCCAGAAAAGGCAAAGCTGTCTTGGGGAGAGGGCACAAGACTGCAAATGCCCAAGGTATCTTTTGGGGTTGATGGAAATGTTCTAAAATTGCAATGTGATGATAGTTGAACAACTCTATAAATTTACTAAAACATACTGAATTATACACTTAAAAACAGCTGAACTTTATGATGAATTTTAAAAGTGAAAGTGGGTAAAAGCAGTATTTTTAGTTAATACATTTTTAGAAAATGTGATTTTAAATGTGTAAGTTAACATTTAATATTAAAATAAGTTTTAGTTTATTTTGAAATGTTTGTATGTTCAGAATTACAGGTTGAGTTTTTTTAAGGAGAACCACTTTGAGAAGTATAAGCAAAATTTCATTTATATCATAAAAAAAATACTTTCCATCAGTTTTCTCACAGACCAAAGAAAACTTTTGACTTAATTAGAATTTACAGTTTGCCTTAAATATCCCAGAATTCATCCATGTCAACTTTGTAATCTGTCTTGCCTGATACTGTGAAATAGGGTAAACCTTGATCAGTGGTCAAATCTGAAAGGCAGGCAGGAAGAGACACTACTGTCATCTAAACAATTCTCTTAGGAATTTTTTTAAAAATACTATAGACTATTAAATTTGTTTTTATTTTTATTTATTTTATTTTTTTTAAGATTTTATTTATTTATTCATAGAGATGCGGGGGGGGGGGGGGGCAGAGACACAGAAGCAGGCTCCATGCAGAGAGCCTGACATGGGACTCGATCCAGGGTCTCCAGATCACGCCCTGGGCTGCAGACGGCGCTAAACCGCTGAGCCACCGGGGCTGCCCCCTCAAATTTGTTTTTAAATGCCAGCTACTTAATGATGCTAAAAGATCATTATAATCGTGTATTTTAACCCAAATACAACTTTTTTTATAACAAAACCATGTTAATTGTTCAGTCATTATATTGTACACCTGAAACTAATGTAACATTGTGTGTCAAGTATACTTCAATTTAAAAAAAAGAGGTGTATTTTTCCAAAATTACTGGATTTACAGTTTAGTAAACTAGGCTTATACTTTTTTTTAGGACCAAGAAAGAAAAAGAAAGGAAATTTCAGTGACTCCAGTCTATTTGTATCTGCTGAAGAGGTAAGGCTAATCTGCTTTAAGAAGTTAGCTATTCCACATTGTTCTGAGTTTTCTAATAAATGTGTTTCTTTTTAAGTTTGGCCACCTATTGGATGAAAATATGGGATCCAAGTTTGATAACATTGGCATGAATGCCATGGCTAACAAAGATAATGCAAGTAAGTAACTTGAAATTTTTTTTTTTTTTTAAGATTTATTTACTTACTTGGGGGGAGGCAGTGGCACAGGAGAGGAAGAGAGACACTCTCCAACAGACTCCCCACTGAGCACAGAGCCCAACATATGGCTGCATTCCACAATCCTGAAATCATGACCTGAACTGAAATCAAGAGTCAGACACTTAACCAGCTGAGCCACCAGGCACTCCAAGTAACTTGAATTTTTTATGGAAGTTTTTAAGTGGCCTGAACTTAGAACTTACGAAGATGTAAATATTTTCGGAGGACCATTTTTAGTAAGGATGAGTAAGATGGTTCCTTTTCCTTACAACGTGGAAGGAATAGCTTTTTCATCTCTGTGTGGGGGACATGTAGGATCAAGAGGCATTTAGACTATAGCAATAAAGACTGTATTTAGTCTTTTTAGAGAGGCAGGCTGTTTTTATATGAGTTTGCTAAGTAACTATTATGAGTACTTTATAGACATTTTCATTATTTCTGATATAGATACTGGCTTTTGCTTTTTGTCAATAAAAGTGTTCAGAAGAAATAAAATCTTTAGAGCATTTGTTCCTTTCTTATCCTAGTCTTTTATTTGTTAAAACTAATCTTTAACAATAAATGCCAAAGGAAAACAAAAGTAAGGGATTTGTACAGTGGATGGGAAATGACCGTAAGCCATGGCAGACCAGAAGTTCCTGTTTTGTTCTGTGGGGCCAGGAGTCTACCATGTGGTGTACTCATCTTTCTTCTCCCCCACAAAGGTCTCAAACAGCTTAGATGGGAGGCTGAACGTGATGACTGGCTACATAACAGAGACGTAAAAAGTATCATCAAGAAAAAGAAAAATTTCAAAAAGAAGAGGCCAAAAACCACTCAAAAAATTAAAAAGCAAAGAAAATGACTGTTTTCTAAATAAATTATGAATTAAAATTGTACTTACTCCTAATTTTTGCTATTCAGCCATTTTTCTTGATCTTGCTCTCTGACTCCATACATTCCAGACTGTTCAATGGATTTGTAATAAACTAAAAATAAATATAGCTGTCATTAGAAAATCATGTAAAAGTGTTAAAATTAAACTCTATTAAGAGAAATCATACCTCTTTTCCTTATTTCTACATAGCAAAATGAAAAACAGAATATATATTTCATGTACAAGCCGTCTAGCATCTGTACTAATTGTAATAAACACTATTAAGCATTACCTTATACCAGATATTGTGCTAAGTGACTATATGATGTTATCTTGTTTAATCTTGACAATTCATAAGGTGGGCATTATAACCACTACCAGACAGAGAAAGAAACAGCTCCAAGAAATTAGCAAACCAACGTCACTTTGAAGTTTGAAGCTGTGGTTTGATTCCATCATCACCACGGATACGTTTCATTCCAAAGTTTTTAAACACTGGTAACTACTCATCTCCAAATGAGAATTTTCATATTTTCAGAGGAGCTGAAATAGGAATAAATAGTAATTTCTCTTGGAAGTTGACATCACAACTTTAATCCTTATTTGGTCATAAAGAAATTGCTTCATTTAAAGGGTACCTGAAAATGTCATTTTATACTCTTAAGAAAAAACATACCTTCCAAGATGAAGGGAAATTTCTTGCTCATTGTTTGCCTGAAATCTGACCAAAAAAAAGTCTTAAAATTAGACATGACTAGACATTTATTATATTAAAACATGGAGCCATAACTTAATACTAGCTTTAGGGTCTAGTCTATAAGATAGGAATCCTATAGAAAAGAGATTTAAGGTCCTTCTGGTGATCAGAAACTATCCTTTGGGACAGGTGTAAGTTGCACTTGCCTTACATGTCGCCCCCCACAGTTATTTTGGACTTTTCAAATTTAACCTGTATATATGATGCAATTTATTTAGAAAAGCAAATTTTCAGTATTAATGTATAACTCCCTTATGTAACTGAAATGAGATCAGCTTCACAAATGGAGTAGTCTCGATTTCTAATTCCATAGCAAAGTACAATGGAATCCGTAAAAACAATAGTTTGCAGAATGAGAAACTTTAGTTTGCTTTTATATACTGTCTTTAATTTGTTTTTATATACTGTTAGTATGTTCTCTTTTGTATCCTTACAGGGTACAAAAGAAACTCGGTGTTAATTATTGTGGACTTAATGACTTTTCAGGATCCTTACAGGATGCTTACATCCACTAGCATCCTGGAGCAGTGTTCCAGTAAATAATAGGACAAATGACAAGTTTCAAAGATGGCCACCACTCCCAGGACTACTCGTCCCTGCTTTAGGGGAAAAGAAAGCACCCCTGTTTTAAAAGTTGAGAGCTCTAACACAAAATTTCCCCCCAGAATGTGTCCTAGCATTTTCAGTGATAGCCCGTGACACGGGAAAGGTTTTTAGTACCCAGTATTGGTAACGGGAGGAACTCCTGACAGCCTTGACAGTTCAGCTACGCACTACCTCTCAGTCTACCAAACGATGAGCTATAAGCAGGCTGAATTTCTTCCACCTGTGTTCCCAAATGAAGCCAGACCAGTCACTTGCTCTGTGCCCCCCACTAGTAAAATCCATAGAAATGTGCCACATTTTCCCTAGTCTACAAATCACATTATTTAGGGAGAAAAGTCATTAAATCCACAATAACACCGAGTTTCTTCTTGGGCCCATAAAAATGTCTAATACATTGAAGAAGCAATTTCTCTAAAAATGCTGTTTAGACCTCAATGCATTAGCAAACTGCATACCCCTGTAGAAAACATCAACTTCTGAATTAGGATTACCTTGGCTTGTGTTCATCCTATTAAACAAAAAATAGGCTCCAAAAACGCCCAAGAGCTCAACTACTAAAACTCCTTTAAAGATCTTCTTTGCCAGTGGTTCCATCGTGCGAGCCATCCTAAGTTTAACAGTAACAAATACAGATAAACCTGAATGAGCATACACAAACTTGATAATACCACTTCCACGAAAATAATTCCAATTCATTCCTACAATCTGAGTGATTTAGGAATAAAACCCCAAAGTTACCATATGCTTATTTATTTGCTATGTCCCACATTCCTAATTTTCTTTTTTTTTTTTAAGAATTTATTTGTGAGAGAGAGGTAGATGCATGGGCAGAGAGAGAGAAGCAGGCTTCCCACAGGGAGCCTGATGAGGGACTCATTCCAGGACCCCAGGATCACGACCTGAGGCAAAGGCAGATGCTCAACCACCAAGCCCCCCAGGCGTCCCCCACATTCCTAGTTTTCAATTTCCACCCCCGCACAATGAACCAAAGACACCACTGGATAAAGCACAAAAAGGTGATGAAACTGAAAAAAAAGCACTGTAAAAAGAACTAGCAATTTATGGAACTAAAATTTTTATTTACCTAAGAATATAGCATATTAAGAAATAGAGTAAATCTTTTTTTTTTTTTAGCTGAACTAGGATTTAAGATATGTAATGGGCACCATATGTGAAAGGTCTTCGTAAGTAACTGATAAAAATAAGATTATTCTACAAGTGGTTCTTTATGTTTCAGAGCTGAAGGTTTTCATTTATTTATACAGCATATATTGAACTATGCTATAGCCCAAGCATCTCACACAACGTTGAGCAACAAACCAACTTTTTCTTGGGGAGCTGCTATTCTAACAGTATTTTCAAACTAATTACATCATCCAAAAGGCTTGTTAAAAATGCACATTCCTGGGCCTCAACCTGCAATTCCCCAGTCCCTGGCTTCTGATTCATCAAGTCTAGGGCTGCCATCTCAGTAATCTGCACATTTGCAAGCAACTCCAAATGATTTCTGTACAAGAGGTCCCTAGTCCACATGAAGAGGAAAACTGACCACCATCACCCATTAAGTAGCAAACTAAACTTTAGATCTTGATTCTCTTCCTTTAACTAAAATAAAAGCTATTCAAAACAAGGGTTTGTGGGGTGCCTGGATGGCTCAGTTGTTTGAGACTCTGCCTTCAGATCGGAGCCCCAAGTCAGGCTCCCTGCACAGAAGGGAATCTGCTTCTCCCTCTCCCACTCCCCCTTGCTTGTGTTCTCTCTCTCTCTCTCCCTGTCAAAATCTTTAAAAAATAAAAACTGTTTGAGTCTTCATTCTCCTCTAAGTAAAAGCTAAACAAGGGAAACGGCTATATAATAAGCTTAAAAAAAAAAAAGAGAGAGAGAGCATATACAACTCTTACCGAATATGTGAAATGTAAACTCAAGTTTTTACTCTGCCTCCCTATAACCCGAACAAGAGGAGAAACCAGTCATCTTTAATCTCAGGATTTTGATACTGTGCAATGTATGCTCTTTGTCATACTATTCTCTGCCCTCTGTACACAGATGGTTAAGATCTATAATACTCTACAGTCCCAGCTCTCTGCTCACTGTCATGCATTTATGGCCATTCCCTCTTGACTCCTTTTCACAATGCCTGAGAATGGGGTAATTAAATACCTTACTTTTGTAGGATTATCCTATTAATCTCTTTACCAGGTATCCCCTCCCTCCAAAATTCCCTTCCCTCATTTTGATAATGTGATCACCCTGGGGACTAAAAGATTAAAACTTTAGTATTCTTATCTTAAAAAAAAAAAATGAATCAGGGAAAGTTAAAGAATTTACATAAAACAGAAAGGCAGGTAAGTGGGAAGGGAGAACTGCTTTAGTGTTTACAATGCTGTACCTGACAGGAAGAAAGTCATTAGTACAGGGACCTCTCAGTGCCAATTTTTAATGTGCAATGGGTGAAAAAAAGTTTTTTTTAATTATAAAGAAAGCTTGCCTGCAGCAATATCCGCAGTGTAAGGAATCCAAATGAAATTTGGTTTTGTTTGGATGGGAAAAGGTGAGATTAAGGGTTCAAAAAATAAATACAAATAACACTGCAAATTTGTATTTATTTTTTGAACCCTTAACCTCACCTTTTCCTATACACACACACACACACACACACACACACACACACACATTTTACAAGTCCCTCAGCTTCAGGAAAGATGTTTATAATGATTGATAAAGCCTGGTTGATAAAGACCACCAAAGGTATACCTGTCCATGGCAAACTCAGGTTACTAACTAGGAGAGAAAACAAGATTAGACAAGATTTTGGAGAAGGATGGAGCTTAGATGAAGCTTAGATGAAGTTTAAAATAATGCAGCCCTCTGGGGGCCTGGGTGGTCAGTCCGTGGGGCCACAGACTTTTGATCTCAGGTCTTGCTCTCAAGGCCCTGAGTTCAAGCCCCAGATTCGGGGTGGAACATACTTTTAATCAATTGATTAAGAAAGGAAAGAAAGGGAAGGAAGGAAGGAACGAAGAAAAGAAAGGAGAAAAAAAAAAGAAAAGAAAAGAAAAGAAAAGAAAAGAAAAGAAAAGAAAAGAAAAGAAAAGAAAAGAAAAGAAAAGAAAAGAAAAAGCACCTGGGTGGCTCAGTGGTTGAGCATCTGCCTTTGGCTCAGCTCGTGACCCGGGGGCCTGGGATCGAGTCCCGCATCGGGCTCCCCGACAGGGAGCCTGCTTCTCCTTCTCCCTCTGCCTATGTCTGTGTGTGTGTGTCTCTCATGAATAAATAAATAAAATCCTTATAAATAAACAAGTCAAATAAAATAAAGCAGTCCGCAAATGGGCCTGTAGAAAAGCCAGGCTGTGCGTCTTGCAGTTCACATCACACTGGGCCGAGCAGCTGATTCAGGGTCCACAAGCGTAAAACAAATGTGCGGTGCTGGCGTCTGAAAACGACTCCTCCGTGCACTACAGCGGGAAATCCGCGGCTCGGCCCCAAGCAGGAGGGTCTCTCGCACTCCAGCCGTCGCAGAGCAAGCTTTCTCAGCGTCCCTGGCTTTCCTTGGCTAAAGCACTTTTTCCGGGTCCCACGTTCCAGAACCAAGGCCTGCTGCCACCCACGATCCTCAGGCCCTCGCAGCCCCCCGCTCTTCCCCACCCCCCCAATCCCCGGTGCGCCCCGGTGGCCCCTCGAGCTCCCCCGCCCGCTCCCGCCCGCCTCAGCCAACTCGCGCCGGCAGCGCAGGCCGCACCGCCCGCCACCGCGACAAGGTCGCCACGCGACCCGGAAACACTTGAGCCTGCCCAGCGACCTCCCGCTGAATGGGTAGAGCGACATCCAAATTTCCTCCGTATGACTCCAGAACTTTAGCGAGGCGCCCCCCAAACCTCCGCCCCACCCTGCGCCCTGGAGAGCCCGAGTCAGGGAACCCAGCCGAAGCCACTACTCTTACCTGAGGCGCCCGCACCCTGGACTGCGCTTGCGCGAGGCTTGGCAAAGCTCCGCCCCCTGGCGTTGGCCCCGCCCCGTACCGTGATTACTTCTTAGCGCGCTCTTGGACTCCCAGCGATAAGAAAGACTGAGGACTACGTCCCCTAATTTAATCCTCACAAAACCCCTGTGTCATAATTGGTGCTATGAGTGTCTCATTTTACAGAGAAGGCAGGAGTTTTACCCTGCCCACAGTCACAGAGCTGGCAAGAGACAAAATTGGATTTGAACTTAGGACGCTGACTCGAAAACCCTGCGCTCAATTATGTTTCTGCACTCTGCAAAGTGTGATAGTCTCCAAGAATCAGCAATATGGTCATGACCTGGGAATTTGGAATTTGTTAGAAATGCAGACCTGCTTCACTAGGCAGGGGTAACTAACCTGCCCCAGCCCTAACCCTAGAATGCAAATGCTCAAGCTCCCCAGCTCGGAAGTCCTGTTCATCCTCCTCCCAGAGTCTCCAGCACGCAGCCCAAAGGCTCTTTTGGGGGGCTATACATTCCCAGTGTGATTCTGATTTGCTAACTCTAGCAAAGGGATGCAAGTGGCCAGAAAGAAGTTCCCCTTGCTTGGTCATCCCCATGGCACAGAAGTTGGCCAAAAAGTCCTAGTCTGCTGTAGTGTTCATAAGAGCAAGGGCAGCAGGGATCTCTTCATTAGTAAGTACCTGGGAAGTCTGCTCTCCATTCTACCACAGAAAGAGAGCAACTGCTCTGGGATCCTCAAAATAAAGCTCTTTCAATCACCTGACTAGAGTTTGCAGAGATAGATGACCCATTGCTCCTACTGCCAAAAGGCACCTACTAGAAAAGAGAGGCCCAGGAACTTGGTGATGACCCAGCCTTCCCTTCAGATGGCCACAGGACACACAGCAATGGAAAACTGCAGCCTCTGGCAGCCCTGTCGCTGAGACAAGGGCAATGGGGGTAGGAATCCCGCTTGCCAGTTGCCTAGTGCTGGAGTGGAGTGGTTCTCCATCACCCCCAGCCTAGGATGCCAAAGTGTCAAGAGATAAACTGCCCTGGACCCCAAATGTTTCCAGCATCCACTAAGACTTCATTCCTGACTTCCTGGTGTTGAACTTCTAAAGAAGGAAGCCAGGGCAGCCCGGGTAGCTCAGCAGTTTAGCGCTGCCTTCAGCCCAGGGCCTGATCCTAAAGACCCTGGATCAAGTCCCACATCAGGCTCCTTGCATGGAGCCTGCTTCTCCCTCTGCCTGTGTCTCTGCCTCTCTCTCTCTCTCTCTCTCTCTCTCTCTCTCTGTGTGTATGTCTCTCATGAATAAATAAATAAATAAAATATTTTAAAAAATGAAGAATGAAGCCAGTTTTTTTAAGACTTTATTTATTCATGAGAGACACAGAGAGAGATAGAGGCAGGGACACAGGCAGAGGGAGAAGCAGGAGCCCAATGTGGGACTCGATCCCAGATCCCCAGATCATGCCCTGAGCCAAAGGCAGCTGAGCCACCCAGGTGTCCCGGGAAGCCAGGTTTTTTTTCTTTTTTTTTTTTTTTTAAAGATTTTATTTATTTACTCATAGAGACACAGAGAGAGAGAGGGGGCAGAGGAACAGGCAGAGGGAGAAGCAGGCTCCATGCAGGGAGCCCGATGTGGGACTCGATCCAGAGTCCCCAGGATCACACCCCAGGCTGCAGGCGGCGCTAAACCGCTGCGCCACCAGGGCTGCCCAGGAAGCCAGTTTTTAATAAACTTCTAAAATACCAGGAAATGAATATAAAAAATAGTGAAAGGGAATAAAGGGGAAAGGAGAAAAAAATGAGTGGGAAATATCAGAAAGGGAGACAGAACATGAGAGACTCCTAACTCTGGGAAAGAACGAGGGGTGGTAGAAAGAGAGGTGGGCAGGGGGTGGGGGTGGGTGACAGGCACTGAGGGGGGCACTTGATGCGATGAGCACTGGGTGTTATTCTGTATGTTGGCAAATTGAACACCAATAAAAAATACATACATACATACATACATACATACATACTAGGAAATTACGCCCTTTCCCTACACGTGGGATTCCAAGGTAAATTTCAATCCTGTACCACACTAGGAAACAGCACTTCTCTTGCTAAAGAAGAGGGGGGGGGGAATCACAACTTAATCCTGAAGGGGTACTCCACTACACAAAGAGGAGGATGGCATAGCAGGGGCCAATTTACCTGCCCCTAATAAACAGCCTTGGGCCAACTGGCACACAAGAGCCATATGCTGCTGCTGCAGCCACTCCTTTTTTTTTTTTTTTTTTTTTTAAGTGATTCATCAGTTGCATATAACACCCAGTGCTCATTCCATCAAGCACACTCCTTAATGCCCACACCCAGTTACCCCACTCCCCACTCATCTGCCCTCCAACAACCCTCAGTTTGTTTCCAAGAGCCATATGCTTCTTGATCCTTGCCTCCCTGCTTTACTATTCAGACTAGAGTTCAATCACCCTAGACATTTTTGGTCACCTGTTTTTTTTTTTTTTCTCACACTCCCTCTTTCTCTCTCAATCTCTTTCTCTCTCTTTTTAAAAGATTTTATTTACTTGAGAAAAGGAAAGCAAGGATAAGCAGGGGGAGCAGCAAAAAGAGAGAGAGAAGCAGTCTCCGCCCTGAGCAGGGAGCCCGATGTGGAGCTCTATTCCAGGACCCTGGGATCATGACCTGAGCTGAAGGCAGATGCTTAACCGACTGAGCCACCCAGGCATCACGCCCCTCTCTTTCCAGAATTCTCTCTCTCTCTCTGGTATAAGTCCATAGCCTGGAAAAAAAATGATAAGAAAAAAATTAAAAGGGAACAATGTCTTTCATCTCAAGGAAAGCAGCTTTAAACAAATGTCCTGTGTTGCCACCAGGAGCATGAGCCAAGTCAGGGCAGTGTCGTCTAAGAGGTCCCCCACCACTTATCTCAGGCCTGGATGGATCCAGAAACTAATTGGAAGCTGAGATTGCACAGAACATGAGGCCCACCTGCATTCAAAAGCACACCAGTGCAAATATATAATGTAGGTTATGGTGCGATCGTTCATGCGGTTTCCCTCTGCCGTGCATGTAGACAATTAAGAGTCAAGTGGGGGTTCTCTCTCCGTGTCCCTCATGAATAAATAAATAAATAATCTTTTTTAAAAAAAGAGTCAAGTGGGGGGCACCTGAATGGTTCAGTTGGTGGGGTGCAGGACTCGTGATATCAGGGTTGTGAGTTCGAGTGCCACACTGGGTGTAAGAATACTTTAAAAAATAAAATCGTAAAAAGAAATAAGAGTCAAGTTGCCAGAACCATAAGACTGAGAAGCTTGCCCTGAGCCTAGGGAGACTAAGGAAGAATCAGAGCTCAAGCATTACCAATTCCAAACAACACCCCCTCACCCCTGCCAATCCTCCTATAATTACAGGCATTAGTATCAAAACAAGATCCAGGCATATTGTCTTTTTTAACATTTTACTCACTAAGAAGCAAGCAAAAGACAACAGCAGCATTTGAATTAATGCCTTAAATTCTACCTTTCCCAGGAAAACAAAGGCTATAATGTAAGGGACAATCGCACTAAGCAGCTTGGCAGGGAGTCCAATCTTACTGTTTTTCTTTTTTGGGAGGGAGATTCTGAAATACACACCCTTCCCACCTACAGTGAATAGCATCCCATTGTTATGTAAGTAATAACATCTTCAAGGGGGAAGAGCTGTATGCAAATATAAAAATAGTAAGACAGATATTCCAATTTTACCTTTTTACAAACATTTAAAAAATACATTCTTACAAATATAACGAAACCCCAAAACCTACCTAACTAGGAACCCTCTCTGGTCAGTTCTTTCCGCTCTGCAAAATGGAGATTAAAAGCTGCTCTCCGGCATCTACCCAACTGCCTCAGTAAGACATGTTCTGTGGACATGCAAAATCTCCTCAACTTTGTGATGGAAAATTGTATGTCTGATTCGGTTAAATAACTATTTGTTAGATAGAAAATATCTGCAACCCTCTAGTAAGAGATTCTATTCTTACTTTCCTTGGGAGGATTGTCTCTAATGGTAATATAATCAACCTTGGGGTAATATTCCCTGATCCTCAGGCTGTTTTGCACCTGTGGTTTGCCTTTTGTCAGAGGTGGGCATGCAAAAAGGCAG